CCTCCGTAACCTCCGTAAGCTCCGCAACCCCCAAGCTTCGCGGACCGCCTCCGGCACTCTCGCCGTTTGTAATGTATTTCTCGCAATTCCCCCTCATCCCTATTTGGACTACTGCTTCTTTCTATTCTAGCCAGTTAGTCATCACCCCCACTTCCCCTCATCCTCCTGCCCCTCTGGGCCTCGCCCACTCTACCTCCTTTCGGATGTATCACAGGTCTTGCCCTATGACCTTCGGTACCGCTCCGCTCCCTCTAACCCTTTGTTCCCGTTCGGACGTCTTCGTTCCGATTCGGTCACCCTTTGTTTCTCCTTGTGCTTTTGCCCCTTCCTTATATATCGGCGCTTGTACATACTCGTCTGTTTTCAGTCCGAAATCGACCTGAAATGCCCCCAAGAGACTTCCTGCTCACCTACTGTGAAATTAAGGACCAAATGGACAAACAGCAATGGCACAGCGCTCCGCTTGAGTCGCTGAGGCCAAGGTCCCTCCACGCTAAGTCTCCGATTCCACTCCGGAGTCGTCCGTTTCCGCCCATCTCTAACAAGGTCGTAACTTGGTGGGGGGTTGGCGGAAGATGGCCAGAGGGGAGAGAGAGGAAGGATGTCAGGTCCGAAGGTGAGTATCGGAGCGGACGGGAGAAGAGTAGGAGGGTGATGGAAGGGTGGAGGTGTTGTGGGGGGAAGTGGAGGAGTGGGAGGAGTAGTAGGAGGGTGACGGAAGGGGTGGTGAGAGGGGTGGTGTTCGGTCTGAGGTAGGTATCGGAGCGGACGGAGATAGGACAGGAGAGGGATGGAGGAGTGGAGGTGACATGGGGGGTGAGAGGAGGTGTGGTGTCAGGACCGAGGGTGAATATCGGAACGGACAGCAGTAGGGCAGGACTCCGGAGGTGGTGAAGAAGGAGGTCCGGGAGTTGGGTCGGGATCAGGTATGCACGGATATGACACTCACCTGCCTTGTTCCATGCAGACAGGGCTCGATCAACTTGAAATGATCACAGAGGTCATGTGGGCCCATATCGAGAAGAAACTCGAGAAACGTAAGGAGACTATGTTTGAAGACAAACATAGGAACGATGAGCTAGACGAGCTCAGGAATAAGTATGAAATGTTACAGAACGAGGCCGACAACTGTAAGGAATGGATGGTGGAGCAGCAGTTTCTTATTTTATCTTTATTCTTGTTGCATACAATGTAAAACAACTGTATTTACATTTGTATGGCTCGGGCTCGGGTAAAGGGTTCTTTACTCTTTACCCTCACCCCTGTCAAATCTAAGCTCGATACAGCCTACGATCTTGACAGCCAGAGGACTGAGAAGTCACCCAGGTCGGAACCCACACCGACCTTACAACAACCTACATTCTGAAAACGACCATCTTCATTGATGGATCAAATCCCTCCATAAGGCTAACGACAAACTCAACGAGGATGTCTTTAGAGTCGCGTGCACGGCAAGGGGACACCCTGCATCTCCCAAACCCACCCCAATTCAATCTTCTACTCCCTCGTCATCATGGCCCACTCTCCCCCAAACCACTGTCATCCCTGGGGTTGGCCTGGTGGATCCTGCATTGGCCAATGTCAGGGCCCGGCCTCGGACTCAGAGGCTCCCTGACCTCAACCCCCATCTGGCCTGTCCTCACACTATGTGGGGCATGAGATGTATAGTAAAAGGAAAGATAATATACACTTGCCTGTGCAGGGCATGAGATGAGAAGAAGGGTAAAGGTCTCATCTCCCCGCATGGTTGCTATATAAAGGAATGGGTCACATGCCCACAACTATACAGCTCCTAGAGTTGTGTAGTGTGACCCGGAGGGAACATCCAGGTGGCAGTGCCCAGTAAGCGTGGGAACGTTCTGGGCAAGTTGCTTGCCCAGAACTGTGGCTGTGACCCGTGGGAACATTCTGGGCGAGCTGCTCGCTCAGAAAGTTCCCACGCTATCCCATGCGCACATGTACACAACACACAAAGGCAACAACAAGGCAACAGTCAAAGAATAAAAGGGGGTAAAGTAGGTGGGGAGTCCGGGGCACCCTAAGGCAGGGTGCTGAACCCTGACAGCCAAGCCTGTGCCATCAAAAAAAAACCACCTCTTCTAAGAGATGGGCTCCCACGTCCAACGATGACGAGATGGAAGGCGAATGGGTCGTTGACCCTGATGCCCCCTTCAAGGAATTTGTCACGAACCATCCACCCAGTTACCACTACTACGAATACTACGATGCCAAGCTCACCGAAGCGCATGGAAAACCCCTGCCTGCACCAACATATTGTCGATCGGTAGCCCTTCCTACCCACTTCTACAACATTGACCATGTCGATAGAATTGAATTCCCAGATGCGGCTGCACTCCTCCATGACAAAGAACCTAAGTGGTTCGAATTGGTCCAAAACTACATACACACCGAAGAAGGTGTGAGGTTTTACACTACGATGTACCATCTTGCCTGGTCGTTCAAGACGGGCAAGCCCTTGCAAGAGGACGTCAACACCTGTACCGACTGGTACGGGTAGCTACGAACAACCGTGCCTCACAAATGCGTATGTTGCGTGACAACATTGAGACAGAGGCGAAAAGACTTCCTGACCAGTACCCCCAGCTCATATTGCACAGATGTATATCCTCGTGTGCAGATGGATAAAACCAATGACTGACGACGCTCGTGAGCATCATAAGATTCAGCGTCAAGAACAAGCACTTATGTACTCGAATCCTCCCCCAACATCGTACTCAAACCCACCTGTGATGTATGCGAGCCCTCACCCTGTGGCATATTCGAACCCTCTGCCACAGTACCCCCTCCAATGTATGCACACTCATCGGTGTACGAATCCACCCACGCACCACCAGTGCGTGGGCATGCTCCCTCCACTTCCCATGGGCGTGGCCATCCCATGCACCATGTCCATTATTCGCACCATTGTCAAGACAAGGATTCATCCATGAATGATGCCAACGTCAAGACTCGTCACTACGACGACAACTATCTCAGCGATGATGTTGCTGTCGATGCAGCAAGGTCCACGACGACTTGTAGGACCACATCAAATCACCCATCCAGCTCTGGCCCATCTAGGTCTGCGCCACGTAAATGGATGAGGAACTGATCCCCTCATACCTTCGTCAACAACAAGGCTGTCGTTGATTAATAACTTCTTACCTTCATCAACGACAATGCTGTCGTTGATTATCTACTTTGTACCTTTCCTCCTTTGTCAACGACAATGTCGATGTTGATTATTCACTTTCCTCTTCGTCGACAACGATTCTGCCATCGATGACCTCAACTTTCAACATCGTCGCTATCGACGATGGTATTTAATGACTTATCCTCAACGGTGTTGAAGCCATTTTTCCTTCTTATAATTCCCTGAACTCACAGCAACGAGAAAGTTGCTTCATCGTTGACAACCCTGTCATCGAGATCTGGGTGCATATGTTCCAGGAGAAACTCTAAGTGGGCTTTGCCTACAAACTACTATTATAGCCTCCTGCAATGAGTGTGCCCCCGTTTGCATACATCCTTTGTATGTAGAACGTCAAAATTTTATTTCCTTAAAATGCTTGTTTTCCCCTTGTGTATATGCTTGTACCCTGTCTGCGATCTAATATTGCAAGGGAGGAGGATGTGAGGCCCCGGCCCATGTCTATATTCCGCCCACAACATCAATTGATGTTGTAATTATGTCGCGACGCTAATTTAGCGTCACGGAAGCTTCTCTATTTATTTGTGCCGAGAATGCATTAGAATGTATATAAACCCTCGGGGTAGCTGTAAAAGGGGGATCAGCCTTTACTTCTACCCTGTCAATATACAGCAACTAAAAGCATATAACTAGATGGACTAACTGAGGCCTGAGGCGAATGGGGGAACGGAACGTACCATCCCCAAAACAAGTAAGAAACCTTTCACATATGTACACATTTTCTCACATAGGGTATCATTTATCTCCCCATTGATAGGCCTTGCAGATGCATCTAGAGTATGGTATAGTGGGATACGCTGCAGTCAACCCCTTCCCATCAATAGACCTCATTACAGCGGCCATCATAAAAAACAGGAATCCAGAATGTGATGCGTGACAAGGGTCATCACGTGATTGTCCAGAAAAAATGGCAGGACATCAAGTACAAATTAGGCATCAATACAATTTCACATTGCCAATTTTGGTGCTTATCCAGTGGCACTGCTGATGAGTATAAATTTAAAAAAAATGAATGCCATTGAGTGCTGTTCACCGCTATGGGCAAACACCACAGGTGCCCAAGAGCACATGGCGGATGCAGACGGCCCGGTTGCCACTTTAGGTGTTACGCGCTAATTCAGAATTATATTGACCCCTAATTTGTACCTGATTTCCTACCATTTTTGGACAATCACGTGATAACAAGTTGTCACGTCACATTCTGGATTCCCGTTTTTTTATGACGGCCGCTGTAACATCTCCCTGCGGTTTTGAAGGTGGCTCAGAAGCTCCCTATCAGGTTGTACCATCTATTTGAGCGCCGGGCGTTAAAATTGTCGATCTCAATGCTGCCACCAGAAGATTGAATATATATGATGGCAATTACAACGGCTGCATGGGGTTAACATTACAAGACCTATGTACAAATTGCTCAAACTGGCGTGGCAGCAGAGGGGCCTTAGGGGAGTTGTTGCCTGGGACTCATCGATGAACTCATTCCAGGATACCGGATTCTTCTTTACTGGAGGGATTATTCTTCAATGTGGGAATAGAGAGTTTTAGGAATGATGGACGATCAGGCGCATCAACATAAATCTGTTTCTCGCATCCCCGGTGCATATAAATCACACTGAGTATGAGATACATGGATGTATCGGAGTGTGAAGGAGAAACAGTATAGTAGTTGCGAGGAGCGTGCAATTAATTACCGACAAGTTGTAGGTAAGAGCGGCTTAGCTCTAATAATGAAGGGGGCATCGCGACCCGAAAATTTAAGTTAGCCTTTCGATCGCCAAAGTAGGCTTCGATACGCATTTACATTCAGGCAGAAAGCAATAAACAAGGTGACAAGAGATCATAGGTGGTCACCAGCACTCCTCCAAGTACCGAAAAAAATGAAGAAAAATCCGGCTTGATACAAGAATAGGCCATACTGGTATTATAAAAATATGCTGGAAATGTACAAGAAACTGTGCAAACCATATGTTGTCACCGATTCCGACATTCCAGTTATGGGCTAGCACCGCTGCGCGGCATGGGCCGAGGAGAAGCGTTCGGACGAGGCGAGGAAGGGAGTGATGGTCCAGGAAGCAATTGACTCCGAGCCCGTTCCGTGCGTATGTGTAAACCGCGAGTGGCAGCAACAGCAGCGGAGTGTGTCGTCCGCACCTTGGTTGGTGTGCCACTGATCAAATTTGTGATTTCGATGGAAGGTCTATAGGAGTTAGGGTTCGGAGTATCGGGGGACGAGGTTATGACCAGACCAGGCGCGTTGTCGGCGGGTTCGTCAATGTCATCGGAACCTAAAACGGATTGGGTGGCATCGGTTTCCGTGCCACTATCCTCTTGGATGATTGACTCTGGCTCCTCATCAGAGTCGCCTTCGTCCGCTGCTGTGGGGGGATTCAGAACGGAGCCCTGAGGAATAAGGATTGCAACACATACCAGTAAGAGTACGACCTGCTAAGCCAAGTAAGCGATCTGCGGAGCTTTCGGCGTAGTTCAGAGAATTACGCTTGCTTGGGTGAATCGCAGTAGACTGATCTCTCAGTCGTGGCACTACTTCTAAAGTTTCTAGTGGACCAGAAGGTTCATTGAACCCAGTCTCGACGAAGTCGCCATCAACGTTGAACACACGCTGAAACTCGGAGAGCATTAGAGAAAGCACGCCGGCTGGGACTTGGAGAGTTGGGCTTAGAATTATTCCCACGTTTCTCATAGTCATCCTATTCACTGTCGCATGTTGAACAATAAGAATAAGGTGTGCTATGACGGCCCGAAGAAGACAATAGTTTGGGAAAGGAAGCATAGCCACAAGCGTCTGCAAGTCGGCTATCTTTTCCTCCTCTTCCGCAAAATCTGCAGACGGGAAGAAGTTGAGCCTTTAGCGGAGCGTAATTTCAGACAACTATACCTACCGACGTTGCGGAGGAAGCGGAAGTGGAGTTGATGGGAGAGGATTGTTCCAGGTATCTCTCTGATATAGGTTTTGAGTAATCCGGAAATAGCATGAAGATCATAAAATTCGTCCTGGGTCATTAAATCAATGTCACCCTCTGCCGGCGAGGAGATTCGGAGATGAGTGAATGATGATTCATTACTTGTGTATAACTGACACAACACCCACCAGCATTAAAACGCTCTTTCAACGACTTCATGGCGGCTGAGCTGCCGCTCAGTCGATAGATACCTTCCTCTTGTTCGGCATGTTGGGCCTCAAGATACTGTATGCACCGGAAAGCAACAGCCGGAAGGTTTGCGATCTGGGACACGGCCAGGGCATCAGGAAGAACGACACCAAAAACGGCACGTGGAGCAACTTGAGGCTGCAACGACCCGTGTATACCCTTCGTCAGTCTTGTGAAAATGCCAGACTTGACTTTGCGTTCCCTCTCGTTATTTGTTTCGCCAGCAGCTGAGTCCTTTACACCAAAGCTATACCCTGGAGGTATGGGCATGCCGTTAGATGGCCCCGATATCGATATTACCTTTCCCTTAGAGCTAGTTGTGGTTGTGACGCCGCTGTCAAGAGACAGGTCTCTTGAACCACCAAGCGATGACTTGGAGCCAGACATGGCAGGGTTATAAGAGGCTACTCGAGGTCGTGGAGCGGATGGGTTCGGGCGGTTGTCAGCCATGTCAGGATAATGTCCCAGTTCTGAGCTTGCTCGTGGTATCTGCCCATTTTGGGAAAGATGGTCTAAACTTGTTGGCATCGAACTCGAGAAAGGAACACTGCTGCCATTTCCTTTACCCATTATCTTCCGAACCACGGTATTGCTGTCAGGTACAGGCATAGCGGTAGCAGGGAGATCAACGCTAGAACCATTCCCCATTTCGCGGACATTATTCATGTCATCTCGTGAGGCGGCACGGCGGGCAGTGGGTTTCGCAGTGGGTAAGTCAGTAGGAGACACAACAGAAGAGCTCGTCGAACTGCGAGTTGTTGCAGGTCTTTGCATGAGGCCGGTATTGACAGACGTCGGTTGCGGCGCTGTGTTCAGCCGATCATCCTCCACGGCCACTGCCATAGACAGGGCATCGATCCAACATTCTCGATCTGTATCGCTTTCACCACACAAGACATGTCGGACAGAACTGCTGGACTGTTTCTTCCCCTCGATAATAAGGAATGCATGCCTAAACGCGTTATCGTCATCTGAAGGTATCCCTGAGCGCTGCTGCTGACGGCCGATCTGGGCGCCTCCCAGATAAATAGACCCAAGGTGTTGGCCACCGCGCTAAAAGACGTAAAACTTAGTGTGACGCTGCACTGAGTTATCACACTACCTACGCTTTCGTAATATTCAAGTGTGGCGCCTTGAAGGACGAAGTACCTTGTTTTCCAGCGCAGAAACCTGAAGAGAATCGCTTGGGATGTAAAGGAGCACTTGCATCTGAATCACTTACCCGCCGAAGTTCTTTCCACGCTTAGTGAGATAGCCTTCCTTGTGACCAAGAACGTGAACGGGAGCCCTCTCAGGTCGAACGATACCAGTGCTGAAAAACATGCAAATATCATCCTTCCTGCGAAAGCCGGCGCTAACCAGAGTTTGGAAATAGACCTCCAAGGCAGCCTGGATCGTACCAGTTGGAACATAAGTCTTCGTTTCGATAAGGAATATACCCACCTTCCTCTGGTCAACTTTGGCGGGAGCATTGTCTTTGAACAGTCTATTTTCTGGCAAAGCGCCCATTTTCTTACTCTGAGTCTTCCCTACAGCCGCCCGGATTCTCGCATCGAGTGTCAGCACGTCGCTGTAAAGCTTCTCAACTTTCCAGGGCTCTTTCCCCTTCGGTGCGACAAAAATGATGAATGACACGACCTCCTTCCCTCGGTCATTGGGTCGAATCGTGGATCCTTCTACCTTGATGACCGTGCTCCCCACTTCCTCAGGGAGGAGCTTGGCGGCCTTGTATTCGAACCGGTTCTGTTCGGGAGTAAGTGCTGGAGTTGGCTCAGGAGGTGATACCGGTACTTCGGGAACGGACTCCACGATCGGTGCTGCATTAGGGTATGTGTCAAGGGTATCTGAGGATGGCTGAGCTTTCACCGTGTCGATAACATTAGAGGGACCTGCAAGCCTCCCTAACTCATCAGCTTGGGGGTCTTGGGGATCGACTCGGGGTGGCGTATCAGCTGGTCATGGGAAAGATCGTTGGTTGGTTGAGATGAGGTGATCGTGGGTCTGGGAAACGGGATCAAGGTAGGACCTTCAACTCTGCTCTCAGTCTCCTCTTCAGGGTGTGAATCTAGTTTGCCGCTTCTCTGTCCAGTAATGCTTGTTGTTTGCTCTTGTTTCACACTAGATCCAAATCTAAAGAAAAAGTTGGGATAAGTTGATGACGTGGTCGGGGAAGCAGGCGTAAATGAAATATACCGCGTGGGTTCATCAGGGAAGGTAATTCGGCTCTCACGAGAGGGCCTTCTCCCACCATTATCAGGAGCGGTTAGCATAAGATTGATCGAAGTAGTAGCTGTAGGTACGCCTTTTCCCGAAGTTCCGGGGCCGAGAGGAGAGTGCACATCGCTAGGTGACTGGTTTGGTCTTGGTGTTGGTTCACTTGAGCTTTTTGAGGGCGTCAGTATAACAGGAACTGGAGGCCGGTCCGAAACCTCTGAGACCACTTGAGGAGGTGTCCTGGGAGGCTTAAGGTTCGTGCGGTCGTTCTTTGCTGGGGGAGGAGCGGCAGTGGATTGAGGAAATAGTCTTAGTTCGGAGGGATTATTCTCTGCGGAGTCCCGGGTGGCAACGTCCGACGTAATTCGAGCAGGGGAACGGGAAGACGGGGCGAGAGCTGAGAGGGACTCTATTGGCTCTTCTTTGGTGGTAGACGAAGACGCTGAGGCATCTACGGAATTTGCAATTAGGGTTGTTGCTGGAACGTGGGCTGATGGATCGGCACCTGGATCGGACTGATGCTTTTCACCAGAGTCAGGCTTTTCGTTATCTTGTCGTGTGGCTAAGCTATCATCGCTGGACGCCCGGTAGTCGGCAGGAAGTTGGCGGCGCTCATCTTTGAATCCCTCGAGTATGCTCAACAGTCGATCCCGTTCCGCACGAATGCGATCAAGATCTTTTTTAAACAATACGGCAGTAGACTTTGTCTTTTCGAGGTGCTTCCACAGCAAAGCATTCTCATTTTGGAGTGAATTACGCTCAGACACGAGCTTTTCAAGTGCCGTTTGATGAGAGCCATTTGCCACAGCAAGAGCGGACTCCACGGTGATTGCTTGCGAGGAAACTGTCCTATGGCTACTCGGTGATCCCTGAGCAGCAGCTAGGCTAGAGCTGCTGGCCTGTGCAGCGACAGTGCGCGTGGAGGGCGTAGATGCCATGTTCGTATATGTGCGATTGGCTTGTGGTGTGGACTGTTCGGCTGCACCTGAGCCACGCCTCCCCTCGGCTGGTGAGGCAGTAGAAGGGGGCATATGCAGGTAGCAAGCTGTAGCTGGAGACGAAGCGATGTGGACGCAAAGATGATCTGTCAAGGCTAATTACTTAATCCAAACGCGGATTAATGGCAACGTACAAACAATCTCTGTGATGCCCTTGATCTAACTGACACCTAAACACAAGTCAAAGCCGCGCCCGACGCGCAGGGGAATCGGAAAGAATTTGGGGAGTCGCTCGTGAACGCTGTGGTTGTGCGAAGATGGCTTGAATTTGGATCCGAAAACGCGTTGCTGTTGGCGCGAACACAGTGACTGCCGCGCCTCCGATGTTCTAACCGCCGCCTTCTGCAGCGCTTAAGGATCACTCCGTAGTGAAGAGGCCAGTGTATGTCCGTTGCGTGCTGTTTCCGGGAAAGGCGTTTTCTTAAGGTCAAGGTTACTTGATTGTTGAGAGACCGAAGCTTTCTCCGAGGTCAGTTCGATCAGTTTTTTTGGCACTGTACATGTGTCTATATCCGAAAAGCTGTTGCTATCATCATGTTGGGCCTACTATCCAGTTGTTAATTCCTATCTCGGAACCCACTCTTCGCTCTGTCTCTGATTAATTTTTTATCATGGCTGGCATCAAACCCTGCAACTGTGGCTTAAATCTTTGGTCGCTGGTTACTAGCAAATTTTCAATGGATCTTCCTTGCATCAATACACACAATATTGATGTACATCCACATGATCGTAAACTCTCATATAGCGTCGTCTCCGGGCTGCACATGTGCAGTTGTCCTTAAACGCTTTTATCCAGCTGCTGTAGTAGATGTGTTGCCAAAAATTTTTCGGTGTGTTATTCTCTGAAATCTGGCCTTCACTTCTGGCATCATAGGGCTCTTGCGAAATGTACATAGTGGGTATACACGCGGATGACAGCCTAGGCAAGTTACCAGCCTCTACATATGACAGTCATAACTTGCATCTCCTTGCTCAAATCGCCATGACGACCTTCAAGACTTAGCCTCGTGACGTCGATGATGGCAGTTCCTATGTTCAGTTTCTCATTGGTCAACGAGGTCTCTAGCTGTATTGTAGCGCAAGTTGTCCAAATTAGATTTGTTATATTGTTATATATACAATATAACATATATATCGTGATCTGCCTGGTTGCCAGAACGTGGTAGCAACGGAGGGCCTTCGGTTCAGACATTTCATCTGGAATCTGAGCTGTTTATGTCAACATATTCCATCTGCGGGGGCTCTTGATCAGTGCTTCGTGTCGGTCGATCTGCTCAGTATCTCCACAAGCTTCTCTGACGATGACTGGACTCAGGGCTCCATTAAGTCGATCGAATGTCTCTTCCTCTTTGGATGAGTGATTTAATGTTGCAGTGCAACATTAACCTGGAGATGTCGGTTGAGCAATGCATGTTGATCAACTAAACTTCGGTGGTGATGGCTCCATCCACCCCCCCAAACGTTGGTCTCAGGGCTCTTCATGCGTCCCCTGAGTCCTGTCAGGCCAAATCGAGGCTGTGCATGACCAACCCCTCAACGAGTCTACGCTCGCACTGATGTATCAAGTCATTCTGGCTAACTTCTGGGGCCTCAGGTCTTCATTGCAGTTTTCAAACAATTCAATGCATGCACCGATGATCTTTGCTACATTAATTGCTGCCTGCAACAAAATACCCTCTCTGCATGCAGGTCTGCACAGCCACATTGATCGGTTGCTGTCAGGTAGAATATTACATCCCCCTGTTCCCTCCATCTGCAAGGGAACACTCGACAATCAAAGGCACTAGCGTTCAGGCCAAAGATTTCCGCAGCCTTTCCGCCGTCGGAAATATAAGTACCATGCAATCCCAGCTCTTTCTGCGATGGAAAATCGATGTCTGTTTATCCGACAGGAGAAATGTCGATGAAAGATTGATGCATGCTGCTGCTTACTAGTACTAGTAGGGGTGCGCGCATTCTTTCACGTGTTCTTAGGATGTAGGATGCAAGTAGCTTGCCGGCAGCTTGGTTCTCGGGCCTGGCCTCCTGTAGCATATGCACATATGCTTCAACCTTAGGCTTTGCGCAAGCTTTAACTCTGATGCGCACGTCATTGGAATGCGAGAAACAGTTCATTCTCGCTTCCGTGCGTGGCCCGTTCATGTGTTGCCTCTTTGGAGTTAGGCGTCTTTCAGTCCGACCATTCGATATATGATTCCACCCACCCTGAATGACCCCAGCTTCGAAGTAGAAGCCCTTGCTTAGGGTGTCAACACATTGGTTCAATAGATCCTTAACCGCACCTTCCAGGCCGCTGGGCTCGAACACGGTGGCGGGGACATTTGCAGCAAGATGAGCCCTTGCAGCATCTTATTTTCCTTTCACTCGTCTTTCGCGGTTCTCTGCCACCCTGGATTCTCTGCTTCTGCGCTCAGCAGTCTGGATGTTCAATTACATCCCCTCGATTTATTTGGCCGTTCTGGAGTTTATTAGTCACCAGGCTTCGTAAAGCTGTTCCTGCACTGACAAGCTTGAGGCACCCTGTTTCCGGCATTCCCGTGGCAGTTTTGGTTATTTTTTATTTCATTTGGCAGTCTAACGAAGATGACTTTTAAGTCATGCCTTGGTTGTATTGTGGCGGAGTCGACCGAATTTATTGTGTCTTGAACGCCACGCCTACGAGCTATCCCGCACCCCGCACCTGCCGCGGTTCGTGGTTCTTGTTCCAAATGAGAGCCCATGGTTCTTTAAGGGTTGATAAGAAGCAGCAATGGTCAGGCTTTGTGCTTCGCGTGGGGTAAGATTCTACATTAAAACCCTGACCGCTTTGTGCTTGCATGGCATAGAGAAGCTGCTTCCGATACTAATGCCATCACTGGATTAATATTTGCTTAAATTGATCTCTCCAAATATCGTGGCCACCGGAAATTCTACTGGTCAAGTGCGCTCCTGCGATTGTCCAAGGCTCTCAAACTAACATTAGGTCATTCTCACCGTCAGCTAGTCTCCTTTGTCCACTTTCTTTTATCGGTTTTCTGTCCAAGCACGCTCACGGTCCTCCACTGTCCGGCTAATGGTAATTGGTGTGCTCCGGCCGATACTAACGAGCACCAACAAGATAACCCTGGGACTAGGTTTTATGGTTTGGAGCTTTGGCCTGCATGAGGCTCCGCCGCCGCCGCCGCAATGGGCCATAAAGGAGAAACGTCTGTGCCTTCCCAAAGGCTCCCCATCTCTGGCATGTTATTCGCTCCTCAAGTTTTTAAAGTTCTGATCACTTTGAACGGCCCTTCTCTGTATCGATTGCGGGGGATTACAAGCGAGCTACATACAGGGTCCATGGACCAATCAACTGCCGCCATTGCGAAGGATATTTGTGAGTGCCTCGTCCTAGGATTAAGCATATAATTACCAAGAGCCCTGATTTTTCCATAAATTGATCATTTCTATACTCCCAACACACTGTTATAGTTGCACCTACGCCAATCACACAAGACCGTACGGGAAAGGCGCTACAGTGGGTGCCTCAACACCATCCGAGGACAATCAACCGGGAAATTCAAACGCACACGCTCCAGATCAACTGACCGAGCAGTCAGGTAGAGGCTTCCACTGTTACGAATGAACCCCAACCGTCAAATTGCGTTAGCGTAAATTGTTGCAAGCGCCTCCGACTGCATAGGCATGTAGCCAATTTTCCCGCGAATCGGACATTTCCATCCTTCCAACGCGCCTACGTGAATCAAACAAGGCCTACAGCCCAACAATGGCAGGGGCCCGGGCCCCGGGCTGGGCTGTGCGAAGCTGGAGGATAAATGGGCTGTTCATGGGCTGTGACTTCGCTTGTGGGGCTTTATTAAGATCCTTTTCTAATGAGGTAGTGATATTCGTAGTTTCACATCTATCGGGCCGTTCCTGAGGCTGGATTAGTCCGTTTGATCATCAATCACGGGTTGCATACATCGGTTGAAGAAAATGTCACCGAATTTGTATGGCTCGGAACTCTATAGCGCTCTGTTCATCTCGTAGTTGTCGCAGCTCACACATTGAAAGAACCATATTCGGCGAGTGTTTGCATAATCCCATGCATGGCCCAACGATATCCTGTGCTTGTCCCTTATTAGGATCGGAGAGGCATCACCCACTCTTGTCTCTCATCGACTCTCTCGTAGCGATAACAGTGTTACCACTTTGTACCACCACTTTCCACGTCTATACCTGATAAACACCAGCACAACCCGTTCCCCTTTGGGTGTTCCAGCATTCCCTGGTCACCATGCCCTCTCATACCCCTACCGCGCCCCGTAGGGGCACCGTAATGACGGAGGACACCTTCCACGCTATGGCTGACGCCGAGAACCCCCCATCCTTGGCCGTCTCGGACGTCTATCAGGCACTGATCGATGAATCGGCAGGATTAGCTCCTCTCAGGGATGCTGAAGTATCCGAGGTTTTTTGTTACCGCCGCAATGGCGTAAGTTGGGGATGAATATCGAGTGGGGACCTCTGTATCACTGACGACATGATTAAGTCGAGAGGCCGTGAATACTATCTGATGTTAAACATGCGGCTACTTTCGTCATACAGCCAAGCACGTGGAGCGAGCACCGTCGTATGGGCATGCGCTGAGAGGGTCCCGAGCACCGAAGGACGTAGTATTATTGACGTCATTCGAAGGGTGTATGTGGCTTGGGACAACATCAAGTTCTCATATCATATCGCGGCGATCCGGGGACTGAACGATGTCGATGTCCCCATCGTGAAGCTCTACTGCAATAACGTCAAGTTTATCCATGCTGCCCACGTATTCAACATCACCCACGATCACTCTCGGCACTACCACCCAACAAGCTTTAACCGTTGGTGGTTTGCCATAGGTGCATCCTCCCTTTCTTTTCTTGCGAGGAAACATCTGACTGGGTATCCCCTGCAGTTAGCATCGGCGCCCTACGTCATTTGGACCAGAATAACGATTCGATCCAGTTCCCCAACAAGAATTATATCAAAGCCGCTGCAAAAGCCGTGCGCGATACGAAGGAGATAACGAAGCGAGTGACGCTCGAATTCTTCTCCACGTGGGACGTTCGGAGCGCTGCCGATCTCGGCAATGAAGCAACGTGGGAGCCTCGTCGTGATCATCCTCCAACAGCGGAATTTCTTCCCCAGCGCCCTCGTCAACACATTCCGACTCGACCGGCTCTATTGTTTCAACCCGTTTTGTCCACTTTGCCTGAATCTACTCTGGATGAATCCACTCTGACTGATTCCACTCTGACTGATTCCGCTCTGACTGATTCCGCTCGACCTGATTCCACTCTGCCCCAAATCACGCCAGGTGCGCTCTCCAATACCGGCACGTCGCTTTATCCAGTATCCCCTTTGATCCAGCCAGTGGCTCAACCTCAACCCGCTCTGGGATCCTTTGAGACAGATTCCGGGAATGCTCACGATGCTATTGAGCTAATCAATGATGATGCTATGTTCTCTCCTATCCTTGCCAAGCCTCGCAGAAGCTTTGTGATGACAGGGAACACCTTCCACGCCATGGCTGACTCCAATCAGCCCCCATCTCTTGCAGTTTCAGACGTCCACCAGGCACTCCTCGACGAGTCGGCTGGATTAGCGTTTCTCAGGGATGCCGAAGTGATCAATGTTCTTTGTTACCACCGCGATGGCGTGAGTCGAGAACCGATATGCGGTAGAGTTCATCTTGCTGACGATAATTAAGACGGGGGCCCATGATTATCTTATGTTACACATCCGGCTAGGCCAAGGCGCCATTGTGCTGGCACGGGCTGAGAGGGTTCCGAGCACGCAAGAACGCGGGATCGGAATGGTTCCGAGGGGCTCGGCGGCATGGGATAATATCAAGTTCTCATATTATCCCTCCGCTATTCGGGGCCCTGGAGATATCCCGATCATGATACTCCGTTGCCACAACGTCAAATTGGTCCACTGCACCCAGTTATTTAGCATCATCCATGGTCACTCCCAGGAATATGATGCAAAAAGTTTCAACTGCTGGTGGTTCGCTGCAGGTGCGTCTTCGCTTCATTTGTGTGAGAACGTGTGTTGACACCGCATACAGTTAGCATCGGTGCTCTGCGTCATTTAGACCATAGGAATGATTGGTTCAAGCTTCCCAGCAAAGATTGGATTTATGCCGCTGTAAGAATCGTGGGCAGCAATATGAAGGAAGTAACGAACAATGTGACCCACGAGTTTCTCCGAAAAGTTGTCGATCTGAGCAATGAAGCCACTTGGGAGCATAGTCGTGATCCTCCCTCGGGAACAGAGTTTCTGCTTCGACCCCCACCTCAACCCGACCCTCTCCCTCATCCCATCTCAATACCTCAACCTACACTTATACCTCACCATCAGCCCACTCTGCCAAGCAGCCTTCCGCCATCTTCCCCATCGACGGAAATTCATTCCAATCATGGCTCTGTCTATCCACCGCCTATCATAGTATCAAGAGACCTCGGAATCGATCTGGTGCAGGATGTTGTGGTGACCCATGATATCGAGGTTTATAAAGTATTAGTCGTTGGGCATAAGTCTGCCGTCTCTTCAGGGGAGTTATTGCGGGTCTTGGAGACAATATGGGGGGGTAATCGAGCACAGCTCAAGGACGGGGTTTTGTTATTCTTGCACACATGGGTGTTGTTGGGATTCCTTGACGGTTCATTCACCTCGGAGGTCCTGAGACTTGTGGACGAGTTCTCGGGCAGTCCACCATTTAGCGGTCGTCAAGAGATATGGCAGATTCAGAATGCCCTGACCGAATCGGCCCTGACAAGACCCTCACCTCCTTTCCCTGTGAGGAAGCGACCCTTGGCAATCAATGGATCCGGGTCGATCATCGCGCCCGGCGCTTCAGGGAAACAAAAGATCAAGGGGAAGACTATTGGCGAAATGGACTCGAATGATCTCCTTGGGTTAGCAAAGGCTTTGCTTGAGAAGGAGGTAGACGATCTCGAACATCTTACCATGCCTCGTGCTGTCAAATTGCTGATAGACTGGCGAAACGATCCAGAAGCATCGGACTCGATACTATTCTCTCCCTTGGCAAAACAGGTAATTAAGGAGTTTGCTGATGTATTTGGTCTCAAACGATCTGAGAATCATTCTACATTCAGATCCAAGACTGGGTCAATGAGGAGTGCCTGAATAAAAACCACAAGGTTCGGCAGAAGGCATTCCAGTCGTTCTACCTTCTGGCATGCGTAAGTTGTTCCCCTGAATGCTTCCGCTGAGAACACCCTAATATTTTCCTGTGCAGGAATGCGAAAAGCTAGGGGATTTTGCTAGTTCCCATGCTATCGCCCGCACCCTTTGCGGGAAGTACCTTAAGAAATTCGAACTTATTCAGGCTCATGCTGTAAATTTAGTGGGAGGTTCAGAAGGGCTACAGGACGCACTGCAACGCCTTTCCGAACCCTCGCGGACAACAATTCCTCCGATAGGTTCGTCAACGACACGCCCCTAGCAATGTGTGCTAAAAGACCATCTAGACTACCGATTGCGACAACTTCTACCGTTGTTCCACGCCATCCGGGATGATGTTGCCACAGTTAACTGGGAGGCTTGCAAGTTGTTCTATCAAAGTTTGGTGCAGGAGCTTCGACGACCCGTTCTTCCACCTCCGGAAGCCAACATTGATGAGTCTTATCATGAAGTCCTTCACGAAAGGATGTATGAAGCGTTTTTGCATCGTTCTAACCACCAGAGTCTCAGTGAACACCTTTCTGCACATGAGGGCCGCGAGATGGAGCAGATGAGAGCTTGGGAGCATAATCATGATCCTACCTCGGGAACAGAGGTTCTGCTTCGACCATTTCAACCCAATTTTCTGCCCCATCCCATCCCAACGCCTCAACCCACTCTCATGCCTCAGCCCACTCTTGTGCTTCAACCTCAACTTACTCCGGATTTCTTTGAGACAGAATCCGGATGGAATGCTCTAGATGCTATCCAGCCAATCAAGGATGATGGGGTTACCAGCTTGACGGAGCACACCTTCCATGCCATGGCTAACTCCACACAGCCCCAATCGCTTGCAATTTCAGACCTTCATCAAGCACTCATCGATGAGCCAGCTGAATTAGCATTTCTTAGGGATGCTGAAGTGACCGATGTTGTTTTATACCACCGTGATGGCATAAGTCAGGAACAGATATCTGGCGGACCTCGTCTCACTGATAACATAACTAGTATGGCGGCCCATGATTATCTCATGCTACGCATGCGGCTGGGTTCAGGCAGCATCGTGTGGGCACGGGCTGAGAGGGTCCCAAGCATGCAAGAACGTGGAACTATCCAAGACATCGCATGCGACATTATCACGTTCTCATATCATGCCCACGCAATTCGGGGCCCTGAAGATGGCCCCGTCATGACTCTTCGTTGTAGCAGTCTCAACTTTGTCCTCTCCACCCTGTTGTTCAGCATCATCCACCGTCATTCTCAGGAGTATCACACAACAAGCTTGTGGTTTGCCGCAGGTTCGTCCTTCGCTTCATTCATATGAAAACATGTATTAGACACATCACACAGTTAGCATCGGTACTCTGCACCATTTAGACGAGGGGAATGATTGGATCGGGTTTCCTAGCAAGGTTTGGATCGGAGCCGCTGCGAGGGTCATCAACGGCAGTGCAAAGGAAGTAACGAAAAATGTGACGCACACATTTCTTTCCCTGTGCAACATCCGAAAAGTTGTGGATCTGAGCAACGAAGCAACCTGGGGGCATTGTCATGATCTTTCCCCGAGAACAGAGTTTCTACCTCAACCTCCTCAACCGCAACCCACTCTAGGTTCCCCCGAGACGGAATCCAGACGGAATCCAGATGCTATTGATTCAATCGAGAATACCGACACAGGTCTCCTACCCCTTCCCTTCTTTGAGACGGAATCCAGATGGGATGTCCAAGATGCTGAGCCAATCGGGGATGACGAGAGCATCAACACGGATCAGCCCTTTCTCAAGCGGACCTCCACTACCTTTTCTGTTTTCACCAACTTCTCCACCATCTCTGACTTTTCAACTTTTACCCAAGGTTCGGTTCTATCAACCCGGAGTGCTGGGGAGATATTCTTACTCAAAGATCTTTGCGAGAAAGTCATTGAAAAGCACCTATCGCTTCAATCAGCCAGGATTGTCAGCACATCCTGCTATTCTCAGTATCGGGCCATTCTCCTACATCGTTTCCTTATCTTAGAGCTACGACGTCCCGGGAAAAGGGATGTATGGCTGCGAATCGAACGGAGAGCTGGACTGGGTCCTCTCTCACTTGCACGACAACTCGGCAAATCTCGTGCCAGAGATACAGTGAGAGCTCGTTGTCAAACTGTTGCTGAACATTCCTTTGACACGCCTACAGGCTCAGCTCTCAGCAAGTAAAGAAGTCCTCGCAGGAGCGGCACAAGAAGAAAACATTCAAGAATTTAAAAGACCACCCTCTCTCGCCGAATTTGGTGATTATCTTCGAATCATCTGTGAAGAGCTGTTGGAGTATACAATTTGGCAGGTATGATGCTGCGTTGATATCACTTATGAAGCATGCTCAGACCACGATCGCTTCAGGAAAACTGTTGGATGTTCTGTTCACTGCTGCAAGAGCATCTCGGAGGCTCAGGAAGCGGGCACTACACGTCCGGATGCCCAGTTGCTCCCAACATGGCGTCCACTGTCCGAGACAGAATATCAGAGCGAGTGGCAGCCCATGTATCATCCAATGCAGTATAGTGAATTCGGAGGTTGTTAGCAATCCAGAGGGGGATCATGACAGTGCTGCCACATGCATTGCCAGGTTCAGCTGGGTGCCTAGGTTTTTTCCGTTGCCTCTTTTATAACTGTCAGTGTGATTTCTACCAAGGTCCCAACCCGTCAGCAGCAACCCCTGAGCAATGCGAAGCCAAGTTTGTTTGGTTGCTATATCTCTCCCCACAATGTGTACCGGCCGGATGCTTAGATATTCACCACCACCACACGCAGGACATCTTGGAGTGAATGGATGGCTCCCCACCCGCCACTCAATTAGAAAGGAGCAATTTGCACTTTCGCGTTCTGTACCGACACCCTTCATTGCTTCCCAGAACAAAACGTTCTCCCCAATCCTCAACTCTATCGTAGACTCACCCTGTCGATAATCTCCCCAGCCTGCTACCTTTCCCACGTTGCGGGAATTCGCTGCTGACCTTGCTTGCTTGTTCATATGCAATGTTTGCTTTTTCATCATCAGCGTTGTAGCGCAGTTGGCTAAATTTATTCCTCTATTGTATCCAATGTAATCTGTTTTTAGTGATGACTAATGAGCAAAGAATTTCCTGGCAGTGTCGATGCATCGAAGCGCAGACGAAGTATTGAACAACTTACACACACTCTGACTTCCTCAGTGCAAACAAAGAGTAGGCAACGCTTAGTCATGGAAGCCGGCAATTCATCTTTGGCAGGACAGTCAGTGGAAGGGAGTGCGACTTCTTCGGAAGCGACCAGTTTGGTACGACCAACAATAACGATCTAATCTCTAATCTCCCTGTGGCCGGCGTTACGAGCGCAAGTGCTAAAGAGGCAATATGAACCCTTGAACGGCGCCAAACTTGATAACCCGCACTCGCAATGCAAAGAGGCACTACCAATGACTATGCCCTCTTTAAAAGTCAATGCCATTTGGACAACAGTTCCGCGCTCATCAAACGCGGAACTCCTTTTGAATAGCCGAGGTGGGAAGCGCCCAACGAAAGCTGCCATTGCGAAGTTGAGGATGTTAGCGGAATGCTGAGGCTCCCACCCTATTCAGGGCCAAGTGTTTATTCCAATATAAACTCGCAGAGTTGGAATGGGACGGAAAGTAAGCAAACATCCCAGGAGATTAGAAACGTTCATTGCTGAATTCGTGGTCAAATGGTTGTGAGTCTTGAGCTTTCTGGGGGTGGAAAGGAACATATCGGAGAAAGTGAGCGCGTGGTGCAATGCACGCGATCTGGTTTTGAGTTACCTTTTGAGATGTTCGTGATCGCCAAGAGACATAAATCCAGTCTATAGAGTCAAAGTCGCTACCAGTTGGCAGTTACGAGGCCGAGTCTAGGGACAGCTCTGCTTTCCAATACCAAAGAGTCAGTTCGCGGCGCCTTCTGGCGCTGAACACAGTTGCACATTTATCTCTACCGACCGGGATTGGCAGTTCCAACATGGTTCGGTTCACGGTTCGAACCGGTTCTCTGAGAACCATGGCACCCTAGACGCGATGGGTGCCTTAACACCATCCGAGAGCGTACTGACCACTCAAATACTCTGGAAAATTCAAACCCACACGCTCCAGATCAACTGACTGAACAGTCAGGTAGAGGCTACCACTGTCACTTTGATTACGAATGAACTGACCGTCAAATTTCCAGCGCAACTAATTAAGCACGTAACTTACAGAGAGCACATTCTCCAGCCAATTTTTCCGCAAATCGAACATTTCCATCCTCCCAACACACTGTGTAGTTGCACCTACAGGCTACATAAACCAAACAGGGCCTACAGCCGTAATGTGTCCATAAATGTGGCAGGGGGCTGGGCTGGGCTGGGCTGTGCGAAGCAGGACAAATGGACGGGTTCATGGTACTCGGGCTGTGACTTCGCTTGTGGTGCTTTATTTATCAACACAAAATCCCCTTCTAACGAAGCAACGACATCCGTAGTTTCACATGTCCAGAATGGCTGCAGCAATGATCCGGAGGCTCAATTAGTCGGTTCGATCATCGATCACGAGTTGTGACTGCATGTCGGTTGAAGAAAAGGTCACACCGAACTTGTATGACTGGCCTAGAACTCTATAGCGCTGTATGTCACAGCTCGGACATTCAAAGAAACACATATTTGACGAGTCTTTGCATAATCCTGTGCAAGGCCAAACGATATCCTATGCCTGTCCCTTATTAGGCGCGGAGAGGCACCTCTTCTCATCGATCCTCTTGTACGATTAGACAACAGTGTTACCACCACTTTTCACATCTATACCTGATAAACACCAGCATAACCCCCGAGCTAACCCAACCCGTGCCCATGTGGGCGCCCAAGCATTCCCAGGCCACCATGCCTTCTCATGCCCCCGCCAGGCACCGCAGGGGCTCCGTAATGACGGAGGACACCTTCCACGCTATGGCTAGCGCCGAGCAGCCCCCATCCGTTGCAGTCTCAGACGTCTATCAGGCACTGATCGATGAATCGGCAGGATTAGCTCCTCTCAGGGATGCTGAAGTAGCCGAGGTTTTTTGTTACAACCGCAATGGCGTAAGTTGGGGATGAATATCCAGTGGACCTCGCTGACGACATGATCAAGGCGGGAGGCCATGAATATCTGATGTTAAACATACGGCTACCTTCGTCACACAGCCAAGTGGCTCGGAGCACCGTTGTATGGGCGCGCGCTGAGAGGGTCCCGAGCACTCAAGAACGCAGTGTTCTTGGAGTCATGTGGAGGGGGTCAGTGGCTTTGGACAACATCAAGTTCTCGTATCACGCCCCCACAATTCGGGGGCGGGAGGACGTCCCCGTCGTGATGTTTCACTGCATCAACGTCAAGTTCATCCATGCTGCCCACTTGTTTAGCATCATCCACCATCACTCTCAGGACTACTACACAGCCAGCTTTAACTGCTGGTGGTTTGCCACAGGTGCGTCCTTCCTTTCTTTTCCTGCGGAGAAACATCTGGCTGGATATACCATGCAGTTACCATCGGCGGTCTACGTCAGTTGGACAAGAATAATGATTCGATCCAGTTCCCTAACAAGAGTTACATTAAAGCTGCTGCAAAAATCCTGGGCGACAAGACGAAGGAGGTGACGAAGAAAGTGACCCACGAGTTCCTCTTCGAATGGAACGTTCGGAGCACTGCCGATCTTGGCGATGAAGCAACGTGGGAGCCTCGTCGTGATCATCCCCCAAGAATGGAATTTCTTCCACCGGGCGTTCAGCCCGCTCTGCCCCAATCCACTTCCCCCCTGACCACTTCGCCTCAATCCTTCCTTCCCCGATCCGTTCTGACCCTACCCACGCCAATTGCCCCTTACTATGCCAGCGCGTCGCCTCATCCTCATCCGGGGTCCCCTCCGATGGCCAACCATCACGACCCACAATCTTCTACAGCCATCCACGAAGTTAGTGTGAGTTTAATTAACGTGCTTTGGCACCTTCTCATTCCTTGCTACAGGGGGGCACAGTTACAGGCTCTGCGATTATGGACTCGCCAGGCTCCATCCGGAGCACCCTGCCTCTGCCGCCTGAGTCGGCAGAAACTCACTCCGATCATAGCTCTATCCATCCACCTCTTATCACAGAATCAACGTCTCCTACCACGGCACCAAGAAACCTTGAAACCGTCAACCTGGTGCAGCGCGTCGTGGTGACCCATAGGATCGATGATTACAATATATTGATTGTTGGACATCAGTCCGCCATTCCTTCGAGGGAGTTGTTCTGGATCTTGAAGACAATCTTCAGGGATGTGGATGGTGATAATCAAGCGCGCATCAGGGAGGGGGTTCTGAAATTTTTGCATATGTGGGTGTTGAGCGGACTCCTCGACGTTTCCGTCTATTCGGAGGTCGAGCGTTTTGCGGAGAAACACTTAGCCAACGCCAACTCCTCGTTGTCTCGCCATTGTCGAGAGATTCAAGCTGCACTGCAAAGACCAAAACCTCCCACTGCAAGGCACCGAGCCGAAACATTGAACGGATCCGTCTTCACTACTGCTTCGTCCGCTTCAAGTGGCCAACGGAAAACCAAAAAGAGGACCATCGTGGAAATGAAGCCGAAAGATCTTACCGAGTTAGCAAGAGCTCTGTTCGAAGTGGAAAAGGACAATTGGGGAGATCTTACCATAGCCTCTGTTGTCGAGTCCCTGTCAGCAAGATGGGACGAACAAATGACGCTGGACTCTAAGCCATTCTCTCCCTTGGCTGAAAAGGTAATTTGGGGTTTTCCGAGATTCTTAACCTTGACACCGTCCCGTACTCAGATACAGGACTGGGTTATTGAGGAATGCCTGGATAAACAACGTGAGGTTCGACAGCGGGCATTCTATGCATTCTACCTCCTGGCATGTGTAAGCAGCGCCTGTCCACACTTCCTCCAACAAGACGCCCCACTAAGATCTCTCTGAGTAGCAGTGCAAGGAGATGGGCAATTATGCAAGTTCTCAAGCCATCGCCCGCGCTTTATGCGGCAGATACCTCACTAAATTTGAGTACATTCAAGGTGTTGCAGCGAAGAAATTGGGAGACCGGAAACGTCCAGGAGAGGAACTGCAACGCTTGGCTGAGTCTTGGGATGGGGTTCTGGCCAAGATTCCTCCACTAGGTTCGTCAATGACTCGCCGTCTTCGTGTGCTAAAAGATCGCCTAGATTATCAATTGCGGGCCCTCCTGCCAGCGTTCCGCGCGATCCGAGGCGATGGGGGTGCGATCGACTGGAAAGCTTGCACATGGTTTCACGACCAATTGAACCAGGTGCTTCAACAACCCGTTCCTAAAACCCTTCAGGATGCCAAGGCCCAGGAGTCTTTTCGTGAATTCCTTCACAAAGGGATGCTCAATGCCCAGTGGAACCGTGATAGCCACGAGGCTCGGAGTGCGGACCTTTCATCAAGGGAGCCTCAGGAGATACCACAGATGCAAGTCAAAGGTGGATGGTGATAACCAAAGTTATGATATCCCATCATCCTACTGCTGCAACTTGTTGTACAACACTTTCAACTCGGTCTGGCCTGCTCAGTCTAAAAGCTCGGAACATAATATTCAGATTCGACTTTACGAAGCATATTCTAGTCTATCACTGCTAATCTTCTCTCCTGATGATCTCATTTTTTGATCTGTTTCGGTCTAAGGGTTCTTGGTTTTGGTCCTTTTTTTCTTTTCCAATTGCGACTTGATAACTCAATCTATGTATACCACTCCCCGCATGTAGCCAAGACTCAGTATAACGCGCGCGAAGAACAATGCCATCCCCATGCCGCCTGCAGACACCTCGCGCCTTCACTGAGTATACCGCGCCAAGGCCTTATTTGCTGATAACACCCTGTCGGGCGTCCATCCATGCCCTCCAGAAACTATCATCTGGGAGGTCGACTTAACTGACTGAGAGGCGCAGGCTGCGACTGACGAGGTGATTACGAACGAACCGGCCGTTAAATTGCCATGTATTGCGCAGCGCAATCGAGGGGGTTACATGCATCGAGATATAATGAAATCACCAGATTTACAGTAAGATGAAGTGAATGACAATCTTTCAGATGTCACGATTCCAAGCATTACTTTCGATCTACATTAGCAAATTGCATGCTATACCTAGGGTCGTGTGTATTTGCAGTACATAGTGGTGATTGGTGGGTAGGATGATGAGATTTGTTGCGCGGTTACAGTAATATTCCCCGTCCATGGTTTACATGCAGGCAGAGCCTGTGAGACTTCTGTTTGCAGAACAAGCCAAATTCGCATCATGAGAAATAGCTACAAAGCCAGAAATGATGGAGTAGTGTGCCATGTATGGCGTGCTCAACAAACTAAACATGTGGTATATAGCGGGATATACTTATACTCGCATGAACTAGCACAGCATGCGCTGGTCAAAGGCCGCCCCCTGGGGAAAGCTGGCCCCACTGTGTGTCCACAACTACGGAGATTATGGAGATGCTTCGATCAATGGTGATCGATATGTCCATGCGCAACCAACTCAGCCATTCAGTTTGAGCGGCCTGGTTATATAAGTAGGATTCGGGGTAATGAGATTTCCCGGATCGTCTGGCACTCTCAGGCTACCTTCCAGAGTGCAGTGTATTGCTCTGAGCATGGCCTGACCATATTCTATGTTCATTCCCTCTTAGATGGTCGCAGGCACATCGCTGATCGGGGTCAATTTCATATCAAAGGACTTTCCCATAGCCGAAATAGGCACTGCAAACCGCACTGCTTGTCGAACCGACTTCACTCATCTTCTTGCTGACCTTCATAAGTGACAGAGAGGACCAATTTGTGTTATCGCCTGTCGCATCTACACCTGATTGTCACTACTACAGAACAATTCAAGCCTCATTCAGAGCTCCGGGCGCTTAAGCGCTCGCTCCCCACTATGTCCTCTCCTATCGTTGCCAAGCCTCGCAATGGCTCTGTGATGGCAGGGAACACCTTCCACGCCATGGCTGACTCCAACCAGCCCCCATCTCTTGCAGTTTCAGACGTCCACCAGGCACTCATCGATGAGTCGGCTGGATTAGCGTTTCTCAGGGATGCTGAAGTGACTGACGTTCTTTGTTACCACCGCGATGGCGTGAGTCGAGAACTGATATGCGATAGAGTTCATCTTGCTGACGATATTTAAGACGGGGGGCCATGATTATCTTATGTTAAGCATCCGGCTAGGCCAAGGCGCCATTGTGCTGGCACGGGCTGAGAGGGTTCCGAGCACGCAAGAACGCGGGATTATCGGAATCGTTCTGAAGGGCTCGGCGGCATGGGATAATATCAAGTTCTCATATTATCCCTCCGCTATTCGGGGCCCTGGAGATATCCCGATCATGATGCTCCGTTGCCACAACGTCAAATTCGTCCACTGCACCCAGTTGTTTAGCATCATCCATGGTCACTCCCAGGAATATCATGCGAAAAGTTTCAACTGCTGGTGGTTCGCTGCAGGTGCGTCTTCGCTTCATTTGTGTGGAGAACGTGTGTGGAGAACGTGTGTTGACACCGCATACAGTTAGCATTGGTGCTCTGCGTCATTTAGACCATAGGAATGATTGGTTCAAGTTTCCCAGCAAGGATTGGATTAAAGCCGCTGTAAGAATCGTGGGCAGTGGTACGAAGGAAGTAACGAAGAATGTGACGCGCGAGTTTCTCTCCCTGTGCAATGTCCGAAAAGTTGTCGATCTGAGCAATGAAGCTACTTGGGAGCATAGCCGTGATCCTCCCTCGGGAACAGAGTTTCTGCTTCGACCCCCTCCTCAACCCGACCTTCCACCTCATCCCATCCCAATGCCTCAGCCCACCCTTATGCCTCAGCGTCAGCCCAGTCTCGTGCCTCAGCCCACTCTTATGCCTCAACCTCAATTCACTCTGCCTCCAAGCCCTCTTTCCCAATCCCCACCCGCCACCCACAACCACGGTTATGGCGGCCCGCCTCACCCAGTATCCCAGTCCACTTATCCAGAACCCAACTATCATGGTCCTCAATCCCCTACGATTATCCACGGAGTGATCGTGAGTTTACTTTGTCCAGTGCGTGTTAGCACCTTTTTATTCCAGGTTATTAGGGAACCACAGTTACGGACTCGGCGATTACGGACTCACCGCGGTCTCTGCCAAGCAGCCTTCCGCCATCTTCCCCATCGACGGAAACTCATTCCGATCATGGCTCTGTTTATCCACCTCATATCACAGTATCGAGAGGCCTCGGAATCGATCTGGTGCAGGATGTCGTAGTGACCCATGATATCGAGGTGTATAAGGTATTAATCGTTGGGCATAAGTCTGCCATCTCTTCGGGGGAGTTATTGCGGATCTTGAAGACAATATGGAGGGAACCAAGTGGCAAGAATCAAGCGCGGCTCCAGGACGGGGTTTTGAGATTCTTGCACACATGGGTGTTGTTGGGCTTCCTTGACGTTTCATTCACCTCGGAGGCACTGAGGCTTGTGGACGAGTACTCAGGCAGTCCGTCATTTAGCGGTCGTCGAGAGATATGGCAGATTCAGAATGCCCTGACCGAAGCGGCCCTGGCAAGACCGACACCTCTTTCCCCTGTGAGGGAGCGAACCATGACAATCAATGGATCCGGGTCGAGCGTTGCGTCTGGCGCTTCAGGAAGACAACGAAAGATCAAGGGGAAGACCATTGGCGAAATGGACTCGAATGATCTCCTTGGGTTAGCAAAGGCTCTGCTTGAGAAGGAAGCAGACAATATCGAGCATCTTACTATGCCTCATGCTGTCAAATCGCTGATAGGCTGGCGAAACCATCCAGAAGCGTCGGACTCGATACTATTCTCTCCCTTGGCAGAACAGGTAATTAAAGACTTTGCTGATGCCTTTGGTTTCAAACGATCTGAGAATCTTTTTACATTCAGATACAAGACTGGGTCCATGAAGAGTGCCTGAATAAACGCCACGAGGTTCGGCAGAAGGCATTCCAATCGTTCTACCTTATGGCATGCGTAAGTTATTCCCCTGAATGCACCCGCAGCTGAGAACCCCCTAATATTAATACTTTTTTGAGCAGGAATGCGAAAAACTAGGAAATTTCGCTAGTTCCCATGCTATCGCCCGCGCCCTTTGCGGGAAGTACTTTGAGGGATTCGAACTTATTCGGGGTCGTGCTGCGAAATCAGCGGGAGGTGCAGAAAAGCTACAGAAAGCACTGCAACACCTTTCCGAACCCCCGGACGGAGTCCTGGCGACAATTCCTCCGATAGGTTTGTCAACAAGACGTCTCTAGCAACGTGTGCTAAATGACCATCTAGATTACCGATTGCGACGACTTCTACCGTTGTTCGACGCCATCCGGGATGATGTTGCTACGATCAACTGGGAGGCTTGCAGGTTGTTCTATCAAAGTTTGGTGCAGGTGCTTCGACAGCCCGTTCTCCCTTCTCCGGAAGCCAACGTCCACGAGTCTTACCATAAATTCCTTCGCGCAAGGATGTACGAAGCGTCCTTGCATCGTTCTGACCACCAGAGTCTCAGTGAACACCTCTCCGCAAATGAGAACCGCGAGATGCAGGATATGAGAAATAGAGCTGGGTTCTAACAACCGAGTTATGGTGCTTTGCTACGTTACTCCTGCCCTCACCGCCCCTCAAATGGTCTCAACATGGTCCGGCCTGCTTGGATGTGAAAACTAATTTCTGAGTCCCAGTTCATTATGCGATGTTGCAATTGTATCCCGGTGTTCTCCATTTCATCTCACTACTATCTTTCTTGGCTTTGAGGGTTCTGAGCTTTCCTTTCCATTTTTATCACGACGTTCCTGAATACCGTCCCCGTGTAATTCTATGTATGTTGCCGAACCTATGTATAACCAAGTTTCCGTGAAATTGTGCTGAATGAGAAGGTAGATTGTTCAAGTTCGTCCTGAGGGCAGACGTACATCCACCTGCTGTGAAATTCAGGAGAAGTTAGGGCACATATGCGTCCATGCATAGCAGCTGTAAGTTGGGTGGCGACGAACATGATGAAGCTCAGTTTACTACCACTATCAGGCCAAGATAAACACACGAATGTAGTTCCGCGGAATCAGCGAACTGGGTTAGTGAGAGTGCGGCTGTTTTCCCCCATCGTGGGGTGGGCCTCAAGCACCCAACCTAATCCCTGAATAAGCGAGCGAAGTATATCCCATGCGACCGAGGCATAATGTTCCGCGCGGCGATGCTCCCGATGATTGGCGGCAGTCAAGGTAAGACACACAAGCCGACCTGGTTTGGCGGATGGCTTAATGAATCCCTAATCACCTGCCATTACTCCATTGGACTCGGAGTCAGCCAACTCTGCTGTATTACGTCCAGGAACACGTGACGGGGGTTTTGACAAGATCGTCCTTCGCCTCTCGGTTGCTGAACAGTCCCCCTTGTGCTAGTTAAGTGGCGTGCGGTGGCGTTTCTGAGGTGTTGCTCCTTCTAGGGGTTGTCAGGGAGATATTGAAAGGAACCATCACTCAGTTGCCGGCAAGTTGTCGAAGTGATGATCAATTACTGGTGGCTGATTCCGAAATGCGTTTCCTTGTCCAGTGTCCACCACAACCACGTCGCTGGCTCGACATTGGACCCTTAGGTCTTTGATTGGCTGACTTTTTCAGTATTATTCCGTCTAAATTGCGAACTCGTACGTGTCAAGATAGGTTGGCTGACTACGCACTGACAGGTTTTACGTCCAACGTCTAGGTAAACGCGTCCCACTTAAAACCTCCGTGTTTGCCCTCTTCTGGTTTTAGGTGCCAACCATGGCCCTCCTTTTCTTACTACTGGCAAGCCCATCGATCGCAGAGCCCCTGCCGATGATTGTGCGACGCCAAGTACTTCCGACTGATAGTTCTGGCATCCTGAGTTCCACGGTTCCAACCCCCACTACCCCACTGAGCACTGATTCTTCACAAACCAGCACAACCATCCTTAGTGACACAACTGAGTTTTCGACAGTAACCCCCTCTTCGAGTCCCACAGACACACCAACGGAGAGCTCCACAATTCAGTCAGAGTCATCCATAACTTCTGCGGCCGAATCTCAAACTCCCACACCACCTATCCCGCCAACCTTCACCCCCCCAAGAGAATCAAAACACAGAGATAATAGTGGTGCCATAGCGGGTGGAGTCATCGGGGGGCTCCTCGCTTTCGCGGTGCTCGTCGGCATATTTTTCTTTTTCGCAAGAAGGCGCCGATTCTCTCCAGGGCGGACACGCGGGTTCGGCCGTGGCCCCAGCTTTCCTCCGTCTCCTCGCCTTAATCGTCCATGGCAGTCCGACATTTACGAAGGATCCGCTCTTGATTCGGCCAAACCACACAGACTCGACTCCATAAACGGTGGAGATCCTTTTCGAGCTGCCAGTCTGCGTGGTGCCGATGACAGACTTCGAGCCTCGAAAGAGTTTGCGGCAGGAACGGCAGTTAGTGTAGGAGGCAGTAAACGAAATACCCGCTCATCTTCCAAAAGCAACGTTCTGAATGTTGTTCCTGGGACGGCGTACGATCTCAATGTCTTCCGCAATAAGGCCGATGAGCGGGGACACGCTGATCCCTCTCGTTCGCAAACTTCCTTCCACTCGGTCCCGGGAGAAGACTCTTCAAACCCAGCCGGGGCGAATGGCGTTACCAGGAATCATTCTCTTAAACGCAAACCTGCTCCAACCTACAATGAAGAAGAGGAGTCCAGCCCCCCTAGGAGTCCTAATTCCAGTAAGCCACCTGTTGCTGGGACGCGTATGGGCCGCGTGAGGTCACACTCTCAGGCGAGTTCAAATTCACGGCGTGGAGTGGAAATTAGTGGCAATGGAGACATGGAACTCAACCACAAGGGCAGTGGCCAGTTCTACGGGGAAAAGGAAGGACCAGTGCATTATCTCGTGCCAGATTTACCTTCATCGAACATGATCTGAGATTGACGTTAAGAGTGATAGGTGCTTTTCCACACCCTCCGCAACCTTCTTGGCAAGATTGCCCACCCTTGCATTAAGGATTCCTCGATCTCTTCGTAATTCCATATTTCGGATTTATCTCCATCGTCCATGAAATCTGTAATTGCTACTTTCCGTTCACTTCGCTTACCTCCAAATCTTTGTGTAATGGTGACTGTACATTCGTGTTGTACTGAACACTTTGATCATTAGCTAGCGCATCATGAGTCTCGTGTCTTGCTCCTATCTTCTCTGTATTTATACAGCAGGCATTATGTATCGATGGATTCCTCCCTAGTCTACACCTCATCTTTCGCCATGCAAGCGTCACTCATGTAATAAGGTCGGGATACAACCTACATATCGTCCGATCTGAACGTACGCGTACGTTGCATTACGTTGCATGCTGTCGGTGTCGACATACCGGTCGGTGGCATGAAGGCAGTACATGTTGTACATTGTGGCGATAAACTGATGCGGCCGACGCCAGGTGAATTACATAAGTATAGGTAAGACCCACGTTGACCGTGGTAACATTTCTATTGCTTCCGAGGACACTTCGAACCGATCTTTTTATTAAACCTTCATTTGATTATGTTCGCGAAATTTGCTTCCTCTTTGGCCAAAGATGCCACGACTCAAGGTATGTATGTAAATGGTCTAAACAGTTTCTCTGCATGCTCGTCCCTCTGCCCAACGTTGAGTGTCCGCCACTGAGTGCTGCAGAGCCAACGTTCCGACTCGTAACAAGTTCGAAATTATGCAGGCTCTGTCAGAAGTGAAAGGGAGACAGGAAAGACTACTGAATTGATATGCCATCTATTGCTTACTCCAGGGAGGTGCCTATGCATTCTGACAGTCATGGAAGTTGTCCGGAGATTTCCGCGTACCCCCCTCACCGATTGGTTTCTTTTGTTTGGTGGAACCTCCTGTAGCTTTCGCAGTGTAATTTCTCATAAGGGGCGTTGTGTGTAGGTGCCGTGGCCCTGGTGATCGGAAAGGATGGTTAGTGTCTCGTGGATTGGTCGTGATTCCATATCAAAGGACGTTCCCACAGCTTAAATAGGTACTTGGGCACTGCACTGCTCGTCAAATTTACCTTTGCCCATTTTCGCAAGTAATAGAGAGGACCAATTTGTGCACCCTTCGCATCTATACCTGATTGACACTACTGCAGAACAATTCAAACCTCACGCAGAACCTCGGGCACTTAAGCGCTCACTCCTATGTCCTCTTCTATCCATGCCGGGCCCCGCAGAGGTTCTGTGATGACGAGGGACACCTTCTACGCTATGGCTGAATCCACGCAACCCCCATCGCTTGCAGTTTCAGACGTTCATCAGGCACTCATCGACGAGTCCGCTGGATTAGCGTTTCTCAGGGATGCCGAAGTGACCGATGTTTTTTGTTACCATCGCGATGGCGTAAGTCAAGGACTGGTATCCACTAGAGTTCATCTCGCTGATGACATAATTCAGACGGGCGGCCATGATTATCTTATGTTAAGCATCCGACTAAGCCAAGGCACCATCGTGTGGGCACGGGCTGAGAGGGTTCCGAGCACGCAGGAACGCGGGATTATTGGAATTATTCTGAACGGCTCGGCGGCATGCGATAATGTCAAGTTCTCGTATCATGCCTCCGCTATTCGGGGCCCCGAAGATACCCCAATCATGATGCTCCGTTGCAACAACGTCAAGTTCATCCACTCCACCCTGTTGTTCAGCATCATCCACGATCGTTCCCCGGAATATTATACGAAAAGCTTCAACTGCTGGTGGTTTGCTGCAGGTGCGTCTTCGCTTCACTTGCAGTGGAAGAACATGTGTTGAACACCCTATGCAGTTAGCATTGGTGCTCTGCGTCATTTAGACCAAGGGAATGATTGGATCAAGTTTCCCAGCAAGGATTGGATTAAAGCCGCTGCAAAAGTCATGGGCAGCGGTACGAAGGAAGTAACGAAGAATGTGACACATGAATTTCTCTCACTGTGCAATGTCCGAAAAGCTGTGGACCTGAGCAATGAAGCAACCTGGGGGCATAGTACGTCGGGGACAGAGTCTCTGCTTCAACCCTCTCCTCAACCCAATCTTCCGCCCCGTCCCACCTTAATACCTCAACGCACACTTATGCCCCAACCTCAACTCACTGTACCCCAGAATCCTCTTTCCCAGTCCCCACCCAGCATCATCTATGGCGGTACGTCTCACCCAGTATCCCAGCCCACTTATCAAGAACCCAACTATCATGGTCCTCAGGCTATCTACCGAGTGAACGTGAGTTTACTTTTCCCAATGTGCCTTAACACCTTTTCACTCCTGGTTATTAGGGAATGAAAGTTATGGACTTGCCGATTACGGACTCGCCGCGATCTATGTCGAGCACCCTTCCGCCATTGATGGAAACTCATTCCGAGCATGGCCCTGATCATCCACCTCCTATCACCGTGCCGAGAGGCCTCGGAATCGCCGATTTGGACGCCGTGGTGTCCCATGAGTTTTTGCTTCAATCCCCTCCTCAACCTAACCCTCTGCCCCATCCCACCTCGGTGCCTCGACCCACATATATGCCGCAGCCTAGACCCACACTTAGTATGCCTCAACCTCAACTCACTTTGCCTCTTTCCCAATCCCCACCTGGCACCACCTACAACTATGGATATGGCGGCACGCCTCGCCAGTATCCCAGTCCACTTATCTAGAACCCAATTCTCATGATCCTCAGTCTATCCACGGAATAACCGTGGGCTCCTTTTATTCCTGGTTATTTGTAGTACTAAATTAGACTTGTGTGCACGGGGGGCCCCGGCACTCATGCTATGTATCTCTTTCTTTATCTTGCGTGCTTGGGCTCTAACGCCTTCAACTGATTACGCTGTACCTGTCATCGGCTTTTTCGCATGCTAATTATCATCACAGTTTCAGATTCGGAGCTTTATCAGAGAGGCGTGTGAGCCACACCCGGTCTCTCGCGCACCTACAATGAAGCATAGTCAGCAGCGCGAGTCATTTTGGAGTCAGAACTGAGTGAATTGAAGGGTAAGTGTGTGAGTTTCACTGCGTCCATCAGTCATAGATCCTCCTTTTTTGAGAGATTAGATTCTTATTGTGCGCAATAAAACATGATCCCATACGGGAAGTGGTTCTTACAGCAGCAAATGGGAGCGAGAGTTGGATTGGTAAAAGACAACTTGAAGCCTGACGGAAAGCTCCTCCTTCCGGTAGTGTCGCCGGACCACTAATGAGCGAAATGACGCCAGAACATCGAGTTCTATGTACCCCTCAACTGTATCTGAGCTTCATATACGTTTGCCTTCAGCATACAGCTGAGAACGAGGACCGGCTCGCCTAATCTTCACACGTTCGTCCTGCGCAGCCCCGCGCACGTCCAAATTAAGATTTGGTTACAAATGAGTTTTGGCCATCCGCGAGCTACATACACGGAGTTATTCAAGCCGCAATGAGAAAGAAAGGAAGAACCAAAGCACAGAGCCTTCAAATAAAAGGAAATCGTAGTGGGACGAGGAAGCGCAGTGATACAATGAGGATATTGCCTCATGAACTGAAATTTAGAGACGACATCTCTTAGTTTCGATAGTTGAGCAGACATGAACCGTTGAAACCAAGAAACCATAATTCTGTGGCAGAGCAACGAGGCACAGCAAAAAAAAAAAAAAATCTCGGTTGTCAAGCTCTCCCGCGGGCCTCAGCTGCTGAAAGGTCTTCACTTAGATGCCGGTGTCTGGTGCGGCTCGATTCTGCTGCGTGCATCCTTTCGCGAAAGAATTGATGACAGAATTCAGGTGCCCTGGGTTCCTGAGAGGCGGGGAGGGGCTGTCCAAGCTCCAGATTCAAAGACCGATGAAACTCCTTGCAAGCGTCCCAGTCTACCGTGCCTCCATCATCCCGGATTGCACGGAACGCTGGTAGAAGGGCTCGTAATCGAGAGTCTAGATCATCTATTAGCACATAATACTAATGGTGAGTCGTCGACAAACCTAATGGAGGAATTGCCACCTGGATATCTTTCGGAGGCTTTGAAAAAAGGCGCTGGAGTGCTGCGCTCAGCTTCTCTGGACCTCCTGCTTCACTCGCTGCACGATCACGAATATGGTTGAATCTCCTAAGGAATCTTCCAGATAAACCGCGGGCAATAGCCTGAGAGCTTGCAAAATTTCTCATCCTCTCACATTCCTACCCAAGAAAAATACTAAGGGGATCTCTTGTGGTAAAATGTAACAGGCGAGACTCACACATGCCAGAAGGTATAATGCGCAGAATGCCTTCTGTCGAACTTCCGGATTCGCATCCAGACATTCCTCATTCACCCAATCATGTATCTGATCAAAGGACAACTTTCAGCTTCTTTGGGACCAAATGGGTTGGTAAACTCCATTACCTTTCCTGCCAAGGGGGAGAATGGCTTAGAATCCCACGCATCTGGATCGTCTCGCCAGGCTGTCAGCGATTTGACGGCACGAAACATTGTAAGATCTTTCCAATTGTCTGTTTCCATCTCGAACAGGGCCCTTGCAAGCCCCGGGAGGTCTGCCGACTCCATTTCGCCAATGGTCCTCTCGATTCTTTGTTGATTACTTGACGCAGTCAAACCAACGCTGGACACAGAGGGAGTCGTTGTTTCGGACTGGTGCTCTGTAGCGGGAAGAGGGGTCGGTTCTGCCAGGGCCGCTTGAATCTGTATCACGTCGTCACGATGGCTAAATGGTGGGCGATTCACATATTGAAGAACTTCCGGGTGAAGGGAAGTATCGAGGAATCCGATCGACACCCAGGTGTGCAAAAATTTCAGAACTCTGTCCTCGAGCTGCGCCCGACCATCTCCAGTCAAACCTCTGACCATTTTCTTCACGACCCGCAGCAACTCCCTCGGAGGGGTGACAGACTCATGTCCAACAATCAATACTTTATAATTGTCGATATCGTCAGTCGCCACGACGCGTCGCACCAGCTCGGGGAACGCAAGGTCTCTTGGTAGGTTAATAGAACCATTACTGGGATAAGATCCCGTCGATCGAGGTGAGCCAAAGGCACTTGAAACAGATCGTGACACGTCCGTAATCGCAGGGCCAGTGACTGAGGTCCCCTGGTACAGCAGGGAAGGGAAGGTGTTAAGATATGCCTGGTAAATACTAAATACTGGTAAATTAAACTTACATTCACTCCACGAACAGTGGGGTAGACATGATTGTTGGATAGTGGAGGCGACGTGTTGCCAGACCCTTTAGGGGAGAGAGAAGTAGTTGGGGATAGGGTTAGAAGAGGTTGAGACAGTGTGGACTGAGGAGAAGCGGGTTCATGCAGAGGCTCTGTTTGGGAGGTAGGTTCGCGATAAGGCCCCCACACTGCTTCATTGCTGAGATCAACAACTTCATGGACGTCCCAAAACGAGAGAGCCTCGCGCGTCACTTTCCTCGTCACTTCCTTCGTACTACTGCCCACAGCAGCTCGAATCCATTCCCTGTTGGGGGAGCTGGTCCAATCACTGTTGCCGTCTAAATGACGCAGAACACCGACGCTAACTACCTAAGGTGGTAAATCACGTATGTAACACGAAAGAAGGGAAAGGAATGCACCTGCGGCAAACCACGAGGAGTTGAGGCTCGTTGCATGATACTCTTGAGAGTGAGTATGAATGATGCCAAACAAATAAACGGCTTGGATGAGCCTAACGCTGTTACAACGGAGCATCATGATGAGGTCGTCTCCCGGACCCCGAATTACGGGGGCGGAATACGAGAACTTGATGTTATCGCAAGCCGCAGGAGCCCGTCGCACGATTCCGAAAAACGCACGTTCTTGTGTGCCAGGGACCCTCTCGGCGCGGGCGCATACGACGTTGTGCGCGCCGGTTTGCTGGGGTAACCGTACATTCAACATCAGATAATAATGGCTCCCTGACTTGAACACATCATCAGCGAGGTGGGAGTCCATCGGAGATCTACACTTGACTTACACCTTCGGAGTGGTAACAAATAACATCGGACACTTCAGCATCCTTGAGAAATGCTAATCCGGCCGACTCATCGTTTAGTGCATGGTAAATGTCTGAAACTGCAAAAGATGGGGGCTGTTGGGAGTCAGCCATGGCATGGAAAGTGTGTTCCGTCATCACCGCGCCTCTACGAGGGCCGGTAGAGACGAGGGAGGACATAATAGCTTAAGCGCCCAAGGTGCAAGTGCGAAATATAGGCTCCTGTACTAATGTCAATGAGGTGTAGACGTGAAGGGTGAGAGCACAAAGGTGGTGTCACTGTTGTCTGCTCGCGCCAGAGCGCCAGTAAGATGATGATGATGGGTGAAGACAATCCGATTAAGCAGATGTTAAAGGGGTAGTGCCAATTTTGGCTATGGAAATATCCTTTGGTATGAGATTGACCTCCGATGAGCAAATATAACTCATACTCAGCGCACCCAGGCACGAAGCCGCGCAGATAATGCCTTGTACTACGCCGGACGGAGTAAATCATATCCAGACATTTTTACCCACATGGAAAATTGTGCCGGTTCAGGAACGAAGTAAATGGGGCCCTGTACACAACTGCTTAGGCACTAGAATCACCTGGATCGGCGTCATCCTTCACAATAAAGAATTACTCCTGAGGCAGGACAATCGATGCGAATTTGTTTCCAGCCCAGCGGGCCATTGTTCCTTTGTTAGGACCAGATGATGAGCAGGAGAATAAGTGCAAGGGTACATCCCAGCGACAACAATTCAACATCGCTTGGACAATTTCACTATTGGATGCTCCACCAGTTTTTAGTGACAATTCAGGTTGTCCGTCCAGTCACGGGGCTTGCCTGTCAGGATATTCCCGAAACCAGGTTCCCTCCAAACTCTACAGCTCCGACAAGCTAGGTGCAAGCCGGCTAAGATCTTCCATGTTTGAGTGTTGATTGTTATGAGAACGCACATCGAAGGCTCGTGCATATTCCCGCCCGGTCAAAGTACCAAGTTTTTAAGGTGAAAGGACCAAAATATCCCCCAAAATGAAGTACAATCCATTACAATATACTATCCATTTGAGTCGTATTTCGGTGCAGAATTTGTGCCCCGTTTACAACAGCACGCAAAAAAAAGACATCTAATTTGGCGTTGAATATATTTGGACATCTCAAGTGTGTTGACGATTTAGGAAAATAATGAGCGCTGGTTGCCACACACAGCCTAAAACAGAAATCATTTGTTACTGACCCGCTGCCATATTTGGGTCATCACCAGACCCCGGCGGTTGACCCAAATCGGGCGCGCGGATTTTTTGGTACTCCGCACCAATATTTATCGAACTTCGGCCTGATGACTGGACTTTTAAAATCTCATTGAGTAACCATCAAGGTGGACAAAACGGTTTAACGGTAGGCAGTAGGCACTTGGATTCGGCGAATATGAGCACCCGGAAACAAGACCCCAATCGTAAGACTACTGAGATGATATACAGGATACTGCGTAGGTCCGCGGATGGCACGGCTGAGTAGTCGCGAAGGGGGAATATGGCGGACTTTGAAATCGGGAAATGTGAGGCAGAAGTTCGGCACCCATGTTGCCAAATCTATGCAAAATTACTTCAAATATCCTAGGGTAAAACTCGCTGGCTCCTATCACAAAAAAAGCTCCAAAAGTAGATATCATGGTGATTGTCCATTGCGACTCGTGGTCATTTAGTTCTTGTGCGCCAGTTGACAGTCAGGTGCACAGACTAGACATTATGTGCAGTAAGTGATGATTCGATGCATGGCGTGGATCAGGAGTCGGCCTCTTTGAACAGTTTTCTCAAAACTTCACCACTCAAAGGTCCTGTTACACATTCGACAATCTCAGCCTGAAGAGTGCCTTGCGAACTGCCGAGTTAAGGGGCACACTTACGACTGCTCTCCGGAGACTGTTGTCCCATATGTGAAGCTAGCGGAGGTGCAGAGAGATCACCTCTAGGAACGCTATCCAATGAAGAATCGAAGCTAGCGCCCAACCCTACGGGCGTCGATACCGAGTGGGTAAGGCCGAACCTTGAAGCAGAGTTCATGAAGGGGAGAGATGTGCGGGCGTTGGTAATGCCTTTTCGAGTGGGGGTGTCATATATGGACGTGGCGGTGGACGAGGCCAGGGACGAGGAGAGGTAAGGGGACACTATGGACTTGGAGAGTGGGGAAGTGGGTTGGGATTGCTGGAGTAGGGAAAGATTAGCCGACTGAAAAGGAGCATTGATAATTAAGCGTACGGAGGTGGTGAGGAATCGAAGGCTTGAACCCCGTGGCTTGCGGATAGAACCTGTACGTGCGGCGCTAGCTGACGGAGGGATTGATTCAGGCGGTGGGGTACGGTTAATGACAAATATAGCTTCAACAATATTCCATAGGATTATAAAAAGGGAAACGTTTTCTGGCGGGTACAAGAACTTGAGAGTCGGTCACAAGATGAGAATATAGATAAACGCACCGAACCAACTAAAGACTTTCAAGACGCCCCGCGTCGACGAAATGCCCCCAATGACAAGCACAACCGACTCTTTGAGAAACCCATATAGAGAAGATTGCCACCAGACGATGGCATACGCGCATAACGCGAAGACGTTAGAACGCAATCTGACTTTGGCAGTGCCGACTTTGGGTAAGTGGGGTATAAATGTATAGGGAAAAGCTCTTGAAGGCGTATTAGGGGTTCGTGGCGGAGGACTGGGAAGTCCCTGTGAAGGCGTAGAAGGTGCCATCTTAATGTTCTGCGCGTTGATGCGTGGAAATCGTGACTGGGAATCGAAGCAGATCAATGCAGCGGAAATTTCCGATCAACACAAACACAGAACCAGTTGTCCAATACCATGAGTCGATTCGTGCGACCTTCGAAGTACCGGTGAGTAGAATTCTCTGTTGTAGTAATCATGCTGGAAGGGATATTCTAGACACGTATTCGGCCAGCCAGCAAAAAAGGAGAATTCGATCGAAAATGTCAAGGTCACAACCAGTGCCTGGGACACGAACCTCATCAGCGCCTCTGGCGTACGTTCTTTCTTCCTAGATACTTATGAAGCATCTTATTACATTTTATAGTCTTACCTCAGCTTGAACTGGGCCTCTTCCGGAGGAGGAGCGTTCGCGATCCTCCCTTTGCCTTCACCATTCGGACCTATACCCTTCGGCATTCCCTACAAACTCCCTGACATAATACCTCTTGCTCGAGGACATACCGCCCCTGTTCTTGATACTGATTGGTCCCCTTTCCAAGACAATGTTGTGGCGAGCGGAGGCGAAGACGGCAAAATCTTGGTCTATAAAGTTGAATCGCGTGAATTCGAAGGTTGGGGTGGAGATAAATGGCAACCTGTCGATTTCGACCCTGTCGCCCGAATTGCTGGCTCAGCTCGAAAGATAGGACAAGTTCAGTTTCACCCCACTGCTGCGCATGTCCTCGCCGCCGCATCGGGTGATTATATTGTCAAGCTTTGGGATCTTGGTTCCCCAGAAGAGCCGAGGTCAACTCTCACTGGGCATCAAGACACGATCCAAGGTCTTGCCTTTAATACGACTGGAACCTTACTTGCTACCACCTGTCGTGATCGTAAGATACGTTTGTTCGACCCTCGTGTTGGTGGAGAGGCGGTCCGAATCACCGATGGGCATAGCGGTATCAAAGGTTCACGCATTGTTTGGATGGGAGATAAAGATAGGCTTGCTACTACCGGCTTCAGCAAGATGTCTGATCGGCAATTATCAATTTGGGAACCCGGATCCCTGAATAATGTGACGACAACCATCATTGATCAGTCTGCTGGCGTAGTGATGCCGTTCTGGAGTGACAATGGGGTCATATTCTTGGGTGAGTAGGGTCGTGTGCTACAATCCTTACTTCTTGCTCAGTTAGTCATGTTATTGTAGCCGGAAAGGGGTACGTGATTTAGATCGGCGAGTCCAAGCATACGGAATTGACAAGTGCTCACAACACACAGTGACGGAAACATTAGGCATGTAGTGCGAACCCACCAGCACATATTAAAGTTGCTTACCGTCGATTCAGGTTTTACGAGTATGAGTCAGATGCTTTGCATCCTCTGTCGGAACACAAGTCTTCTGATCCCCAACGTGGAATGTGCTTCTTGCCGAGGAGAGCCTTAAGTGTCTCAGAATGCGAGATTGCTCGTGCATACAAGGTCACTGGCACGATCATCGAGCCAATTGCCTTCATCGTGCCACGCAAGGTTCGTCTTACAGTGTGCTTTTGTCAGACTGCTAGTTGAGGTCTACGTCATCGGCAGTCGGACACCTTCCAGTCCGATATCTTCCCCCCCGCAGCGTCCGACGAGCCTGCATTAACCGCCGCCCAATTCTTTTCTGGTAAAACTGCCCAGCCAAAGCTGGTTGATCTCAACTCCGGTGAGATCACGTCTTCGTCAGCCGCCGTAGCCACTACGCCTTCTCCATTCTCGGCTCCAACCCAAGGCACCCCTAATCCTCCCACGAGGACCTATACTGCACTGGCACCTGTATCCGTACCTGCCCCTGAACCTTCGCCTCTCACACAAGGGAGATTTGTTGATGCTGCTCCAAGCCCTGTTGTCGCTACTTCTGTCTACCCGACGAGCTTTTCCCTGCAGCCCCCAGCTCCTGTCCCGCGTGACGAGCCCTCTCCCGTACGGACAAGTGGTGATGTGAGTTTCCTGAACACATGTTTTACGCAACCATCATATATCGGTTTTCATCTTCATAGGATACTCACCTGGCCGAGAACGCACAACTTAGAACCGATCTACGCGAGGCCAAAGCACAGATTCGCAATTTAGAACTTCAAGTAGAGACTCTTAAAGCCAATGCAGCCAGAGCCGCCAAAACCCTGCAATTTGGCCTGGAATGAGCGCTATGTTAGAATGATGCTTGTATATGTTCAATACCCCATGCCCCTATTGAGTCTGTAACTTGTTGTGCGTTTTAATGCCAGGTAAACGCCTCGCGTCTATTTCGGCAACTGCCGCCGAGTTTGACAGGGGAGTCGATTTCATCTGGTTCGGTTCCGCTTCCGATTCCCACAACGAGGAGTGATCTTTGACATGATGCTGTTGGAGGCTTTAAAGGAGCGCCTTGCCAAAAGCGAGGCTGCGAGCGAGGAACGGAAAAGTGAGGTTGAAAGCGCTGCGTGAGTTTACTGACGTTATCCTTGTCGCTTTTCGGACTCTGCACTGCAGGCTGACGGTTATCCCTTCTTCGGATAGTCAAAGCCAACTGGGGAAGTGGGAATCCAGGATATTCAGTCTTAATAGTGAGATAGCCGCCGTGGAGAAAACACTTGAGGCTCTCAAAACCGAATTGGCCTATGCCCAAGCGGCTCTCAACAGAGTCCGTAACGCGAAGACTCCCACGTGTCGCATGCCAGACACCGTTCTCTCCATGATATTTAGCAAGTGTGGCAGCTCATTCAAGTACATCGCTCCCCAAGCCGTTTTCGTCAAGAGTATCTGTGCGGTTTGCCACCATTGGCGAACTGTTGCCCTCAATACGCCAACGCTTTGGTGCGACATAGTTATGGATGCCGGTGCGCTTACGCCTCGTGTACGGGCCTATCTCGAACGATCGAAGAATACGCCTCTATTTTTTCAACTTCATGCGGAGAATGTGGAGAAACTCTGGAGTGCCCAGCATTACAAACGGTGGTTCGACTCGCTTGCTCCTCACCTCTTGCGATGCAACATTTTTTGCTTGTTCACGAGTAGTCACGAGACGGCGCAGAAGATATTCCCTCTCAAAGTGCCGATGCCTGAATTATGGCAGATCGCATGGGATGGCCAGGATCCAACTCGCTCAGATCCATCACCACCCCCTTCTCCAACGTCCATCACCCTCGTAGACGATAGCGTGGGCGCGGAAATCACGGCATTGGATTTGAATGCACTGCACGCTCCGGTGCAAATTCAATATGACGAGAAGATCACCTCCAAGCTGAAGCATCTTCGTTTGCGAGATTTTGCGGGTACTCCTCACAAGGATGTTGTCGATCTAGTTGCACGATGCCCAAACTTGAAGACACTCAATTGGGTGAACGACCTTGGGGAGGGGGATTCAGCTTCGAGGGACTTGACGGCTCTGACTTCGACCTCCCTGCAAGTTGTTAGGCTTAGCCTTGCACAAAGCGGTACTCCAGATGCACCACTGTACAACAATATGTCGTTCCCTGCTCTTAGGAACCTTGTCATTGTTGCAGGCAGTGGCTCAAGCGTGTGGGCAGATCCAATCATAGTAGTCGATTCGGAGACAAAGAAACCCCGTTTCCCAGAGTTGGTAACGGTCTGGTTGTCGCACCGCGTATTCTCTCCTTCTGCCATCGCAGATTTTCTTATTGCACACCCTTCCGTCGAAGCCCTCGGTTCAAGGCTGGATTGGTCTACACCAGGAGTGTTCCATATGCTGTGCGGGCCGGTCTCGCTTTCGCCATGGAAAGAGCAGTTCCCCAAGCTAAAGTACTTTTATGTCATGAAGGCCAGCGCAGATGTCTACTACCCAGACGGCGCAAATCAGACGAAGGAGTGTGTACAGGCCATGGTAACAGCCATCACTGGTCTTATCAATGCATATGGCGGATACGAGCAGGCAAAAGAAGACGAATTGCTCATTCAGCTGAACGATGAGTCATGGGGAAGTTCGGATGCAACTCCGGACACATCATACGAAAAGCTCAAGGAGACGTTCCCAGAGGTCATCAAACTGAGCCACGATGAAAATTGTGTCCCCAATTACTTCCAGCCCAAGTTGTTGATGTGGTGATGGGTGGTTTTCCAGTAAATATTTTAGGGTAAAGAGAAATTTTGCTTGTCTAGATATCTGTGTAGCATACACTCCCCTCCACTTCTAAATAGCCCCCCTTGATTTCCCTCTAATGTATCTATACCTTTCTTGTGTATCACTAGTTACCCTCCTAATCCTGAAGAGCACTCAAGTCCCAAATAATGAGATGATTCACTTGCCTTATAGGGAAGTCACGCGCGCAAAGTTCCAAGCACGATTCTATTATTATTCCACCTCAGTGCCATTTTGCTGGCACTCTACACATCCATTTGGTGGGTCTGGCATGCTTTGACGATACCCAACTCGCTATTCAATGGCCTCCTCTTTTGGGCAGCATTTAGCTAACTCCAACCATGGGCATCCTTGGGTGGCTCTACCTGTTTGTCAGACATCCTGACGATGTTCGGACGTTGGTGCAATATAAGTTGTGGTACGAGCCTAAGCGAGATATTACGAATCCCGCCGAGTGGGAGGCAACAGGTTATAACAGGAAAGATATGAAGAGATGTTGGGAATTCTTGGACATGACCAGCCGTAGTTTCGCGTCTGTCATCAAGGAGTTGGATGGTGACTTGGCTCGTGCAGTGAGTGGCATCCTGGTATATGAGGCCCTTTTATTTGGACCCTAACTCGCCTGACTACCCGAGACTGCACTATTTTACTTGGCCCTCAGAGGTCTTGACACAGTTGAAGACGACATGACCATTTCAGACGAAATCAAGCAACCTCTTCTTCGCTCATTTCATGAAAAGCTCCAAACTCCTGACTGGTGCTTTGGGGGAAGTGGCCCCAACGAAAAAGATCGGCAATTATTGGTCGAGTTCAATGTTGTTATCGCCGAGATTGCACTTGTGCAGCCCGAAGTCCGTGAGGTCATCGTTGACATCACGCACAAAATGGAGAATGGTATGGCCGACTACGCTCACAAGGCCGTCATGTCACCCACCGGAACGTACATTGATGACATTGAGGAGTTTGATTTATATTGTCACTACGTTGCTGGCCTCGTCGGTGAGGGTCTATCACGGCTTTTTGCCGCCACGGGCAAGGAAAAATCCTATATAGCAAACGAGCTGGTCCTTTCCAACTCGATGGGCCTTCTTCTCCAAAAAGTGAATATCCTTCGTGATATCCGGGAAGATATCGATGATTCGAGATTCTTTTGGCCGAAGTCCATATGGGAGAGTCACGGGTTCAAGCATCCAGCAGAGCTCCGGGATTTGGACAAACGTCAAGAAGCTATCTGGGTACTCAGTGCCATGACACTCGATGCTCTTCGGCATTCCGTGGATGCGCTCGATTACCTCGCTCTTCTTAGAAATCAAAGTGTATTTAACTTCTGTGCGATCCCCGCCTCCATGGCCATGGCCACCCTTGCTCTCTGCTTCATGAATCCCACTGTCTTTGACAGGAACATAAAAATACGGAAGGCGCAAGCCGTCAACGTATGGAAATTGGCTTAGCTATATATCTCTGCTGAACAACTTTGTTATAGCTGATCATGAAGTCGACCAATCCACGAGACGTTGCTTACATGTTCCGTGATTACGCGCGCGAATTACACGCGAAACTTGTCCCTGCTGACCCATACTTTGTCAAAATTAGTATTGCATGCGGAAAGGTAAAGGTCCACATTTCCATCTATTTCATCCTTTGGCGACTGAGGAGTGTTATTTTCGCCCCTCGCAGATCGAGCAGTGGTGCGAACAACACTACCCGTCTTTCATTGTCCTCCGCACGGCTCAAGGTGGCCGATCCAGTGTGTCCGACAGAGCCACCGGTGACGCCCGGATGCGAGCTGTTGAACGCCACGAGAAGCTTCTTGCAGCCAAGGCCAGTGAGAGAGGTGAGGTGCCTCCAGCGCCCAGACAAGCTGATGACGATCAGAATGTTCCAATTGAGTTCTTCCTCTATGTGGGGCTTGGAATGGCTATTGTATTTGGGTTCTGCGCAGGTATCATTGTGTTGGTTACGAGATATACGAATTAAGTTCGCTTAGATCCAAGGACTGCCGTCAGGGTTTTTATCTAGTTCCAATAGATTTCCTCATCTGTGATCACCCTCGGTGCGCACTGTGAAGGGATATTATTATTATCAAGATGAACGGGGGTGCACAACAAGTGGCAACACGCAAATTACATATTAACCCAAGGTGAACAGTTAGAGAGAAAAAGATGAAGGTAAAACAGCGCAATACGAAATACAGAAATGTATCATTGGGATGAAGAGCTCATCGCCTTCTTTTATTACCTATAAAGCGTTATGTTTGAACAAGGGATCTAGACAGCTGGGTAACTCCTACCTTTGACTTGCTTCCGATATTTCTTATTCGCCGGCTCCTCATCCTCATCCCCATCTTCATCCTCCTCGTCCTCTTCTTCGTCCTCCGACACATTCACGTTTTTGCGAGGCCGGCCTCGTTTCCTAGGCGCGGAAGATTGACTCTCACTATCGATGCTATCCGTGGAGTTAACTCCGCGGCTATCGGAATCTGCCTCACACTCCGCGCAAAACCATTCCCCGTCGGGCACGGTGCTCAAGGGTGGATCAAGACAGTGGAGGTGATACGGGTTCTCACACTGCCAATCACAGACACGTAAGCCATAAAGCAGCAAACTGTTCAATATCCCCACCTTTTCACACTCTAGGAGGTCTGACCCATCTCCTTCATTCTTGCGGCATACTTGGCAATCTTCAGAGGGCTCGACCTCGGGATATCTGTCCAAGTCACTGAGAGCTTGATTGGGTCGTGCAAGGAAAAATGATGTGTGCGCTCCCGCGGCAATCCTGAACGAAATAATAGTAGGGAATGGGTTCGGCACATTCCAGTCATGCGACTTACTGGAAAACGTCAATGCCTTTGAGAGTTGTGATCTCCACTGGCTTTGTGGCGCTCTTCGGTTGGCCATCGCCTAACCCCAGCTCGCAGTTATTTGCGCCCTGGCCCCAGCCTCACGATCACGTTCAGTGACCAACCCACGGTACGCGCACAAATAGACATACCGATGGTCATGACACAGCCGTCTTCACTAGGAGTGAAACAGAAGTGGGTGACCCCGCCACATGCACCGCCCAGGATCCGACATCCCCTATAACAAGGTGAGATAAAGTCATGTGCGGGCCCTGAAAAGCGGAACTCACATTATATCTTGGAGAAGTCTGAAATTGGAATACGGTTGCCCTGAGGATCCTGGAAATGGGAGAATTATGAGCCCACCATGCTCAATGCAACGCGATGCTTCTTACCATCTCCTGATGTCTTCCACTTCCCAGCCAGCCAATATATCCCTTGACGGTCCACCACGACAGAGCTCGTCGGACCGGCCATAACTTGCTCGCCCCTCAACACAAGTTCTTGACTAAACTAAACTCACATCAAAATGAAGTCAATGCTCCTTAAAGCGTGTGGAGATAGTAACCTTGGGCACTGGGACAGGAACCAGGTGATCTTTCGGATTTCCAAGCCCCGTTCTGCAATAACCTCCAGTTCCCCACACGTAGACATTCCTGTCGGATTATTGCCGTATCGCCAGGAGGCCAATAATGGTATTGATATCGTAAGCGTGCTGCTCACCCACATGAATTGACTCACCCATCTTCGGCCAAAGCAATGCTGTGCTGCTGCCCAGAAGCGATCTGGACTATTTTCTTTCCCTCGAAGGCTTTAATTCGGACTGGTCGATCGAATTCAGTCAAGTTGCGTCACGGTCACGATCATCGCCTACGACATGCGTCCAAATGTATGGGCGGTGTGAAATACCTACTGGGTTCGTGCTCTACATCGAAGGCAGTTTTGTTCCCCGTGCTGATGTGCTCGCCAGTACGGCCGTTCCCGAGCTGGCCCATTTCCGCCGAACCGAAACTATAAACTAGAAGTTGATGGGAATAAGTGAATCGGACGAAACCTTCATTTAGCAACATGACGAGGGAAGCGATGGTATCGGGCTCGATGCCCACCTTTTCCAGATTCGGTAAGTACGATCGAAAACGTGATTCCAGCAGATGCCGCAACAACTTTATCGGGAGGAGTTGTTTTAAGCCAGGGTCCCGAAACTTTTTTGAAGCTTGTAACCTCCGGCCGGGGAGGATGACCACACTGTTTTGGCGTGTCAATTCTTCGATCACGAGGGAAGGCGAATCAATCCAGGACTAGCATACCTGCCCTAATGTATTAATTCCAGCCGTCCACAGATCTCCGGCATCGTCAATCAGAAGCGTGTGAGCCCTTCCACATGCAGCATTAATGAATTTGATTGAGTTCTTGGAAGCTCCACATTGCACTGGCCGGAGTCGTCGTGGTGTTTGTTCTGAAGTTATGGCGGACGTCGAAGACGGAAGCCCAAGGCAGGATGAAGCATTGCGCCCAAAAAGAAAAGCGGTCCCATAGATATCCAGAACTACTGCATGACATGCGCTATGCGATGTGTGAATAGAGACAGCCCTTATATTGGCCAAAGAACGAAGAATACAAGGTTGGAGAATATCTGGGCTATTGCAGCAACAAAGTTTCAAAAACCATCAGTAACGGAGGGACTGTCTGGGACTAGTTTGGCACGCACAACTCGGATTCTGCTTTTGCGGCAGATGCTCCAGCTTTCCTTGACCTGCCCAAATTTGCCCTAACAATATTCAGAATCATAATTGACAATATATCGGAGCCGTAACACAGCCGCATACCAGTCGATACCACCACAAATCAGGACTAGAGTCAATAGATGTCAGGATTATGTCAGAACTGTAATATATGGAGCCTCCAATATGACGGTAACAAAATGCGATCACCTCTTCCCCAGGCTGGCTTTTCTGTGGTTGGCGCAGAGTTGGTCGCACCACCTAAAGCCATTCCAATCGGTTGTAACTATCCCGGAGATGTTGAAGGTAATAAATCCCAAGGATTCTGAGATTAGGCTGTTGGTTGTCGGTCTCTGTTTTGACGTTGAAATGATCGGGAGTTGCCGAGGAACCTGGCACCTGATTTAGACTCCAGGCGGCGAGACTCTCAGAAGTTCCTCCACTCAGGACCGATATAAGCGGTCATATTATAATGTGACCGGTTTAATATTCTAGAAGCGATCCTCTGTTCGGTGCCAAGATATTAAGTGTTATTGCATCGAGCCTGAACACGAGCTACCCACTGGCATTCCCTATCGTTCCAGCGCAGGTACGTCCATACATGTTGCATGGGTTTTCCCCTGCATCACCTGGCCTCTCATATTCCTTGTGACTTGTTCGGGGTCAGCTGGAATTACCGATCACGCTCTGAATTGATTTGGCGCACTTATCGTTCAAGCCATGCATTCGAGAGATCCGACATATCTATTGGGTCGGAGCGTATCGTGAGAGCGGCAGATTCCCATGCGAAACACACTTGCTATATCATTGGGAATGGCTAGTTGGGAACTCTCGCAACCAGAAATGACTCTAAAACTTGTCCTAGACGCAGCTAAATGCTCTGAGGGACAAGAATTCATTAGTAAAGTAGCCATCGTGTTATGGTGGTAGTCACCCGATTACTTCCAAGTACTCAGGACCTCAGAGTCGCCCTGGTTCTCTAATGACTTCCTGTAGGAACGTAAAGCGCATATCAATTACAGACCCACATATATTACGGTGCCGGCGATCTAACAGACAACCGCAGACTGTTTTGTCATACCGCAAGGTGCAAGCTTCTTCAATTGCTATTCAAGAGGGAAAGGGAGAGGTGTGCTTGCGTTGGGCTCACGGCTTCGTTACTAGCCCAGGTTCTTTCTCCTCGTCAAATTGCTAGGGCTCGTGTGTAACCTTGACAAGATGATTGCTGCGACGATAACTGCTTGTCAACCGCTTCTATCAGATATTCGTGTTGGACGATGTTTTGTTCCGCCACCAAACGGTTTCCGCTGCTTTCAGAGCTTTGATGATACCTTCTACATCTGTAGATAGGGAATCATTCCTAGCTTACACTTATTCTCACGAGTAATCGGATTATCTTCAATCCCTTGGACCGGGTAAGGGAAATTGGAAGTTCCTGTGCCATCGTATATATCCCATGAGTACGCGGGAAACACCTCCGGAAGGCAACGCTCCAGTTGTCATGGCATGCCGCAGCGATAAGAGTTTCGTCCCTGGGGGTCAAGGAGACTGACCTCTCCTGGTACCCAACCCGCCAAATTACATCCTTTCGTTGCGTTTGTGGCGTATAAAGTATGATCCTTTTCGGGCGGCCGCATTGATTTTCTGTGACCCATTTCCATGCACCCGTCCTGGTTAATTGTATCAAGGACATGTCAAAGAACTGTAGGTCGGAGTCTTAATCCGGCCCTTTTGCCTCTACGGAAGCTGTTCAAGGTCCCGGAGGGGGCTTCCAAGCTATTGGATTTCTTCCAGTGGCCCTCGTATTCCGTTTAATTTCAGTCTTCGCCTATGCTATTGAAACTTTCTCTTTGGTGCACATGAAGTACCGCGCTGGAAACAATCCGCAGTACCAGTGTAGGGTATGAATGAGGAAGGTTACAAATGGGGGGCTTCGAGTTAATGGATCAGGGATTTGAAAAATTAAAAGCACAGCTGCCAATGCCGCTGGCGCCTCCTAAATCACGGTAGTATACCGCAGTAGGTACTCACAAAACTGGACTCGACAGGGGCTTGATGACTCCGATGTGGTTTAACTAGATGTACTCATATGACAAAATACAGATGTACAAGTGTCCCGTCCAAGCGGATAATGGACTTATCCGGCTCTGGTGAGAGGCGGCACGCACCCTACTAGGGGTCTCGCCCAAGACAACGACGCGGCAAACGCAGTGATTCCCACCAACCATGTCTCCCACACACAACTTCCACGCTGCCAGTGTTCATTCCACCCTGATCACAACACCACCATCTTCCATATCACCAGGCGATGCATGCCTTTCTGGACGCGCTCATCGAGTACGGATACAAAGCCGAGTACATGCCAAATCGTGATGACCCACAACACAAGACATAAATATACAAAAGCTTGGAACAATCATAGTTTATTCGTCAAAGGGGAAAACCGTGGTCTGAGGTTGTGGAAGAAAGATTTGATGGCCTCAGTGGTATCCTGATATTTCCTCAACATATCAGAAAGTCGCGTAGGAGAGATTGAGATTGACATACGTCAGTTCGGAGTGTCGCGGCATTCCACACCGCAACATAGTCAAGATTCTCAGAAACACTAAAGCTTAACTGTGAGTAGATGATGACGCCACATGCTCAGGTATTTGACACACACGCATGGTCACGAGAATGTAGGAGGACATGTTTCGTCCCTACCATTGCAACCGGCGATTTCGACGCGATTTCCCTCGCCGTTGCCAAGGCGGCATCTACGTACAGAAGGACAAATCGCTCAGTTGTACGACATCATCAACTCGAAGAATCTGAACCTACCAAAAACTTCTTGCTTCCCACCAGGCACCACCTTCGAAACGAAACCAACCCGCTCAGCCTCGCTGGCCGCGAATATTCCAGCGGAGATTGCTGCTTCACGGGTGGAACTGTCGTTCCCTACAATCTTCGGGAAACGCGCCAGGGTGCCGACGTCCGCCATACCCATATCTACTTCCTAAATCTTTCAGTCGATCATGGCCCACAAGTGAAGAAAGGGAGTCCTGTACCTTGATGCTGAATGTTGCATTTTCTGACGCATATCGAACATCACATGCACTTAATATGTCGATGCCTATCCCGAAGGCGACGCCGTGGACGGCGGCTATGACTGGAACACGACAGTTTTCGATAGCATCTATGGCCCTCTGAAATTCCTGGAGGTGGATTGTTGGGGGATACCACCAATAAGAATAAAAGGACGAGGAACTGACATATAACATCGGTTTGAATCGAAGCGCCGTCCGAGCAACATCACTGGCACCCTCTGCAAAGAACTTCGATACAACGTCTTTTACTGAAAAGCGATAATGAGGTTCGAGTACCTGCCGGGAATCCCGGACAATTTATCGGGTACTAACAATCCAGTCCACCCGTAAAGGCACGCTCCGAGGAGGCAAGTATCACGACCCTCACTTCGGGATCCAGGCTTAGTTTATCGAATATTTTCGGAATTTCTTGCCACATTCTACTCAGATATGTCGAAATATTGTAGAATGAACTGACCACCACGACAACTCACTCAGTGTTGATGGCATTGACTGGAGGACTATAGAGGATAGATGGATATGTTATCGAAGATTCACACTGCCAATGATCAGTTTCCGCACCGCGAAAAAGTAACGACGGCGACAACCCCATCGAAGGCAACCTTGATATGTTTTCCACTCGAAGATTTCGACATATGTATAGTATAGCGCTTGTAATTGCCGCCGGTGGAGATTCAGCCTGCCAGCTGGGTGTTGGGGAACACACACAAGCGTGACCTTTAACGATGATCACGCCAAGCTCGAGCCAACGGCTGGAATCGGGGCCCCGGGGTTTGCCACTGATAGTGTCCGTGTCTACTCTTGCCATACTGTACTGGCTGCTGTCAATGGATCCTCTCCCGTGTGTCGTAGAAAAGGACACCCCACCCGCTAACAGGGGTTCATTACCATAGCCCTGCTGTCGCAGTTGGCGATGCGCATCCTGTAGCTGGGAGTTGACCCAAGGTGTGGACGCCCACAGACTTTGCGTAACCCCCGGGGCTGGTGCGCAGCATGGGGCAGGCGTACACTAGGGAGGGTTCCCAACCAGTGTTTGGGAGCAATTCGAGGCGGGGAGGATGGTACAAGAGCCTTGAGGATGGCTTTGAGAATCGGTCGTCTACTGCAGGGTTGAGTGCAGGCAGCGTGACGAGACTTGCAATTTACAAAGCTCCGGAGGGATTCTGCGTCATGATCGTGTCCTTTCGAAAATTCTCTGGGAACAATCGAAGAGGGACCCGAAGCTTGGGAGCTAGGCAGATACCGCCACGCGTCTGCTGTTGCAGCACGAATTATAGGATAATCCTCTGTATCTTCCAGATTTTGGAACCAACGGAGGGGAAAGCACAGTAGGGGCTGCTGAAAGTATGTGTGGTCGTGGGGTGTTGATGCCCCACTCCCCCTTTCGTCGAGAACTTGGGGAAATGGGGGACGATGGATGCGGCACACAAACGGTGTGTCTGGATGGCGCTGGGTCAAACTGGGTAACTAATCGACCAGTGTCACCCGTGGGTTCCCTGGTAACACGCAAAATTTTTCGATATACACACTTCGTCATAGACGTTACGGTCTTCAGAGTCTGGCGGGTAATACGCTTATTGTTGGCTTGTATGATTCCACTGGAAGCCAGCCAGCGTATCATGATTCGAAATACCAAATCTCCGAAGACTCAACTTTCTGGCCCGGGACTCAGGCAGGATATCACGCCGGCAGGCCAACTCCTCGCACTCCATCCCCGTCCTTTAAGCGGTACGGTAGACTGAGGGCGGTCACGTCTGCTCACTGAAATATTTAAATGCAAAATGTCCCCCCCTCCCCCCAAAAAAAAAGGATCGTGATAGGAAATTCGTCACTAGCCGTTGGATCCAATGAGCCGTGCGGATGTCATCCTACTGGAACAAGACGCTGGAAAGGCACGATAGAACCAGATCTCGACAGATACTTATTAGTCTTGCTGAATGTACCAGACAAGCAGATGGTCAATTCCAGGTCTGTGCCCTTCGAATCCAGCTTGGAAATATCAGCGGGACTGTGACGCTGATTTGGGGTGAGAAAGACGGCTATTACTAGATTACAGGCGAGCATTGCCGACCCACAAAACCTCGCCATCTCATCATTATCGAGACCTATGGGGCATGCATGGGCAAGGATAGGGAGGGCCTATTTGGTGATACCTAGCTCGGCAGATTAGAACTGGTCTCACAAAACTCAATTGATATGTGGATAGTATGTCGTTGGTTAATCTGTTTGTTTATCTATGATTGTCCAGAGACAGAGAATAAAGATGATGGACCCGTCCTGGGAGTCAATTAAATGAGACGGAATAATAAATAGAGCAAGTGTGGTGGGGGGGGTGTAAGGGAACGAACGTTGTGAGCAGGCCACGCGTGCGGGTTATAACAGAATTCCAAGGCACAATGTCGAGTCCAAAAGCGGGCCACCGGGGAAAGAGGGGAATAAGCAATGTAAATGAGCGCGGGTTTAACGAGAGGAAAGTAAAGGTAAAGGAGCGACACATGTAGGTATAGGTAATAGATTCTAAATCAATATCAGGGTGGTTTGCGGAGATATTTGGACGAAATGTCTTCATCCCCTTTTCTGATTCAACCATCACGTTCCGTTCGTGAGACTAAGCAAGCCCGTTGCACAACCTCCAATTCTACTCCACACACACAGGAAGCATTTGTTTTACTTCCTGTGAATGCCAATCAAGGTCATGGCGCGAAGTGCGCCATCACGAAAGACGCGGGCAGGCCAGAAACCGACGAAGCCGATGAAGGATACAAGACTGAATGCCCGGATGATGCGAGAAGAGAGACTGGCTGTCTGAACTGCAACAACATTAGATGCAGATGCAGAGGGTGAAGAGGCGGCCTCGACGTCGTGGTTAGGCGGAGAAGAGTAGTTGGACGAGGAAGGACTGGGACAACGAGAATTGTGGGATGATAGATCATTGCAACGAGAAAACTGCTCTTGAGCGGTTCCAACGACATTCACATTCCAGGAAGAAATCTTGGAGGGAGTAATTGAACGCTTTGCCTTTGGTTTGGTTTTGGGAGCTTGCTTCTTTGGAGATACTTTCTCGCTGGGGTAAGAGAATGCCGTAGGGAGAATCTCTATCCCTCGTGATAGAGGTGAAGTAGGGGTAGGTATGTCATCCGGGACGACAATCGTTACTTCGCCAATAGCTGGAGCAGCAGGTTCAGCAATGGAAACAACAACCTCGATTGGTGGAGAACCAGCTTCGTCGTCGGTAAGAACACTTCCGACAAGCGAAGAGGGGTGAGTTTCTCCGATGATATCCATGGTTCCTGACTCAGGAGCAGTTTTCTCCGCAATCTACATAAAGGGAAACAGATGCAGCAGTTGCAATCAGCCTCATATAATCATGAAAGATTGGGGTTTTTTACACACTTCTTCTACACTGACTCCTGTAAGGAACTGGGGACAGGGGATGTAGTTCGCGTACTTGACAAAAGCATCAAAGAAGCTCCCCTCAGAGCCATCAATTTCTGTTCGCGCTTCGGTATCCCTCAACTCGTAAGCAAGAAGACACTCGCATTCCGTCCAGTACCTTTTCCTCCTAATACCAGTAATGCCGTTCGCGATATCATCTTTCGCGTACGAGAGAAGGACAACCCGCCAACCATTTTCGATGCGAGCGAGTTGTGATCTGCGGGCTTCGTAAATGGGTGTTCCAGGGTAGTCTTCGAAGAGTGACGAAGACGCGGCAAGTTTAGTGAGGTTCGCCTTTAGAGTGAGTGTCCAGTCATCAGGTGAGGGTGAGGTTGGGACGTTGGGTGACGCGACTGAGGAAGTCATGGGTGGTTGGCAGTTATGGTCTGCGTAAAGAAAATTGGACGCGAATACTTAACGAGGGACGTGAATTCGAAAAAAATGAATTGGACAGGGGAAGCGACCAGAACAACGAAAAGCAAATGAGATCAGGGTCCGTTATGTAATCGTCTCTGGAGATGGCTCTTTTTGCTTGTTTCAAAGTTGAAAATGAAATGCCTGAATTACATAGACGCCATCGCTACTATATAATCCGGAACTGTCAACAAATGTACACGGCGCTTATCCTGACATGTATTCAGTATACCAGGCAAGAGATCTCACGCTGCAGCATAAATTCTCCAACTCATATTCCGCATGTCCCCCATGCAGCTTTATGCTACGGTGAGCAACTCAAAACCGCCTGAACACGTGACAAATATTGATGGTGATGAACAGTTCGAAATGGAAGCCAACGCATGTCATGCCGACCAGATGAGGGCCCACAATTCAAAAAAATTCAGGCACATCCTGAGTTGTTGCGGACAACCAGGCCAGTCCCACCATACTCATGGGGAAACCGAAGGATATCCTCAGGCTGGCAGAGTTCATCAAGAAATCACGAGCCATCGATAAAAGGAACGGGCGCCACGTCGCATCACCCGAGGGAGGAGAACGCGACCGACCCTAGATACTCCGTCACCCGACCACACCAACCGGTCACCCTTACCATATTATTGACGAACAACAACAACACCCCAACGCATGTCACTAATCCCAACTGGTGATGACCCATACGGCCAAGTTCGAATGAGATAGAACCTCGAGCTACCGCAGCAATTTGAATGGGGATCGTTCGTTAGCTGGGTTAATTTTGAACCAAGGCGAGACCGTGCGTGCGTGCGTGCGTTCCGCTAATCCAGACGTCGGAAAGCTCGAGGAATGACTTCAGACCCAAGCCATCCAATGCCAAAATAAACAATCATCTTCACAATCACTGACGAATTCGAGAGAGAGAGAGAGAGAGAGAGAGAAAATCACACAGAGTCATTTTATAATTGAACGTTTAGTGTTCCAGGCAAAGGGGCACACACACACCTTCATGTGGTTTGAAAGGAGCTATCTTCTGGGGGTGTACGAGTGATTGTGATCGAGAGGCTTTTAGCGTGTCAGGCGATGATAGAAGTGATCCCGAAGGATGGAGTGATGGAATATCGACCACAGAAGGAACGGGATCCACAAAGGGCTTGGAATCTTGTCCACTACCACCACCACCACCACCCCCACCGCTGAGGAAGTCCTTGGAGTCGCCTACATCTGGCCGCGGAAAAATCCATAGGATGATTGGTGGCAGGATGATCTTCATGATCAATCGCCACACGAGCAGGCATCCTACACCCAAGATAACCTTCAGTATACTGAAAGTCATGAGCCGGACGACGGTGCGAGGCGTAAGGGCATGTACGCTGGTAGGATGGAGTCGATATGACGACACCCCGACTTGGACTGAGGTCCATCGACCAACGAGAGCGCCGATGAGTGCGGAAAGGCACGCGATCGCATCGTCAAAGCACAAGCAAAGGTCTATCGTGGAAGGATGATAACTCAATGCAAAGACCCCTTAAAATGACGCCCGTAAACACAGGGTCACCAAACTTGTGTCTGAGAGGATCTTGAACACATACAAACAGAAATAAGGGTGGCAGGCACTAGGAAAAAAAGCCGTGAACGTCGTCACTAGATAGCCAAAAAAAAAAAAAAAAGACGGCAATCTCACCCTCGGATCCTCCGTGAACTAGAGTAGCCTCGAGCCATCCGCCATATCGTACGTGAACGAGGTGTGTGACAGCACCAAGTGCAAACCCAGCTAAGCAATCAGTCACGGTATGCATGCCACAATAAACCCGTCCTCCCATAACGCTAAAGCAATACACAAGCAATAGGAAACTGGAGGCGAAGTTTTGAAGAGCGCCAAGTTCTTGTTGGGATATCAACGCGAAAAGGTATAAAGTGGCCGATACGCAGTTAGCGGTATGCGTCGAGGGGAATCCATATTCTAGGTGACGCATATCAGCTGCTATAGTTAGTATTACACCTCACTCTTTGGGAGTGAAAAAATAAGTACCTATTCGGATGACAGGTGGTGAATAAGGCCTAGGAACTGCAAAGAAATCCTTAACGACAGACGACAGATACCCTCCCATGCACAAAACAAACAGAAGACTTATGAAGAGAATTAAAATAAGCACATTCCTGTGGGGGGGGCCAGCAAGCCATTCCTCACCCTCTTCCAGATTCCGGATACCCGAAAAAGAAGAGCAATGGTATCGTCGCGACAAAGAATGTAGTGGTTCCGAGAAGAGCCGAGTAGTGAAAATAGACATCAAGGAATGGCGAGGTTACACGCCTCTAACGACCAAAGATAATTTTCAAAGGATGATAAGGGTCGACCATGAATGCTCAACAATGAGCAGGAACGGCTACCTGCCAATCGCTGATGAGGACACTTTCGTGCTTAACCCTCCGTAATAGGAACCTCCGTATGGCCACTGTCCATCTCAGCATGCCCGCTTCATAAGCCTTAGCATCAAACTGCGTCCCAGGAGTCATGGCATGCGAAGATGTCGAGCTTGATCCCGGTGCCCGGAATACGCCGAAACTCACAAAATGCTCAGTACAATTTGACATAGGACAACCTAGATTCTATGGATAGACTGTGGTTCTGAAGGGGAAGGGTGCGTGCGACGTTATGGTTTGATCAAAGGAAATGTGCGAGAATCTGGTACTCGATTGTCGGATAGCTTCTGCTTACACTATATACGGATTGGGGCTTATTCTATCCTTTTTTGTTGTGGCTTAAGTGGCGGCGTATGGACTCACATCTGATTTGACATGGGACTGCGGCGGGCAACATAGTCCGACTCCCTGACTCACAATGCAGAGGGCCTCTCCGACCGCCCCGAATTAAGCAATGCATATGCCAGATCTTACCCACAAATGAATCTGTGCGCCTATAGATGGGATATACCAAGTTTCATTGTGCTGTCGATCCCATTCTCCACTTAATTTCAGACCGGAAACTTAATTGGGGTCCCGATCGCACGAGCGCTGACTCTTGAACGAGTGGGGTCAAGTCTTGAAGTACACTTTACGCGAACTCTTCATCCTCTCGCAAGCCGTGGAAAAAGAAAGGAATGAACGAAAGGGGGGGAAAGAACTCCACGCAGTCCACGATAGGGCGTGCGTTTTCCAATGCAGAACTCCAACACTACATCTACATGGCAAGGGAGAGAAGGGCTCAAGAGATTTCCCCATTCACAATAACAAAGGCAGGACGGTCGTGGGGACGAATCTAGATACTGAGCGTGAAAAATCCCGATGGACCCCTCGTAACAACGATGAACACCAATCATGATGGAACCCCGCGAGAGGGAATGCTTCGGCGGGGAATTTCCTCCGCCGTGAATGGTCTATTTCACACATTGTACAAACATTATCCGCGCACAGATAATCGAGACTGGAACGTCCGTAGATAAGAGCTAGGGAGCTTCTAATGGCTCAGGACAGTACTGCCACAACGGACGTAGACTACAACCAAGAGATGGTATTCGGGAAGAATCCTGATATAAGTTTGAAGTGAAGCTGAATCCGACTGGGGCCATATTATATCAATCGTTTCTCCAACCACCATCAGTTTGGAACTCTCTCAGCACAATCGATCCCATCATAGGAGGGCCCGTTACGTTTGCGAACTTATGCCATGCCAGTAGGAACCCATTAATTCCCGTCGACGCGCTTGCGCCACTTTAATAAAAATAACGCTCGCCCGGGATAACGTCCGTCTAAAATTATGGTAGTTCCAAGCGAACAACCCCGTTCCCTCCGTAATGAACGATCAATGGCTGCTCTTGGATCGCAAATAACGATTTTACATACAGGTTCTGGATTCAGATGGTATGCATGTTATTTTCTGATCCGGGGAAGTCAACAACTTTATCATTATTCGAGACCTGGCTACAGAAAAGACATCGTGATGTGTGATCTATTCATGTCGCCCGGCTTCGAATTTAGAACATATACGGAGTTGCCAGCTCCTCCTCATTTGGTTGGTGAATGTGTCGACTTCACTCACACAAGTCTTGCGGCTCGGACCCCACCCCTTATATCGGTGGTTTGATGTGTTGCAATGGGTGAGAGAGCCTGGTTACGTGAATGCCAATGCGTCCGTAATATGCTATTCAAAAGTCGCGCAGTTCATGTCCTTCAACATATCTGCACCGTCCGAGGGATTGAACTCCTTGAAAAAATAATAAACTCTACAGCTCCTAGCAATCCCGCCACTCAGGGCGATATCGCTGAGATAAAATAGCCATGAATATCGTAAGTTACCCCACGTCCGTGCATTGTATATGCCATCTACAATAACCACAGCAATCACAAGATGGGCACAAGAGTCCAGGTATTCATCATACGCACCTTCCTTCATTCCTCCACCGATAGCGCCCAAGCCACCTCAAAAAACCCTCCCTACCCCGTTACACCTCCAACAAGTCTCGTTATCAAAGAAGAGAAATCCCCTCAAATACCCCTCCCCGTCACACGCACTGCACAACGTTCCACCGATCCTAGGATCGCCAGGTCCAACAACCAACGCACCAGGTGGAGGCTGTCCTCCAGACATAAACGTCGTCGTCGGTCTGTTTGGATGAGGGCCAAAACTTTGAGGAGCGTACTGGGAGTTTCGAGCTTGAAGTGCTGGATTAGGCATCCATTGGGATTGTGATTGCAGTGGAGCTTGAGATGAAGTTTGAGATGAAGATGTAAATTTCGGTAGAGGGCGTTGATAGTTTGGAGGTGGGTTCTTCCAATCTGTCTGAAGGTAGGGTCCGGAGTATGGTTTCCCGTATTTTTGCCAACACTATAAATCGATAAGAGGGAAGCGAAATAGGAAATGATTTAGGATAGGTAGGTTTAAGTGGATGGGATGAGAGGCGAGATCGGGGGATCGGTGATGTGCGTCGGGGTATGGACAATATACGAGAGAGAGAGAGAACCAAGGAGGATTAAGTAACGTTTGATTGAGCCAAACCAAACCTAGAAGTACCTTTCTACATGGGTGACCGGGATCCAAGTTTTTATACCCAATGTTATGACCTTCAAAAGAAAAGAACGAAAACAGAGCCGTCGGAGCGAATCTCAAGAAAGGAGTTGAGTGAGGACGTACATTTATGACATTCGTGTCCGTTTGGATAAACTAGTATTCTTCCAGCATTCAAGAGAGGATGACCGCCTGCAGGAGTGGACGTCGGTTTTCCATCGTCATGGCGACCCGAAGCTGAAGGCGGCGGGGGTTATGTGGGGGTGCGTATCTACCTGGAGCCACGGCCGTCGGGGTCCCGTTAGGATCCCTCCGACTCGGAAGGGGAGGTGGTATTCTCGAGGTGTCTTGTGGAATGGTAGGTCTGGGAGCCGATCCTGGGTACGGACCTAGCGTTGGTGAAAGAGGTGGCCCTGTTGGATGTGGGTTTAAGGCTGGATGACGAGGTGGGGGTCGGGTTGAAGCATGTACGGCGGGTGATGGTCCAGTCTCAGAGCCATGAGTGTCTTGTCGTTGCAAGGGTTGTTGTGGTTGCTGAACAAGTAGTGGAGAAGGGGTACGCTGGAACGGGCGTAATGGCCCGTCAGAGCCGTGGGTGTCTTGTCGTTGTAGTAAGGGTTGTTGTGGTTGCTGAACAAGTAGCGGAGGTGGGGCACGCTGGAATGGGCGTAATGGCCCATATTGGACTGTGGCTTCTCCTTCCCATCGATTAGGTGAGGCGGTATACGGAGGCGGAGGTGGGACTTGTTGGTTCTGAGCTTCCTCTATTTCGTCCAACGAATTGGTCGTATGAGAGGGATTTATCGCCTGAGATGACGTGTTCCCTGATTGGCTGTTGTCTGATAGGGAGGGCGTGGGAGTTGTCCCGGGTATGGAGACTGCAGCTGGGACGCTTATCGGTCGACTTGAGGACGGAGGGGGCGGTGGACCTGGAGGCGGAGCATATCTAGTAGCACCTTGGACCTCCGATGAAGCTGAGGTTGGTTCGGGAGATGAGTTTTGATCTCTGAATGGATTGATGTGATGGCTTGAACCTGAAGTCTTGCTCGCCGACATGGATTGGTGTGGGTCCAAGGTCAGATCACGTGTTCTCCAATCGGTAATTTAAATGAATCGAATTGAACGGACCAACGCCAATAATATTGATTACGGTGGCTGGCGAAATAGCCTCACGATCATTGCACTCATTGTATCATGAAGAACTCGACAAAACGCTATCACTTCACAAGGGTGCTCGCATCCCATCAGTCGTTCAAAGTTGTTGATCAATCGGAAAAGTTCGGACGAACAAATTCGGCAGATCACGTGCAGATGCAGGTTCAGTAAGGAGTGCCGAGAGCCTTACGTCCGCAGCAGTCTTGAACTCCCCATGGGACGCAGGAAGATTGAGATACAACCCATCCTGGTGAGGCGCTCCGTGTTCTAGAGGCGCGGTGGTAGACTAATATGCGATTGGGTCAGCACGACAGGAACCGGAGCGTGACCTTCCTCAAGGTAAGCGAAAGTCACTTCTATCGTAGTCGGCGGGTGCGTCTGGATGGGCCTAGACGATGTCGTCGTCTCCTCTCGCATCCTGCAAGATGCCTGGGAGATACGCCACTCAGGGCCGTTGCGGGGTTTCCCAAGGAAGAATCCGACCCTGATCTATTTTCTGTCGCCTATTGGTCTTGGCATGATGCTAAAGTTGGCACACCTAGCGCAAGAATGGTTTGTTCAAGAAAGCGTTCGAGCTCGGTGTCTTATGCTCCGTCGATGTTGTCGTCGTCGTCTTTGGTGAGTGCTGCAATGTCTCACACGTCCCTTATCGCTCAGCTTGCCCATCCATTCATCCACTTTTGCTTCTCTAGGGCACAACCAAAAATTATACGAGTACTCATCTGCGGCTAATGGCAGCACGTCTCGAATACTAGAGAGGCGGAGAAACGTAAGTCTTATACCTTTTAACGTCTCAAAGACTTGCCGGCACATTAACGCCTCGTTCGATCATCCAGTACACAGGCGAAAAGGAATCAAAGGGTCCACAGGACTTTGGTGGGGACAAAGGCGATCCCGAGGATGATAGCGATGAAACCCCACCGCAGCCATCAGCAAGTAAAAACGTTCAGAAAACTGTTTCGTCCTCCAATGCAAAGTCCCAAACCATGAAGCCGACGAGAGGACGATCACGTTCTCCACACGAGCACGAACATAGCGACGGTCGCTCCTCATTCGAGTCATCCCCTCCCCTCCCTACTATCAGACGATCAAGTGGTGAGTGTGGCGGCTTTTCCATCCATCCATCCATTCTTTCTTCCTTAACTTAGCTGGTCCTCTTGGTCCAGGAGCGTCAACAACACGGCCTCCCACATACAAACTAAATGGCCCCGATGTCCACCACTCAAATGGCTTCAACGGACTAAATTTTTTCCCTGCCAATCACCTCCAGAATCTTCCTCAAGGGGGTCCAGCCGACCTTCAGCATACGCTCGCTCAATTACTCGCGACGAATCCTTACCTGGCATCTCAACTAGCTCAGCTTCCATCTATTATGAATATAGGCATGGGAGCGAATCATCCTGCGTTAGGGGGATTCAGCGGATCATTCCCTCCTGCCGGCGCACCAGGGAATGCATTAGGTGGTTTACCCCCGTTCGCTGTTCCAGGTTTACACCCACTTTATTCGACTCCATTACTTGCGAATTTCCTTCATCATCAACTACAGCAACAGCAACAACAGCAACAACAGCAACAGCAACAGCAATCTGGCTCGAGTCCTAACCCCAGTGGCATTGCTGGCGTCGGACCGAATGTTGGCTTTCCAGCACAGCAGGGGCAGGCAGGAACTAGTGGTTTATCTTTACATTCTTTGATGGGAGATAGTTCGAGTACGACTTCGAACCTGATGAACGCCCTTGGAATCCCTCTCACCAATCTACCCGCCAATCAACAACGGCATCAACAACCATCAGCATCCCATCATGTTGCGACTGCTAGTACGCCCGGGTCTGTTACTTCAGGTGGAGGTACGCCATCTATTTGGCGTCCCCACACGAAACGCGATTCAGGAGAGAGAGACGACGACGACGAACCACTTCGATTTCCTGATCTTGCTCCTGGTGCTTCTACTTCTGGAACTGGTTCTAATGCGATTAACTCTTTGTCGTCGGCATCCACTGCGAGTCAAGGAACAACGTGGCTAGAATTCTTAAATGCCATAAGCAACAGCACAATCGTCCAATCTTCTACAAACGCACCTGATACAGTTCCCCCATCTTCGACGCATTCCTCATCGAACTTGAACCCCAACATAAACCCAAATCTCAACCCGAACCCGCTTAGAAGTTCTACACCGACCGTATCAACCTCATCGTTCTTACAACCTCCAGGTGCGGGAGCTTCTTCTGGCACGGGATTATCTAATCTGTCCAACCTGCCGGGGCTTAGCGGGTTGGGTTTGGGAGGTTTGGGGGGGTTTGGGTTTAGTCATTTAGGGAGCGGTGCAGGTGGGACGGGTGTGATGGGGATGGGATTGGGATTTGGAGGTGAAGATAGACCTCATAAGAGAATGAAAATCGACCCGGGATTGGGACAGTTAGATTTAGATGGTTCCTTTTATCAGCCTCCTCAATACCAACACCAGTCACCTCTGTATGGGGGACAAGGGCAGGTGCACGGAGGACAGCATCACCAATCCGTTCACCCTCACACCCATCCTCAACAAGCGCCTCCCCTACCTCCCCCACATCATGCTTCGCACCGTGAGAGAGGAGATACGAGGGAAAGTATGAGCGGTGCAAGTGTTTTGGCGAGTCCACCTGAGGCTGAGCTGGACGCTGAGGCTGATGGGAGTCAAGCAGGTGGGGAACATGCGGGCCATGCGAGGGGTGTCGGGGAGAGGTATGAGGCGAGTGAGTAGGCAATGCATGTTCTAGTTCGGGAGATGGAATAGGGTCAAGGGGATAGGAGCGTATTTATTGCACCTTTTCTGAGTGATGCGTGGCAAGTTTGCCTGCTTTTCAGTCTTTTCTTAGGGTCACTGATTGCGCGCTCTCTTATAGATCTCTTTCTGCTTTGTCTCTGTAACAGTGAGATTCCACATAGCTTGTTTTCTTGTATTTTGCCCAGCTAGTATCGTGTTCTTCCGTTCATTCGAGTTCGTGTTGTTCTGGCATTGTTTCAATCTTCGAGTTTGGGTTATCCGTCTGCTGGTTCCACGCTGCATAGTATTGGGCAATGTTGCTATTTGCGTAATTAGTGCTGGTGACTGTTTCGTTGCCTCTGCTCTCTTGTACTTGATCTGGAAGAATAGCCATTGGCGAATTGGATTTAATTTTGGGGGTCAAAGAGTGTCAGTGTGTGCTGAGGCCGCCGTCAGTCAAGTTAGCGCATTATCGCAATAGCGCCCTTCCTGATTTCGTCTCGAGGTTTGTTGGCTTAGAGCTAGGGGATGATGCGTTGGGGTTTAGTTAGATGATCATAGCGGGGCACGTTGCGGATCTCCAAATGCGTTCTGCGGACGCCTTTACCACAAAACCTCTCGCATTAATCATAGAATACGACTACTTGGGTTCGCTATTGAGCCTACACTCGCCACGCGAAGACGACAGGGGCAGTGCCAGGTGCATGGTACCAGGCTACAATTGTTATGAGGGTGCCCTCAAACTGGATGGCCGAGCTTGCATTTGGATCCGATGAAGTGACGATTTCTCACGGGGTGACGATGCGCAATTCACAACGCGCTTTCCCACGGAAAAAAAAACGAACCCCCTCTGTAAACAAACGCCTCGCAAGCTCGGCCAATAATGTTACGCAGTCATAGAGGTCGGGGGTCTGCTTAAGCTGGTAGGCAGGTGACCAGCTAGCATGATTGCCGACGCCTCGTCTCAAGTTAATAGTCTCAACTGCACCCATCATGTCAAGCGAAATAGACTTTACACCACTGCTTTCGTGTTCTCTGGCCTAGGAACGCCCCATTTTCGACGAGTCAATCACTCCATAATCACACGCGCCCCAAACAGCAATTGAGTTTGTCGGAAAACCGGCTCAAACTTCAAACGTCGGTCAATGTGCACGTGGGACTTGGAATGCGGGCTCGGCGACAGAGCTGATTCTCGCGGCTGGTGATACACTTGCCCATAGCTGCCATCACGATGTGTCGGGCGTGGAATCAGCCTCCCACTAAGTGTACAATGGCTTGGATTAAACCAGTGGCAACATGCGCTCAGCCCGTCTTGCACTGTGTGCCGTAATGACCTTTTAATGTTCATTTAGTCGTGGAAGGCGTCGTGACAAAGTTCGACTTTCTTGTGGATCGACAAATGTAGGACCAGTAGTGTCAAGGGGTGGAAGGCTCTAGGAATTGGGAGCCCTTTGAACCTGGGGAAACTTGACGACTGGAAAGACTACTGAAAGTTCTGAAGATTGCAGTTCGGCGAGTTGGCGGGTCACCGCGTGCGGGATGGTAAAGCGAGGTAGGCTGCTACCTTATCGATTCGTTCCGCTGCCCTTCCGACTGGCGTTTACGATTGAGTCCTGGTTCGCGCCGGGTTTGTACGGGTTGATCTGCATGATAAGCCCATCATGTAATTATGGCGAGTGGTAAACTAGATACAGAAAAACAAATAATAAAGAGTGCAATGTAGCGATTGTCATAAGTTCTCACTGGTATATCGGTAGAACACACCCCTGTCAATCGCTGGTACGGGTGAGAGCTGGGTTCGACTCCCAGGTGGGAAGCTTTTTGATGTCCAACAAACTTGTTCTTCAAAAGCATAACCTGCGTTGTGCAACAACATCCTTTTATGCCTTTCTTGAACCCCCCCAACTACTTGTGCTTTTGTCGTGCTGAAGCGAGACGAAAATTGTTCCCACTTTTTTTTTTTTCAAATTTCCAGATGATTTAGGATACAAATATGCATTTGAGCACTTCTCCAGTGCCAACGGCATCTGCAGTACTGACACTTCCTGTGATGTCTCAGTGAAGTAGTAGGTTTGCTACGAGACATGAGCTCTTTTCGGCAAGACGCCCCCATTTCGCCTCGACTGGCCGATTTGAGAAACCATGAGGCTGACGTAAGCAGGTGACTTTCAGCCCCTCACCTAACAAACGGTGCAGAGGTTTGCAAACAGCCTGCCACAGCCTGCCCCAAGTAGAGTACGTAACACCTAGTTTTTCAGATCGTTGACGCCTGATTACAACGCTTTAGTGTCAGCGCACACGATGGAGAATCCGGACGCAAACGTTGGGCTAGCCAGCGCGGATGCTGATCAAGCCAAGGTCGCATCCGGCCAGCCGCCCTTGGCTCCGCCTGAGCACGCTGTCATTCACGCCCTCGTTGAGACTCAGCATACCCATTATCCTCCCCATCCAGGCAATCATATACCGTTTCTCAGTGTTGAAGAAGCGGCTGATCAGTCCACACTCCCACAAGCCGATGATGGCAATGTTCAAGACGCTGGATTCCCATCGCATCCTCCTCCACCCCCTCCCCCGGCCAAATCGCGAAGGAACAAGCACCCTGATGAAGAAGGAAAGCCAAAGATGAAGCGGATCTTTCAGGCGTGTAGTAAGTGCCGCGAACGTAAAGCCAAGGTTAGTCTTAGATGTTTATTGTTCGTCATTTGCTCATGCAAGATCTATGTGTTGTGTGTACAGTGTGATGGAATGCGTCCAACGTGCTCTAGTTGTATCACTAGGGGTCTACAATGTGAATACGCCTCTGAGCGTAAAATGAGAGGTCCAAGCAAGAAGCGTCTACGTGAAGACGGCACGGTGCCTCCACCCAAACGTCGTAAGCCTGCTCAAGGTGCCGAAGCAGGCCAGAATCCCGATGGTACTCAAGTGCCAGATCCTTACGTAGGGATGCAGGATCCTTCGGTCCCCCCTGGTTATGTCGTGGATCACTACGAAGACCCAAGTCATTTTGGCTTCCAAGCGCCATACCCTGGACAACCCTACCCCTCCGGTCCTGACGGTCAGCATCTCGGATATTCTGCAATGCCCCCACCACCCGACGGTCCTCCTGGGCCCATCGATATGAACGGTGCTGCGTATCCGGGTCAGCCGCAGTACGACCCTGCCGTCTATGGTCATCCTCCCACATATCCACCTCAATATCAGGCGTATGCGTACCCACCTGATGGCTCTGTGGCATTCCAACAAGGACCTGTCTCTCCTGGGCGTGCTGCAGGTCAGGAGCGCCCACCTGAGGCGTCATCCTCTCAGCCAGCCTCAGCTCCAAACCCAGCTAATCCTCCTTTCCCCTCCCGTGAAGATTTCGCCGTGATAATGGATCGATATCTCAATTCCCTTTCACGCAAAAATCGCGAGAAGGCTCTGCTTACTCAGGCAGTGTACAACGACGTTCTTACTCTTCTTAAGGCTGGAAAGGCTGCAGAGGAGTTTCCAGATGGGACGACAACAGAGACGGATGGAAACACTGTCCCTGTCGGTGATCAACACGTAGATATTGACCCCTCACTCGACACGCCACAATTCCGTTTCTGGGTCCGGAAGATGTTTGCGCTGCAGCATATGAACGATGTCGAAGTGGTAACTCATAATGGAAAACCCGTGGCGGTTCAGGAGCAGTTGTACGAAATCTTAACCCATTGTCACATTCAGACGAATCATGGAGGACGTGACAAGACGGCTCATATGGTCAATGAGCATTATGTAAGCCCTCCTACTCTTCAACGTCATTGTATTCTCATCCTTGTGCTCAGAGTTGGATCCCGAAGGTCTTCATTGAGACGTTCGTAAAGTCGTGCCCTGGTTGTCCGCGCAGGTTCAAGAAAGTGGAGGCGGCTGGTTCCAAAAGTCCCCACACTCTTCAAGTCGAAGCTCCAGTTGTCCCCGATGAATCTGCGCCAACAGAACACGTTGAGATAGCAAATGCGGAGCCCGTCACACACATTGAAAGCGGGGAGGTTTTTCAACAAGTCGGCGTCGCCTCGGAAAGCGAGCCTGCCGCACATCCTACCGTGCAAGTTAAGCAGGAGCGGAAAGGGAAGTCCCGGGCGAAAGCAACTTGATTTTCTGGAGTCTGTCCTCGTACCTCGCGTCTCGTTCAGCTCGCCCTCGGACTATTGTTCTTGAGATGATCATGACTGCCTTTCGATTCTTTCTCATTATTGTTATCTCTTTCCGATTTGCCTCAGCGGTATTCGAAAAGTAATCGATACAGTGTATTATTCTCGCCTGCATCTGTGTACTACCTCCTAGATGACTGCAATGGTTATCTTCTTGCCCTGACTCCATCTGTCGCGGCAGCCATCATGACGTAACTTGACTGCAGCTGGATTTTGTCTGTGCTGCATTGACACTGTCGGAGTGGAACCGGTAGATTTGGATTTCGCATGTAATTAAGACTTTGCATGCCCGGCGAGGGCTTCAACCCACAAACGTCTCAACCAGACTCGTACCCAGTTGTCGGTTTAGAATTTTGGTCGTATACATCAAGCACCTGCTGAAATGGTCGGTGTGCATGGTACTATAGGGTTGCTAGAGACTGGAACAACCTTAGCAACCTGTCAAAATTTCCAGCCACTTTGCTGGTTGACAAACTGGCCCCACGTCGCGGCCAATGCACGCTTCTACACATGCCGTGTTTCCAAAAGGGGCAAAGCCAATTCGAGGGAAGTGTCAGGCCCCCGAGCCAGCTAGTCACCGTTCATGCGACACCATGCACGGACCCTTGGGCTTGGCCGGATTGCACTGCTTGACTGAACAAACTCGGGTAGCATTCTCAAGTGCTCCTAGGGGGATCAAGCTTTGTCATTTTCGGTTGGTCCGCACTCATCCGTCACCATCAGGCACCCAGATTTGGCTCGATCACTGCACAGCATTCAAATGACACGCTATGGCTATTGGAAGAATAGCAGGCATTTGCCACGTCGGCCTCAGTTGTATTACATGCATGCATGGATTACACTTGGGAGTTAGGACCCCTGCCTACTCATGAGTCCTAGCTCAATCGAAACAAACAGATGGTCCCTTCCCCCACACGCATTGTAAAAAGGAGCCCGGAAGCTAGGCATACAGTTTCGTGTACGGACAGGAGCATGGGCTCCGGATCGAGGATCCAAATAGGGTTAGGATCCGTATATTCGAAAGGGAACTCAAACTCGTTTTGGAATACGCGAATATCATTCGATATCGCTTGTCCGAATATCGTCCTCTTCGGGAGATCAACATCATAATGGAATAGAACGTCGTCAGGGAAAAGCCAAACCCCAGGTTGGGCATGCCGTGAGGGGCGACCATGGTGCGTGTTGTGCTCCCGGACAATTGAGGATTGACGTACAATGACGGGGGATGTGAACCCTCCCACTTGGCCAGAATTTCTAGGAGGGAGATCAAGGATGAAGAGTACAAAGTGATTTCCGCTCTCCTTCTCCAGTTGCAGCGCATGCAGAGTGGATGAAAACGGCGCTGACATCCTTGACCCAGTTACCCTGGTGACATATCCCCTTTCCTTTTGAAAATCAAGATCAAAGAATTCCGGCTCGAAGTCCCACTGCCGGATAGGGAGTGATGTGCTTCCAAAACGACCAATGATGTTGTATCTGCAGAGCTTCCACCCGCGGAGGATATATAAACCACCGTCAAAGATCCATAAAAAATGATCCTTTGGGAAAAAGTTAAGATCGCATGAGGAATGAAAAGTGATTTAAGACACACATCCGCATCCAGATCGAGTGAGAACCAAGCATCATTCGCCCAGTCCCAGACAACGAAACGAGGCCAATACGGGATTACGACATATGTTCCGTCAAAATACCCTAGACCTGCATATCTGTACCCTTGATCCTCATCACCAAATATCTGCGGGATGGCCAAGCCTCCAACTTTGACAAATCTCATACCAGGACCATCAGAATTCTGAACACATTCCAGACGGACTACATCGTGAGCCCAACTGTTAGAAGACGACGGTGAGCGAATCATGCAGATAGTCCCATGAATAAGAACACACGACATACAATGCGGGATGTCGGTCAAGATTGCAACGGACGGAGAATGTTATGTGGCTCCTGTGACCGTGTTCCGCGTCGAATTGAAAATCGAACCCACCGGAATCTGATGAAGGCAGCGTGAAACGTGCCACGGGATCCAAGACTTTCTCGGTGCTGGTGTCCTTCAGGTCCCAGCAAAGCAGCTCGCACGCGCTGCCTTTAGCCTTCCCTAGACCAACGACATACCGTCCACCAGGAAGGCACCTGAGGTACCGTGAGGGAAGGCCGCCCAATTGGGATTCGCGTTCGCGAGAGACTTCGATCGTTCCGCGCAACAAGTTAGCACGAAAGCGATATGGATGGAGTGAGAAATTTCGGAGATCTTTCATTGACATTTCGTCGAGAGGGATGGGCGCAGTCAATACGGATTCCTGTGTCATAAGCCGGCGCGCTTCACGGTTCCATATGTAGCGATCGTTCATGAGTATGTCATACAGCCATTTCGATGTCTCCCAACAAGACAGAATGTCAGTACAAGACGCGCGACATACATCTGACGGTGTAGGAGAGATACCATTGATAGCTTAAGAATGCCTAAGGGCTGAAGCCAACCGGTAACTAGATGCCAGACATCCAAAGGGACTTTTGACACAGCGTGTCCCGATTGTGAAGCACCCAGCTCTTCGGACATCGATTTCGAAGACGAGGATGAGTGGCAAGAGACACCGGCCCAATATGCTACAGACGCTGATGCCGAGGTCGCTGGAGTCTGGCGTGAGCCGATTGCAATAAGTGTTGATCGACCTTGGTAGCTTCCGCATATATATTGGTGTTTATTGACACGAAGTGCTTCTGAGAGTGTCTGCTTTTGTCGCGAACGAATGCATCTTCCCTGCATTCCGAGTCCAAATGATGTACAATGTAACGGTGCCCTTGGATGATCGAGACCTTGTTCCGAACATTCGCACTTGGAACAGCTGAGTTCGGTGTGTCGTTCCAGCAGACTCGACGATGATAACGGACGGTGTGGATCTGGAAGATTCGGATGCTCCGTAGTGTTCAGGAACAAGAGGGGCTCCATGCTTTCAGCATATCACGGATCTATATTAGCGGTTGGGCCATCTCATTTGACATGTCCAATCCTGGGTTCATGTGCATCCCTGTTTGCTACATCAATGGTACTTGGCCAGAATTCCCTTGCGTTCCAAAGCTTTCCTGCCAACCATTCGATCGTGAACCTTCAGAGGCCGACTACTATGAACCCTTGCTGTGGAAAACGGGAGCTAAGGGTATATCGGAAATCCTGTGCTCGGAAAAATTCCCGAGTCTTGAAAGTCATGGGCTGCAAGGTACTCTCATAAAATCCCTTCCTGAGTATCGGTTTGGAAGCGATATTGTCTGGCTAATAAGTTCAAGCCAATCACGTCGACTGACCTGAACAAGCATACAAAATTGGTCTTCAAAGTTTTCCTTTCCACTATTGAAAGTACATCTCCAAGACCTTTTATCTCACTGGGCGTGCGGGCTCAGTCCTTTCCAGCACATCGTGTATCAGACGTACTTACAAGCCAATATACTGCACCGTGATATTCACGGGAACCACCTCATGTGGAACGTTATGACCTGTTAATTGGGGCACTGATTGATTGGGATTTTGCCAGCTTTCGTCCTTTGGAGGATCTCGAGCAAACTGCTTTTGCAGCGAACGTCGCATTCCTTGCTGTCGATCTGCTACAGGATGACTTGCTTCCTCTGTCGCAATCTGGAATCATGCTTTAGCGGATTATCGTTATGAAATTCGGGGGCTAGGTGAGTTGATAGTCGTGTCGGATTGGACCTTTATTAGCGAAAGGCCGTAACGGTGCATGGCGTCGCTCGGAGACATAATAGTTGTCACACTCCAGAATCAGCATTCAAATAAGGGATTCCAACACACTATGGCTATTGGAAGAATACTATAATATATCACGGGATTGGACACACCTAGAAATGGGACAAATGCCCATAACTGCCTCATATCTCCTCCTTCACCGACCATTCTTTGCCATTATGTGCAGAGGAATCACATGTATGTAACTGTCCAAAAAAATCCCGGAGTTTTATATGAGTGTTGTGGTGTTTGACATATAACTATCGGGCCATTGTCTCCGAAACCGTCATTCTGCTATGCTCCTGCCCCTGTAGCTCACGAGTCTACCTTACACCCTTCCGTAAAATGATTGGAGTCGATTCTAAAAGCTCTCAAGAAATCTTCTTCGCATTTTTGGAAAGTTCTATTGCTTGTCAGCGCTGTCAGGACCAGAATTACCAACAGTGAGTGACCCTGAAAATGCGATGTTATAAACCTTGCCAGATCCCCCCAAAATTTCCGTCCATTTCTTTCTCTGACACTATGGGACCTTCCTCTGACATTGAAGAGCGAATATCATGTGCCCTAGCTGATTTGCAGAGTAAGAAGATTCAGAGTCTATGGAAATCCGAACCCTGTCGCGGATGAAGAGGGAGTCGAGTATATGTATGGAAATACACCCGCGATTTCCCGAGACCTCCTCCACCAGTTGTGCATTGGAAAGGCAACAGCCAGATATCAAATGAGGAGCTAGAGGCAGCGGAGGTGCTGGCGCGGGGCTTCTGATAGCACTGTCCAACGATGTGGTGACGGAAATTCCCGGCACGTTTTTGAGCTCGCAACACAAAACTTTTCTTCAGCCACCACAACTCAAAGAATATCTCCAGTATTTTTCCAGTAGATACAGGTGATACAGAGCTCTCGCTCAAAAAAATATAACGACTCGATTCTGAGGTCTGTAGCCGGAAATATAATAAAAATTTGCTTATGTGTCCCACTTCTGGGTTAGCAACAGTAGCAGGCATTTGCCACGTCGGCCTCAGTTGTAGTTGTATTACATGCATGCATGGATTACACTTGGGAGTTAGGACCTCTGCCTACTCATGAGTCCTAGCTCAATCGAAACAAACAAATGGTCCCTTCCCCCACATGAATTGTAAAAAGGAGCCCGGAAGCTAAGCACACAGTTTCGCGTACGGACAGGGGCAGGGGCTCCGGAGGGAGGTTCCAAAAAGAGTTACGATCCTTATACTTCAAAGGGAACTCAAACTTGTTTGGGAATACGCGGGTATCATTCGATATCGCTTGTCCGAATACCGCCCTCTTCGGGAGATCAACATCATAATGGAATAGAACGTCGTCAGGGAAAAGCCAGACCCCAGGTTGGGCATGCCGTGAGGGGCGACCATGGTGCGTGTTGTGCTCCCGGACAATCGAGGATTGACGTACAAGGACGGGGGATGTGAACCCTCCCACTGGGCCTGAATTTCTAGGAGGGAGATCAAGGATGAAGAGTACAAATTGATTTCCGCTCTCCTTCTCCAGTTGCAGCGCATGCAGAGTGGATGAAAACGGCGCTGACATCCTTGACCCAGTCACCCTGGTGATAGATCCCCTTTCCTTTTGAAAATCAAGATCAAAGAATTCGGGCTCGAAGTCCCACTGTCGGATAGGGAGTGATGTGCTTCCAAAACGACCAATGATGTTGTATCTGCAGAGCTTCCACCCGCGGAGGATATATAAATCATCGTCAAAGATCCATAAGAAATGATCCTTTGGGAGAAAGTTAAGATCGCATGGGGAATGAAAAGTGATTTCAGACACACATCCGCATCCAGATCGAGTGAGAACCAAGCATCATTCGCGCAGTCCCAGACAACGAAACGAGGCCAATACGGGATTACGACATATGTTCCGTCAAAATACCCTAGACCTGCATATCTGGTCCTTTGATCCTTATCACCAAATATCTGCGAGGTGGTCAAGCCCCCAACTTTGACAAATCTCATAACAGGACCATCAGAATTCTGAACACATTCCAGGCGAACTACATCGTGAGTCCAACTGTTAGAAGACGACGGTGAGCGAATCATGCGGGTAGTCCCATGAATAAAAACACATGACATACGATGTGTGAAGTCGGCCAACACTGCAAAGGACGGAGAATGTTATGTAGCTCCTATGACCGTGTTCCACGCCGAATTGAAAATAGCACCCATTGAGATTTGATGAAGGCAACATGAAACGTGCCACGGGATTCAAGACCCTCTCGGTTCTAGTGTCCTTCAGGTCCCAGCAAAGCAGCTCGCACGCGCTGCCTTCAGCCTTCCCTAGACCAACGACATACCGTCCACCAGGAAGACACCTGGAGTTCCGTAAGGAAGGGCCACCCAATTCGAATTCGCGTTCGCGAGAGATTTCGATCGTTCCGCGCAACAAGTTAGCACGAAAGCGATATGGATGGAGTGAGAAATTTCGGAGATCTTTCATTGACATTTCGTCAAGAGGAATGGGTGCGGTCAATACGGATTCCTGTGTCATAAGGCGGCGCGCTTCGCGGTTCCATATGTAGCGATCGTTCATGAGTATGTCATACAGCCATTTCGATGTCTCCCAACAAGACAGAATGTCAGTACAGAACGTGCGGCACACATCTGACGGTGTGGGAGAGATACCATTGATAGCTTAAGGAGGCCCAAAGGCTCAAGCCAAGCGGTAACCAGGTGCCAGACATCCAAAGGGACTTTTGACACAGCCTGTCCCGATTGCGAAGCACCCAGCTCATTGTCTTCGGACATCGATTTCGAAAACGGGAACGAGCGGCAAGAGACACCAACCCAAGATGTTACAGACACCAATGCCGAGGTCACTGGAGTCTGGGGTGATAGGGGTCGGCTTCCACATATATATTGGTGTTTATTGACACCGAAAGTGTCCGTCGTCCGCTTTTGTCGCGAACGAATGTTCCTTCCCTGCATTTCGAGAAAAGATTTGTAATGGATGATCGAGACCTTGTTCCAAACATTCGCACTTGGAACAGCCGAGTTCAGTGTGTCACCATGTTCCAGCAGACTCGACGATGATAACGGACGGTGTGGATCTGGAAGACACAGATGCTCCGTAGTGTTCAGGAACAAGAGAGGTTGACCCATGCTTTCAGCATATCGTAGATCCATGGCCATCTCATCCATTTCTCGCCTGGGCTCCCCGGGCGATGTACGTCCGTATTTGCTGCACCAATCAGAACCCTTGATACTTGGCTAGAATGCCCTTGCGTTCTAAGCTTTCCTACCAACCATTCGGTCGAGCCTTCGAGGCTGACCACTATTGTTTGCTGTGGAGAACGGGAGTCAAGGGTATATCGGAAAAATTCCGGAGTCTTGAACGTCATGGGCTGCAAGGTACTCTCACGAAATCCCATCCTAAGTATCGGTTTGGAAGTGATATTTGGAGGTATCGTCTGGCTAATAAGTTCAAGCCAACCACGTCGATGAACAGTTTTCCTTTCCAGTATTCGAAAGTACATCTCCAAAACCTTTTATCTCACTTGGCATGCGGCTGAGCCCCCCCCCCCCCCCAGCACACCACATACCAGGCATACTTACAAGGAAGCCAGTATGGGGCGCCGTGATATGCACGGGGATACCTCATGTGGAACATTGTGGACAGGTGACCTGTTGGGGCACTGATTGATTGACATTTCACCGGTTCTCATCTTTTGGAGGATCCCGAGCAAACTATTCCTTGCCGTCGATCTGCTACAGGATGACTTGCTTCTTCGTTCTTACTGTCGCGATCCGGAATCATTCTTAGCGGATTATCGGTATGAAGGCGCACATTCAGGGGCTAGGTGAGTTGATAGTCGTGTCGGACTGGACCTTTATTAGTGAAAGGCCGTGACGGTGGCGTCGCTCGGAGACATAACAGTTGTCCCCAATCTATTATCCAAAGACCATGACACATCAACAAACGGAACCGACGCAACAAGTCAAATTATATACATACGTTGGCTATTGAATATTTACAATGATTCAAATTGCCCTGTACATACTTCTCGTACGTGATGCGACCGCCCAAAGTCTCGTCGTCGAAACTTCTGAAGCCGGAGAGGTTGAATCCAAGTAGTATCAAGTAGGACCGCATCGGTGTTCGGTTCCCAATTAAGAATTTCCTTCGAGGGCGAACGTCAGGACATTGTAGATTAGGAGAAAACGATCCTGATCTCGACTGTTGAACTGGAACACGTTTAGCATGGTGGATGTCGTGAGCATATGGCTGAGTGAATTTGAAATCGGGGTCTCGAGCTTCCCACGGTATCAAGTTGAAGAGACGCATGAGTTGGATAGGATCTGATCATACATTTCCTCCTGGAACTGGTGGCTTTTTGAGATGCATTCGGCTACTTTTTGTAAAACAAGAGGCGGTTATTCCGAACGGAAATCTGCAAAGCCGACTCGAATATGGCTCTCTTTTTGACGGTTTTGACATGGGTTCTACTGGTGTAGCAGGAAGTCCAGGTGTCAAGGAAGGAGACACTGGTCTAGGTACGCGCATTTGACTCGGCATAGAATTGATCTTTATATTCTTGGTGTATGGTGGTATGTGTTTTTTGACATTAGGAGAGGAGAGCGGCCCGATCCTGTTCAGAGTTTCAATAGCAGAAAGTTAATGGACAAAGAAGAGGTTGAGGGTTGGGAGCGCTAGGCTCATTGTTCTGTAGTCTGGGACAGACGAAGCAGGTAGCCCGTGCCACATGTAAAAATGCCTGAGGGAGAAGAGGCAGGAAAATTTCCAGGGCAGGCGGCCCCCTGGAAGTTGAAACACGCTCGGACTATTTGGTCGATCGGAGAGCTGAAGATCCCAGCCAAGCGTCAGGGTACCCCAGCCACTGTTTGACCAAAAACGTATTGGCTGACTCATCAGACTCGTAACCAAATGTTAGTGGCTGTTTATCGTGTCGTGTCAGCGATAAACAATCACAAACATCTGAGTTCAGTGAGTTGCGCATCGATCAACGGTCTTAGTTGTGGCTTGGGGTTGATTTGGGTTGGTTGGATCTAGCTGACCATGCAAGGTGACATGATTCTGATTTGACACCCTTCGCACCCATCGTGATTACACTGGATATGCCGTCTGTGTATGATCTAATCGGTGCGTTGGCTAATTTCATGCAGGACTGCCCCCCGGGCTCTCGTCGCGGCAGCTGTCCATGGACTTCCACGGACATGGTTCTGTGTCATATCAAGTGTGCATAATATGGATGGAACAGTATCGATTCACAGATTATATCTACGTTCAGAAAATGGATTACATGCCCTGTGGGCGAAGGCAAGGAATATATGAGAAACATGATACACAAGTCACAACTAGCACGAAATTATAACACAGTACAATGTCTATACTAACAGAGGCTGGTAACCTGCCTAAGTACAATGCGCCAATAACAAATAAGTATTTGGAGAGGCAGCAAAAAGTGAGATTGGGAGCATATCATCAACCAGGTAACGTGAATAAGCGTAAGAATTGGAAGGTGCAAGCTGGCATCTTTCCCGAGTCATGAGCGGATGGGATATGAAACACAAGGTCCATGAAGCGATGTACACGGAAACGTGAGGCATCTGTCGAAAGCACAATCCCGAAAAGAGCCGACATGCCAAATTCAACTGGAGCCAGCACCTCGACCATCCATCAGCATCTCCTTCAACCATTGAACCTTCTCCTCACCCCTTCGACATCGTGCCCTGAGTTCATCACGCTCCTTCTGAAGTTCGGCCACTTGAGCCTCGAGCGAGCGGACATATTCCAACTTTCGCTGCCGACTCCTACGTGCCGCAATAGTATTCAGTCGTCGCTTGCGGGCTTCGGGGGAATCAGCCGCTGGGACGATGCTTCCGTCCTCCGCAGTGATCAAATACTGTTGGTCGTCAGATTCCACAGATCCACCCCTAACCATCCTGTCGTCCGAGTCACCCTCATACAATTGATTATGCTGCGGCAACAGAGAGGGAGTTTGCGCCTGGAGAGGGGTGGAGTCAATATCGGATGTGATGCTGCCTCTTTCCTGCGGAGTCAGAGAGGAGCCTTTGCGTGTGAAGGGCTTAGGAGGAGGTATATAGTGGGCTGGGGTGTTGATCAGAGTCATGCTATTCACAGAGTTGCGTGAATACCCAGTGGCCTCTTTCCGCAACTTCCTAGAGGGTTCCACGAAAGCTCCCATTCCAGGTAATTCGCGAGATCCACATGCGTCGACCTGGGGGGAGAGGGATCTCCTGTATAGAGAACCAAGATGACCAGTGGGCTGCAATGTGCGCGGGGAGACAGGAATGTTATCAGGTATTGCAGAGTGGTAGTTGGGCGGCTCAGTCATATTGTTGGCATCTCTGCGAGGTGGCGAGGAAGTTGGGTGAGATAGGGGCCCAACGATGTTATCGATATCCATAAACTTAGAGTTGCGAGCAGGCTTTCGTGGGGCAAGGACCGGCGACAACTGCAGAGATGAATTTTTCAGAGCGTCTGCGCAGATATGGGGGAGAGGGCCGGGTGTTCAGTAAAGTGCCACGGACTGGATGTTGGGAGGAACTGGTCCTTTATACATTATCAAGGCTGCATTGATCGGGCAGAGCGACGGAAGATCAGTTGAACGGAATTGATTCTTGATAACGGAGTCGCTTAATCGAACGCTGTGCCACCAGAAATTGTCTCAACACAATATTCTTTTGCCTTGCAAGCTGTGGTTAAGCTCCTAAGTTATCCTGGGGGAGGGTGCGCTGCATAGCCCAAGCCCTAGGCTGGAAAAGCAGAAGTGCGAGTTCTGTACAGACGGTGCGACGAACTTGCAGGAGATTCTGACCCGAAGGCGCACGCAAGAAGGATGGAGCGTGAGAAATGCACAGCCCAAGCGCCGATCAGCTGTGATAATCTAAACCAGATTGACTAGATATGAATCAATAACACGGAGCAGTGTGCGAAGATCGGAGCGCCAATAGTCCCAGTGCCGTAGAGCGTGTCGTCCCAATTTAGCCGGGGACGTTTGTGGAGGACAGGTTGTCCAAATAATCAGAATAAGTGCTCGGGAATGAGTATCACAATCGTGATGATCAGTTGGTGGTTATAAGCTTGAGGATACTCAAGGGCTCAAGTCGAGCAGGCACTTGGCTGGATCCCCTAGGTAATGTGTTTCCGCTTCAACTCAGAATTGTGTTCCACATCTGTCCTTGCCCTATCTTATATTAATTGCAAGGCATCGAAATGGTTTTGCCTCGCACTAGGCAACTGGGATTTTAATGCCACACACAGTTTAAAAGGTGCAGGAATGCGAGATGATGGGGAAGCCGGACCCGTTAAAGAGAAGCCAGGCCTCGTTGTCACGGCAGTGCGGCTCTTTACACCGTAGCGTACATGAGATACATGATGAGTTTTCTGGTTTGATCCTCGAGTCCGATGATGTCAGGTGAAGCCGGGATGCTCGTGACCATATATTGTCGGGTGTTGACGTCGACCGACCTTCTAACTTTGGGACACTCAACGAATGAGCTCGTCAATGTCCGCTGTCTTTCGCTTTGTTTACTTCCTAGTATTATAGGCTGAGAGATGCACATTGGATCTTTAGACGAGACCATCGAAACCTCAGTCCATTCTGAAGAGCGCTTGTGCCCAAGACGAGCTCAATCGGATTCCACGCCGCCGTCTTCCAATAACAGCCGAACACGTTCACTTAAATCGCGACCTAATTACCCTGACTCGTGTCTCACAGACTGTGAGGCCATATTTCTGGTGTGGCGTCCGGTGGTACTTCCAACGCGTCAAGCCATATCAGAACATGCCGACACAAACGACCCTTCCCCGAATTGTTTCACGGACCAAGGTGCATTCTCTGCCCTTTCTCTATACACAAGTGTTTTTGTTTGACCTATTGAATGCCTAGAACGCCAGAAATCCTTATTCTTCTCCCGTTAACTTGTCAGGAAACAGCTCGATCTCTTCCTCCTCCACCCTCGTCGATCCCCCATTGACAAAGAAAGTGCCTAAGGAGTTGCCGGGCATGAAAGAACCTCCTTTAAAGCGGCCGAGAGCTTCGTCATCCGTGCCGTCTACTGGACTCAAGAAGCCCAAACCTCCATCCAGGCACTCAACACAGTCCCAAACCGTCATGCAGGCAAGGCCACCGAAGGACTTTTTAGCTAAAAGAATCAGAGCCGAGTCGTCAGATTCAGTACTTGATAACGCATCCTTCAACACCCCAAATCCAAGGGCACGAAAGCATGCCCGCCGCGCGTCACCTTTCACCCCATCGAAATCCACGGAAGTTCCCTTCATGACATTAGGAAATCGTCAATTATCTACGCCTAGACGAATGTCGCCTCCAGTGATCGACCTTACGGTCTCGTCTTCTCCTGAAAGCCCATCGGAAGATCCAATGCTACTGATTGGTCGCACCACTCGGAATGGAAAGGGGCATGATGTCGGGGAATCGTTCGGTGTTAGTGTTGGCGAACGCCATCGTCCACGGAACCCCTTCACTCCCCTATTGAAGGAACTGAAAAGGGAGTCTCCGTCACCTTCTCTAGTCTCTTCTCGGCTATCGAATGCCCCACCTCCAAAGGATTCATCCGGAAACCACTCTGACGCAGGAAGCAATGAACAGAATGATGCTGACGTTGGCTATCTAGATGAGAACTATGGCTTCATCGGCGATGTTTTCGAGGTTCCCACACATCGAGGCTCTCCTAGTCCTGAAACACTGTATGAGCGCAGTTTCACGAAGCTCGGCCAGCGCAAGCCCACCCCACGCCGCCTTGTTCTAGAAGGCGAGGGAGATTTATCTGCTATGGCCAAAACTATCTATTACGAGCATGATGACGATCAAGTCGAGGCGCCTTCTCCTTCACCAACCTCCAGACGACGAAACCGTGCTCGTTCCTCCCCTGACGCCGTGACTCGAGGCTCACCCCGCTCATACCCTCGTATTTTGGATGGTTTGAATGAGGATGTACAAAATCAGGACAGCAATGATATCGAGCAGCGGCCCGTCGACGAGGCGGAATCAGATAAGTCCGGGTATGTCCATGATCCCATAGGTTTTGAAGTCCTCGAAGAAGAAACACCGGACAACAGTGAAGAAAGTGCTCATGATCGGAAGGAGAGACCTGATCAGGAGAAATCACCTCTGATCCCTCCACCTCCCTCTTCCACGCCTCCCTTGCTGGGGGATCGGTCGCGGGTTCAGGCTCCTACCAAGGAAGAAGACGAGGATGACCCTTGGGGAAAATCCCTCGACGAGAGGCAGCCAGAACTGGAAGCAACAATCACGGCACGCTTTGATCCTTCGGAAGAATCCCCAGTTAGCCAAGTACGCTTCAGCCGCGGTCTTGAAAATAGGTTTCGCGGTAACCAGATACCATTTTCGTCCTCACCGATACAATCAGTCTCAACTCAGATGGATTCTCCTAGTTTTGATCGCATTCAAGTTGAACAAACAGTAACATACGATTCTATGGAAGACGATAGCACCCTCGATTCCCTCATTCTTCAAAGTCAACATTTTGGCGAGAAAATATCTGAGTCGCACCAGACACCGAGCCCCCCAAAGGAGAATGTCATATCTCAACAGCCTAAACAAATAGTCCAAACTCCTTCATCTCCACGGCTTCGTGCAGCTCAGGTCCGAAGCGAAACTCCCCGTGTCGATCGTATACCGGCCGGTTCACCGTCACCATCTCTCCCGCTGGTTCCTATTACATACCCAGAATTTAGACCTCGTGTCGTGGATAACTCGACTGGTGCCTTCAAGATCCCAAGCATACGAATAGGAGATCATGATGTGGAGCTGGAAGATGGAACTGAGGGAGAGGGAGAGGAGCAAGATGACACCCCCATTGTCGAGGTGTCCAGTCTGGATCCTAAAGCAGCGGCGCGGGCGGCTATGATTCTAAAGATGGTATGCAATGAGAGCCCTACATTCTCACTTTCTTGGGACTGAGTCCCTCCTCCCCCAGCACCATGATTACGTCCTGGAAGATCAACAAGGTCTAACAAAAGGCCACCTTGGGAGAGCTCGAAGTCGTCAACGCACCTCTCCACGTTATTCTCCGTATGGGACCTCACGGTCTAGATCAAGATCACGGCCCCGTTCACAGGATCCTAATTCATCCATGGTATCTCTACCTGAACTCCTTCAAGAGGCCGAGGAAGAGGTACTGAGTCTAAGCATGACCATGAGTCCCAAGAAGTCTAAACCGACTTTGCCGCGCACTTATTATCCTGGTTCGAAACAATCACGAGGATCCAAATCCTCGTCCGTTCCACCCCGGCTTCTCGGCCCGCCAAAAGGTTGGTGCAAAGATGACTGGAAGAACATGGAACGTGCATTTGTTAAAGAACGCAAGATCATAGCTGGGCGCAACGGGTTTGAGTCGAGCAGCCAAGTAGCTCCCATGGATGTTGACCTCGGTGATGTCGTCGATCGATTTGTCTCGAGCAATGAGTTTTCTGCACGAATTCGTGTTGGACCGGATTTTGAACGGTACGAATCATCAAGATGCTTTCTTTCCTAACTTGCATTGAATGCTTTTGTTAAGGGAGACTTTACTGCTTCGCGCCGCTGCTCTCCAGAGACGTCTTATGAAACCTATTACCAATAACCGATATGAGACGCCAATAACCCTTTCAAGCCTCAAGGTCCCTGAGACGCCGTCAACGTTCGGAGATGACTTTGACTATGACCGTTCATCACCACAAAGCTCACTAAAGCGCTCCACCTCAGTTCAATCTTTGCCACCTTCTCTTCAAGCGCCGCATTATGCACATTTGCACAATGAGGCTGGCGCGTCTCGTAATGCCACAAGAGGTGGTCATCCTCTACCGTCGTTGCCCCCATCGCGAAATGTCTCAAAGAGCACACCAATTGCAGCTCCCACTATCGCGGAGGAGCGGGAGCCAGCTTCGCCTTCCATTACGTCGCGCCTTCTTGACTATGTGGGATTTAAGCGAAGTTCTGCCACACCTCACCCTTCAAACCCAGGGATTCAAGTATCATCGGATGGCTTTAAAGTGCCCAGGGAGCCGGTGTTCCTGCCCACCCCTGCGAGTCTTAGCACCGGTCCCCAAATGGTGCAGGTGCAATACAATGGACCCATCACGCTACCGGAACCTCTCAGGAGAGCGTCAAATGCCCCGATGAGGGATCCTTCTGTCCGACTTTCCAAAGAGTATGAGGAGTATCCCGAATTGCGACATATTGATCCTCCACCTCCAAGTACGACATCGCCTCCTGGTATCCGTCTCCGCAGCGTTGGCTCTAGTGGATCCGTCAAAGACCTTGTGAAAGGATTTGAGGATCTTACGCAGAAGTCTGAAGACCAAGTGAGGAGCACCCCCAGGCTGCCCCGAGGAGCGTCCTTACCGATTCTAGTCGGCCGACCCCGAGCAACGAGTACCTCGCAATTTTCCGTCAAGTCGTCCTCGTCTACCGAGTGGACTGGGAGTTTTGATATGAACAATTCATTTGATCAACCTGGTAACTCGAGCATTGAAGATACATTCGACCAATCGCGAGAGAGGCGAGATGAGCCGCTGAACCTCCCCGCCTCATCGAAGAGAGCATCCGATGAAGACGCTTTACCGATTCCTAAGCAGAAGCGCGTACCCGAAACCGCACCACCCAAGAAGCGACTATCATTCCTTTCATCTTGGATTTCATCTTGATGGCCTGCCGGTACATCTTGTTTCTTTGCCTTTTATTGACATCGTTCCTTTATCTGTTCCAATTTTGTGTATCATTGTTACAATAATGGATCATAGCTGCATAGGAATTCAGCTTCCGTAGTTTATAGCGGGAATCGAATCCGGTTCTTGTCAGTCAACTATCTCAGTCTCAGCGTAATCGACTTTCAAATCTCGGCCCCGGCGTCTACCATAGGGGTGTACAGCCCATGCTGTTCGCCAAGGATATAGGTGAGTGTCATGCGTTCGAAAATGCCAGTTGGGCCGCCATCGTCCAGTTCCAGCTAATCAAATATTTCAGAGATCGCTCAATGTTTATGGATGAATTAGAGATGTACTCACCAGGGATATCGCATCTTCAAGGCTAAAATGAGAAGGACATCAGAACCGTCTAGCAGCCTCAAAAAGAAATGTGGAAGTGCTGACAGATGTGCTTGACCCACACTCATGCCCTGGAAGCCACTGTATTCTACTGAAACAATGTGCACATGAAATTGGTCTAGAAAATGAATAAATGCTCAAAATCAACAAGTCCATCATTTGTCGAGGGGACTCAGCTCACAGTATGATGGCTGATAATGAATGTAGAATCGAAGTCCTCCTTTTGGGACGCCCCATTTCTCCGATGCCACCCGTGTAGCTTCCTGCCTTATGCGTTCTAGCATAGGCACATGTTCCTTGCGCAAATCACGAAGGGATCGAATGAGAGCCGACCTTGCAATCGCCAAGAGATAGAGCGATCCAAGGCTTTTACGATCCCATTTCATGTCCGGGAGAAGTACAAATCCATGGATAGGAGAAGGATCTTCGAACAAGATATCCTCGGTTTCGGTTATATGGTCTAGTATATTTTGAACCCTATGTGGGAAATGATCCATCAGATCAGTCGGGCCTGGACTCCTTATGTGCACCAGGGTGATTACCATTGTGTTCGGGATTTTGGAAATGCATCAATAAAGGGTTTCGTCACCTTCTCATATAATTTAGGCGTCTCGCTGATCATAGCATGTTTCTGAGAGCTATACTAGGCGCATGAATGGTACCAGGCTTGGTAAGTGACGAAGGGTTCATCGTTGGCCCCTACCTTGCGGATGTGCACGTCGGTGGCTGGGGAGATTACACTGATCTTGACGTCTGCATCCAAATATGTCCCGTCGGCACTCCTTATCCATCCTAACATCCAGGCGTACTAATTCTATCATGGGCTATTGGAGCTGTGTTACTGGAAACGGACTCACGATGTCGTTGACTTCTGTTAACTGAATTTTCGAAATTGTAGGAATGATTGAAGATGCATTGTTTGGATCAAAGGCCGTCTTCTGCAAGCTGACGATTGACTGTACGGGCTCGCTGTCAGGATTTGACGATGGCAACTTGCCAAGAAGAGAGATTGACTTGAAGACGGTATCTTCAAATGTATCGGCGCATCAAGAGAGAAAATTCAAGGCATATCGGCGGCAATCCACAATACCGTCGTTGAGCACCCTAGTCAGCGTGAATTGTTTCAAGTGTTCCAACTCAAAAGCGCCCATCGTCTAAAGTCCGGAACCTTCCGAGAGAATCTGCTTATAAATTGCTTTTTTCAAGCCAATCTTTCTTTCACCTCTTCCTAGTGCCTCTGGGCCCGCGCTACCATCCAAGTTGAAGCTGGGATACGGAAATCCAGCCTTCTCCGGTTTCATGATTTGGTGTGTTAAAATCGCCCCTTCTTTCCTCTTTCCTATCGACGTCTCCCATGATGAGGGACCATAACCTGGTCCGTCCGTGTTTCTGAGTAGAGGCTTAAGACACCTCGCTAGATCTTTGAAGAAACAAATACACCTGCTGATTTATCACAACCCTCTGGCTTTTTTGACCCATCTGCTGTATCTATTGTCTAACTCATTTTTTTAGATGCTTTTTAACCCTCAAAGTTACATGTTTATAAACCACATATTTACATAGCCGTCAAATGTCAGTATAATGTAAGAGTCTAATATCGATAAGTGGATGCGTATATAGAGAATGAGGTGTTCAGTGAGGAAAGAAAAGTCCTCGTAAATCAGTGCAGAATGAGAGAAAATTGGAGCGTGAACAAAAACAAAAGGCAGGGAACTGGGGGAATGGTAGTCATCAAGGTCATCAGGAAATGTTGAACGAATCATGTGTCCTGCCGCAAAACAAGTGTCTTATTGTGTCCCAGTAATCAAAACATTCTCCATCCACCGGGGCTTGGCATCCCAGGACTCCGGAAAAAGTTTGTCCGTTGGAAGAGCGTGCTACTCCCCATAGGCGTGCTCGGGGCATCACTCAGTCGCGCAAACTCCTCCGCCACATCAGAACTAGGATCATAAGGATCAGGACCATCATCATCGGCGCCGTCACCGTCATCGTGACCTTTACGTCCCGTAAGACGCGCTGAAGAAGTCGGAGTTCGGAAAGGGGATGGAGGAAGGAGCGAGCGTTTGAAATTCGAGAAAGAGGCTGATTGAGGGGATAGATGAGATCGATGCATAAGCGGCGTTCGAGCTGGGGAGAAGCCGAACATATCTCTCAAGCTTCGTTCACCTGGGGAGATTTTTGGTGTTGAATGCGAATTAGAATTTCGTTGGGCTCGTTCCTCACTGGATTCGCCATCGTGGATGGGTTTGCCCCCCCGCACTTTCGGTGGAGGGGTCAGGAACGTGTGCTGTCGGTGACTATTGTCAGTTGAACCTCCGGGCACCTTGCGTGGAGGAGGGGTTGTCGGTCGGACGAAAGGTGTCATAGGCGCTTTGTGAGAGTTGAGAACAAGATCATGAGATGAATTGCTCTTCCACCCCATAGGGGTTTTTGGTTTCGAAGGGGCAGCAGGTGACGGGATTGACTTGTTCGCTTTGTATTCCAGAGCGCGATAAATCATTTCGGTGGCTGACCGAACTGACGATAACCTTCCAGCCTTAATATTGGTTGTTGGCGATAGCGGTGGCGAATCAGGCGGAGCCGGCCGCTGTCATGTGTGTTAGACGCTCAGCGTGTCTCATGCATCAAGAAACTCACCATCCTTGGCCCTGACTCTGGCGAGTCATCATCCATACACGGTTTCTTCGCATTAAGCTCAAAGCTAGGCTGTAATCTAGGAGGAGCAGTGTTCTCATCAATAGCATTCCGATGTGTCTCTGCCTCCATGATGAGTAAACTTCCATGTGATTGCGTCCCTCGATTGCGTCCCTCTGAAAGTTGGATACCACTAGCAGTGGATGCAAGGGCTAGCTTCTGATTCTCTGGTGTTTGAATAGGTGGACTCGATGAGCTGGCATTCGGAGTCAGAGGAGGCGGTTGAGCCAATCCACCAAGAGTTTGCTGACCCTCACTGTCACTGCTGCCTTGCCTATCTACAGTGCCAGCTCCGCTATCACCACAAAGCCCCAACTCCAACTCCTTTGGGAGTGCCAGATCCTCATTGACGATGTCTACCCCAAAACCCTCATCATCGCTGCTCTGGGCCCCATCCGACATGAAGTCGTTCGGTAACTCGATATCATCCCCTCCATACATGCTCGAGGCGCTTGTGCATGCACTACTCCCACTCCGACACCGTTCAATTTGTTCACTTACAGCTTGGAACTGGGCGAGCAAAGCCTTCGCACTCACAGCATCATCCTCGTCACTGTCATACTCCCCCTCAGGTTCTAGCTCCTGCAGGAATGTTGATGGACTGGAGATAGGTGAACTGGAAGGAAGTGGTGATGAGGGTAATGCCGGCGATGAAGGGAGCGATGAGGGGGGCAGAGGTGAGGAATCCAGCAACGGCGACGCGGGAAGCGTCGATGAGGAAGGAACCATTGGGGAGGAAGGTGACGACGATGGCACAGGGGATTCACCTCCCCCTATACGAAACCCCAAGGGTCGGTTCTTGGACCGTGATGAACGGAATCTACCCTTATCCACAGCAGGCGGTGTTTTCTTTTGTCGTGCGATCGTTGGAGGTACATGAATAGGACTTGAAGAAGGCAGGTGCCCAGGTGTGGATTCTATAGTGGGTTTCGTAGGTGTAGTCTTGGTGGGTGTGTGTGGAAGGAACGTGGACAGGTGTTTGAGGTTTAAACTCGCAGGAGGGAATCCAGGTGGCGTCGGCGTGATTGTTGTAGTTGCTGAAGGGGCCTTCGGCAGGACGGATTTCGAGGCTTTGGTGGAACCGGTTTTTGGGACAAGTGGAAGTGTGGCTGGTGGTAACGCAGGATCAGCTGTTGACGTCGATGTCGTGGCCGAAGAGGATGCCGCAGGAGAAGATCGGTTATCCTTGGAAGAGTTCGGACCGCTGGGCGGACTGTTTGTGACGATGGATCCAGGCATGGGAGCTGTTGTTATCATATGTGGGTTGCCGGGGACAGGAACCTGGAGCGGTGCGTAGGTGTAAAGCTGCGAGACGACACCATGAAGAAGCGGGCCAGGTGGCACAGCGTAATAGAATAACTGGGGAAACTTCAAATCAGTCGGACCAGTCGCTGCTGCCACAACAGCCCCTGGCTGTAAGACTGCGGGATAACCAGCAGCCGTGTAGAATGTTTGTGGTGAAACGTGTGACGTAGCCGTTGGTGGGCTCAACTTGGGCTTCTTCGACGACTCTGCCTGAGAAAACCTCAGATCAGCTGCTTCTTGCAGTTTCCGTTTCCGATTGTGGGCTACGCTGCCCTTGCGGATATAGTTCCCATCAGCAAAGCATTCCAAATCTTCCTCTTTTATGGCCCACAGACTTCCTTTGCCGCGCTTGAACGTACTTCGCTCAGTTTTATAGAAGGAGCCGTTCAGTGAAAGATTATGTCGAATCGAGTTCCTCCACCCGGGCGCATCCTTTTTGTAGTAAGGATAAGCCATCGAAATGTACTGGTAGATCTGGTTCAAAGAAAGTTTCTGCTGTTTAGATGCAAGGATCGCCTGCCCGATGAGGGCGGCGTAAGACCATGGTGGCTTCTCAGTGGAGCGGGGGCCAAGAGGTAGGGTGAAGGGGCTTTCCCCATCCTCGTCTGACTCTGCGTCAGCCTCACGACTGGCGCTCGTATCATCAGGTTCTCGAGTTGATATGGGGATAGTCGTCAAGGAGGAAGGGGTAGAAGTAATGGAAGTAGAGTGACTGGCGGAGCTGCCAGCGATTGGTGCAGCTGGGGACAATGTGGATGCCGTGGGAGCGGATGAAGCAGATGAAGTCGAAGTATATACAAGACGTATTTTCTTAGGTCCATTGGAGGAGGAGATGGGGCCTTGTACGACTGTGTAGGGGGAGACGCGAGGCCGGGGACCGGAGGATGACGTGAGTTGCGAAGGTTTCAAAGTGCCCTTGGGTTTGGGCTTTAGTGCGTAAACACGCGTCGTCGACGCGTAAAACAATTCGTCAACCGTTCAGAGGTGTTACGAAGAGCTAACACGACCTACCTGTGACGTGTCGCCATAAAATGAGGATGTTGGGATCGACGCGTCAGATGAAGCCTGAGAGGTCGAAACGCGTAGAGAGCGCTTGCGAGTGTGTGGTGAAGACTTGGCTGGCCGAGTCTCTCCATCAGAGGTGTCGTCGACCTGCTCCAACACGCCGGAAGTCATCTTGGGAGGGGAGGCCACCTTGTTGGGGGTCACTCGAGACCGAAGTACTCTGGATGAACCCGCCAGGGAGGGAGTTGTCTGTGTGCTTATACCTGCTCTTCGACGCGTCCTGGAAGAAGGGGTATGGGGTGAGGCGTTGCTGCTGTTGGACTGCATTGCCGAGGTGGCAACGGTCGATTGAGATGCAGTCTCAGCAGCGGTTTCGATGGTTGATTCTGCGGTAGACGCAGAGGTAGATGTAGTGGATGGGTCTTCCAGCGATGGAAAGGTGGTTTTAGAGAGGAATTCGCGCATTTCTTGTGTATGCCTAGCCAGCTCTTCTGGTGTCATGTGGAGAGATGCGAGTGCCTGAGACCGAGGCGAATTCGTCGCCATTTCGCTCAGGAGTGTAAGAGCGTCCGACATTGTGGCGCAAAACTTGCAGCAGTGACTCCAACAACTTACTGCCTCGTATTGCGCCAATGATCAGATGGAACACAGACGCCGTGGCGGAGAGCGAACAAGTCAGCAACGAGACAATTGACGAAACTAACGCGGCAATACCCGAGGACTATGATGTTCACGCCTTCATCGATCCCAAGCCATTAATGTCGACAGGTGTACCATCGATATAACACAGCAGCTCGTACACTACTAAAGTATTACAACCCACCCAAGAAAAATATCCACACAAAAAGCAGTCCAATGATTACACAACCAGGGCAATAAATCACTCTTAAGACCCACCGCGACTCATCACGCCGCTGGTGCACCAGCAGCCTTGGCAGCCGCTCTCCGTCTCTTGACAGCCCGTCTAATTTCACCAAGATCGTGGTCTATTTCCCCCTCCTTCGACCCGATAATGCCGGCGATCGCCTTACCAAGCGTCAGCTGCGGCTCTTTACCACTAGTACGGTTGAGGCGCGGCTTCCGGCCGGCGCCGGCGCCGGAAGAGTTATGTGAAGATGAAAAGATAGTGGAATTGAGGGAAAGGGGGAAAGGTGAAGCAAGATCATCGGGTGACAAGCCATATGGAATAGGCGCTGAGAGTACGAAAGGCGGTTTTGGCGTCGTTGAGCCTACCGGCCGGGACAAAACACTTGCAGTTGCCTCTAGCGATGATTCTGGTTCGCGTAGTAAGCCAAAGAATGAGATGACAGAGTTCGGGATGAGCTTACCAACGACGACTGTCCCGTCACCGTCCTTCTCTTCTCTTGCTCTCCTCCGGCGCTCCTCAAGTCCCTCCATGACCCTTTCTCGTAAACGTGTTTTGCTTCTTCTGAATTCTTCCTCGATTTGGTTGACCTCGGCCCTCCATAGGTTTTGGATACTATCAAGTGCATATTGACTCTCTAGCGAGATTGCATCAAGTAATGCTGCTCGTTCGAGGGCAATTGGGTATAAGCGAATGGCGTAGAAAGGTGAAGTGCTGGGTGATTGATGGAGTCGTCTAGAGAGGTTTGCGAGGGAATTGAGACCCGACGTATATACACTGGAGGGAAGTAAGATATAAGCGACACTGTAAAACAGAAGGAGGGAGATATTGAAAAGAAATGAGCACGCACTCGTCACGTCGTTCGAAAATGTCGCGCGAGTATTTTGCTACCCGGTCTGCAACTTCTCGTTTTATCTTGGACGTCCGCTTGGGATCCGGTTCCGCTGTCCCAGCACGCTGCTTATGGACCCCTCCCCCATTCCTATCCTGAATCTTGCTCGACCTACTGGACAAAACTGCATACCGACTGCTCGAACCGCCATAACCAGATCTGTCCACATCCATGGGCTGAGCATAATCTCGTGTCAGGGGCACCCCATTGCTCTGTTGTTGAGCAGTATACCGACTTGACTTGGAAGATACACCGTTAACGCTGCCATTACGCTGTCGATCAATATATTCGCGACCCGCAGGATTCATGGACGGCGAGTCATCGTCCATCATGGAAGAAGGTACTTCCCGCTCGCGTGGGCCCCGGGAGGGGACATATACATCTGTGTAAGGGTCATCTATCGATGGTTGGTGTGCCCGTGACGGGTGTAAAGAGTGGAGGGAAGAAGATTGTGGTGGCATGGCATGGGTAGAGCGGGGCTCGGAGCGATGGGGTGATACTTGGCGACGTGAGAAGGGGACTGCAGCATCATAGATTGGGTTGGGATGGTGACGATGGCTTTGTGGATGGTGTGACGGTTGGCGGTAGTCGATATCGTGTGCAGGAGCGAGGGGATGTGAACCCCCACCTCCTGTTGTCCGAGGCTTTCGCCGTGGGTTGTGGGAAGACGTGGGGGGCACTGGAAGTGGCGGCGGTGGTGGTGGGTACTCTGTGGGGTTTATGTCGCTAAACTCAAAGATGCCTGGCTGAGGCGGCATGGCTGCCTGTGCCTTCGAGGTTTGAAGACAGGATTAATTACGCTTTTCCGTCCGACTTTGTACACACGTGATGAGAAATGGTCCTGGGAAATTCAACTCTCAACACGTGCTATGACTTAATACTGTCTACGTGGTGATTTCGGGTTTGTTCTTGCGGTTAAATTTCCCCTGCCGTTCTTTGAGATGTTGTCGGACATGGTCACTGGAATAGTGCTACGCTCGCTAAGCCACATGGCTCCTTGGAAATCCGGTTTCCTCCGGCTCAAATTTTCTCAAGAACTCTTTATTGTAGAGCCTGCTCCGGCCCAAAGGATTCTCACGGCTTCAGAATCCAGCGGCCTCGAGCCGACGCGTCTATCCCTGCTGTCACATCCTCTCCCCCAGTTCCCTTTTCCTCATCCTCACGCAGTGATTTACTATTCCAATAGTCACGATTCGAAGACTTTAGCAGAAGCTGGGATCTTGCCTGTTAGAGTTCTTGGTATTATGGCGTACGCTATGACCAACTCACGTTTGGTGATGTTGAGTCGTGTGGCGTCTTAGATTTTCGCCTATTGCCTTTCTTGGTGACATCGATGCCAAAGTCAGTGCGCATTCATAACGCCTGACTATAAAAACCTAATTTTTTGGACAACCCAACCTTCCCTCAGTTCACGTACAACGGGACTGAGCGATAAACTCGCTAGTCTTTTATATTGCCTAGCTAGATTCGAAGTACACAGTCGAATTGCCACTGCACCGGGCCATCAATCCGAAATGGGAATAGCATCCTCCAACTGGAAGTATTTGCAATTGTATGATATTTCGAGCAGAAGAACGCCCGTCAGTGAACCAAAGTCATTTCAACAATTCTAACTGGTGAAATTTCTGCGGCTCTCTGGTTCCGGTCTGAGTAATGCGCTCGCGCACCGGACACAAAGCCAACTTAACATCCAGTCACTCAAAAGCCAGCCCACCCTCACGACGGTTCGGACGTTCCTTCTCATACTTTAGCCAACCCCCCCCATGACACCCCTCGAGCACATATACGGGGTTATATGGCTGGCGCAATACTCAACGTGATGTTTGTCCTCCGCTGAACAGCTTCGGCTGGTTTTCCAGGCAACTGATTCACCTTCATCCTCTCTTGTCTCGTCCAAATAGACTCTTTGGAATCATTACCATCCAAACGTACCTGTACTTCAGACGATTCAAACCAGACCCTCTACTGATTAAGGGAACAGTGGCGTTCTTAATGTAAGTGTTCGGTCGGCTGCGGGAAGACTGGTCGCTCTTAATGGTTCAATGCACACTTTCTCTCGGTTGTTCTCAGTCTTCTGCAAGCATTCCAGACGTGAGCACACTCCGACGCTGTCTTTCCATTCTTTGAATTGTGATCCCTGGTCAGAGGGTGTTCTTTGTATGTCATCCGCGCCAGAATTATCTGCAACTTTGGAGTCCCGATTCTTCGCTCCGACTGGTATTCTTCTTCTTATATTCAAGTTTCACCGTCACTCACCTTGTATGTGCAGGGCCTCAGCCATCCATCAAACGATCACAGTTAGGGTTCCTGTCACTCCAATGAAGATATCTCTTCACACATATGCCGATGCAGGTTACTTGTGCAGCGATTGTCCAAATGTATTATGCATGTCGTTTCTACCGATGTGAGTAAATCCTGACATTACCCTCAACAACTGGTACTTGATATCGCATTCCAGTGAGTCGTTCAACCTGGCTCTCGATCCTTGTGGTATGTTCATACTCACCAATCACTTTGACCCAATATTTTGACACCCTGTACTAGGTAATCCTCACTCTTGCACAGTTTGGTAAGGTATCATGCTGATCTATTGGCTATCGGTTAATTACTTCCACTCTTCAAAAAAGGGGTCGCTTTTGGTGAGTTTGTGAAGAATGCGAATTAAACAGCACTCATCATCCCCTCCTATACTAACAATTCTCCAGCGGCCCGTCTCAAGTCGTGCGTGCCACGACAAGCAGTACAAAAACGAATCTTAACGGCCACTCGCACACCGTTTTCACAGGAGCCTCTTCCATCAAATTCCGCAGGCGGTCGTGCCAACTCGCCCACTCATTCTCAGCTGGCTTCTCCTCGAAGCAGTTGTCGATATTCTGATCGCTGCATCCATGTGGCACTTCTTATCCAAACAAAAGACTGGGTTCCGGGGGTAAGTGACCATCGGAAGACTTCTAGTTATCGCCTAACCATTCCACAGTACTGATTCCGCCATCGCCACATTGAGTGCATACGCTATCAACACAGGAGCCGTCACAGCGTAAGAATATCCCCTCGTTCACTATCATGAACATTCACAACGAACTCTGTTTGCGGCAGTATTTTAGCACTGATCATTATGTTCGCGGTAAGATAATCACTTGCATGACCATTGCTGAAGCCCATGCTTTTGAGTATAGTTCGCATTCTATGGTTACCATTTTGCTTATATGGTCCTTGTCTTGGTGTGTCTTGCCCACCATGGTCGCCGTCCCCATTTCCCCTAACGCATCATCCTATCGTGACAGCCTCTTGGGGCTGTTTACGTCGTCAGTCTGCTCGCCAAGTACGTTTTACTCACATCACCGTTTCATTATCGCTGACACAAGCACCCGCCTGCTGATCAAAACCATCCAGCCTTCATTCGCGTTCCACGATTCGGCAACGACTGGAAGCAACTAATCGAATGGGGATCCACTCCGTTCATTTTTCTCGGCTCCCAGAGGTGATGTCAATCCCCATTAACTTCCCGATCGAAGACTGATCGATGAACGGATTTCCAATCTCTAGATGAGGCGTCGAGTATCGCATGCTGCAAAAGGGAAGGCCCCTGCAACTGCCTCTGGTGTCGATGGAACCACGGCTCGGGGTCAGGTTCAGGCAGGACTTCAGCCTCTATGACTTCGTAAGGTTAGGTTGATGGATAACCATCCAAAAACTCCTTGCACCGATAACATACCTTGGCTACGGCCCCATCATCTCAAACACCTATCGCTATTTTATAGGTTAACCTGGGCGTTGGACGGTCCGTTGAGATCAAGGCTGGGTGATATAAATACAGAAACTCAGGCTCTATAGCATATTGTTTTTTGAACAGTGGTTGACATCGGGGGGTATGTTGACCTTTCAGCCAGCTTATAAATAGCTCAAGATGGGACAAAAATTACCCGAAGTTTTGTGCCTTCTACACAACATATCCCAGAAAGTGGCATTATTAAAGTTTGTTAAGAGAGCATACCAGAATGTTTTCGTCGGATTAGAATTTCACAATGCTAAAAAATTGAGAAAGTTAAGGCATTGTTCTTGTCCTGTGAGGAGAATTTATTCCGACCAAAACATGCTTTACAATTAAATTCCCGCTACTATGCAAGTGACCTTGGAAGCAAGGTAATAGGTGATGACCACGGTAAAAGGTGTGGATCAAACTCTGGTCCGGATACGAATCCACTAACTACGTTTAGCCAACTTCCTCCAAGGCTTCATGGTGGACATGGATAAAATCCGGCAGCGGTATCCAAATGATGACCCAGACACATGGGTCGGCTCCATCCTCCGATGCCTGCCGCGAGACGCGTTTAGCTACGTCGCTGCCGCCGACGTCAACGGTGAAATGACACTTGTACTCGTTCTCAATGCTGGAGACGATGAAGAATACCTGCGGAGAACTTTGAAAATTCCTGACAATGAATCTTTTCGTCAAGCGATTCAACTTTTCCTGACACCTGGTGTGTGGCCAACCCATGAGTAATATTTCTGTCATTCACCGTCAGTAGTTCAACATACTGATTACACCCATGATGTAGATGGTCCAAACCATGATGTCCCGCCTCCTAATCGTGTGGAGCGACCAGTGTACGGGGTGAGACATTATGCGTCGTCTTTTTATGCATCCTTTCTTTTGATGAATCACCGATGCATAATTCTCGACCGGCGTGTGCGACAAGAAAGAACCCATTGCTTAAACTTGTAAATGAATTGTTTAACTTGTCCCAACACAATCCATTCGGGACCTTGGGATGTACATAATTGTTCAACTTTGTCATAATTTTGACTGGCCGTTTGAAATGGTCTGCCAGCTATCCTTTTGGACGTTGGGTGCCTGCCGTCAGTCTCTAAAACTTTAATTCGTCGCTTCGAAGCGTGTATGTGTGTACTCTCTTGTTACGCCAAGGGATGAAGACGTTTTAGACGACGACGGAGTATTAAGGGACGACTTCAAACCAAAGACCTCGGGTGTTTCATTGGTTATGTCGTGAAATCCTTCTCCAGCCGTCTCCCAAGCAGACATAGGCCTGCGCCATCTCCTCCATGCCGCTGCAATTTCCAAGTCCATCACCTTACGTTGGAGAGTTAAGCTACTCAATCCAGAGGTAATCCAAACGTATATTCATGATTCTTTTCTCCTTTCCCTAGGGTGCTTTTAACAGACAGGAACACGATCGCCTTCCAAGAGTGCGTTCGCTCCTTTCTTCTTTTAGTGGAAATACTGCATGCGATACACACTGATGCGCAGAGGCCCAAGCAGGCAGCTTACCCACATCGCCCGTATTCCACTTGATGGACCTTCCTTGGAATCGACCCGCCAACCCGACGGACGCAACGTGCCCACACACAATACCCACCCATGGCAACATTCGCCTCCCATTTCTCATTCAGACGCACCTCCTAGTGAGGTGCTAGTCCCATCTCGCCAACGTTTATCAGAGCATCCTTCATCTGTGCCCTCACCCAACAGTACTTATAATAGAGGCGCCTAGTCCTCGTCACCAATCGCAGTGGCGCGCGACTCGGGGATAGACGCAACAACTCGAATAAGTATGGTCAGCTACATCCTATTGCCCACCGCGTCCAACCCATTCCCTCGGACCAAACTTCTCGGACTCGCAAGAGTTCCCTTTCGTTATTGGTATATCCTACTACCCTCAGACGCCGGTTCCATGTAGGCAGGATCAGCCTCTACCAAAGTAGAGGTTCACACGTCAACATGTCCATTTCGGCTGGCACCGGGCAGTTGCGAACTTCGAAGCTCACGAGACCGAAATAAGGATGCCCATATCGCATTTGCCCCCCAAGGCGGTCCTGACAGCATGGTAGCTGTTGTTGATCTCAACCGGAAGACAGAAGCAACGGAAACCAGCGCCTGTGAAGGAGAGAACTGGCAGCCAATGTGGAAGGCCAGGTCGACTGAAAGACGGGCGGTCTGTCGAGAAGTGGGGTTCGGGTCCGGAAGGTCTACCATTTCATAGGGCCGGGAACAGTTTGTGATAGGTTAGTGTGAATTTAGTAAACTCTTATCAGCCAACTGATAGCTCGACTACAGATGCCGTATCAAAATGAAAAAGCGCAGCACAGCGGACTCTGCGTTTATGGTGCTGTTCGTTCAGATGCTCCAGCAGAACCATCTTGCAATCCATCTTACTGGAACCCGGTCATGATGCCGAGAATGGCTCACTTTCCCTCGCATATCACCCTCACCTACATCCACCCCAGCAGCGTTCAGTCAACCTAGTCCTTCTTTCCTGTCCGGCGATACAGATCTGATCCCCAATCTCTCCGAAGATGGAGGACACTCGCCCAGCATTAATATCCAGCCAGTAGCGACATTCGAAGCGAATCTAGCGTAGCCCATCTCCATTTTCGTACCACGAATGATCGCTAGGGCCATTCAAAAGGCAGAGATCCAGGCAGAATCAGATGCAAGGCCATCCCGATCTCCCTCTCCCCATTCCATCCTCAAGAATTCGGCCCCAGCGTCGTTTTCTCACAAAACTCAAGTTTCACTGGTCTCACTCATCTCCGGCTGCTGTGGATGATGCATCCTGTCTTCTAGAGCAAGAATTGTTTCAAACCACATCCCATTCCCCAGAACAGAATGGCGCGACTTCGACTCTGACTCGACCATAACCCAGTTTCGGAAAGATTCGCAAATATCACCAGTAGGGTGGACATTGTAGATGTGTCACGAGGCTGCTTCGAAAGCCCCGCCATCTCTTGGGAAAAGAAGTTCTCCACCTGACGAGTCACGACGAGTCGATCGTGTTGGATGTCGGGTGGCAGAAACCGAAAATGGGGTCGATAATCCGATGTCGTACTTATCATCTTAGCCGTTAGACTTGGATCTGCAACAAACTCGTTCTACGTTAGCACTCAAGTGAGGCGCCTTCTTCCTACCTCCTATCCACCGATGTTGACGCCTAGTGTCACAGCAAGATAACAATTAAATTACTTAACTCGTTCTACTGCCACCTTGTGTTTATTGGCCTTGATTAGGGTGGCTGTCCCTTGACCCCATTGGCCAGCGAAAGTGATTTAACGCGTCAGTCCGCGCCGACAATCCCCCTTTGGTTGATTAAAGCCTCAGTGAAATTACCCTCACGGGTCCAACAACTCTCCAACTTGAGGCAGATGGGCTTCACTGGCTTGGAGCGTGCCAGCGATTCGTTCTGGGTGGATTGTTTGAGCGGAACTCGGCAAAGGCAATTAACCCTCACCCTCACATTCAGGTGTCCCCGGCCAGTCTTACGATTTCTCCGACCTCTTTGAATATAGGTGCAATCATTACTTCAAAACCCCACGTGTCTATGTTGTATTAGAGCTGCAAATTTGTTGCATTATTTGGCCTGCACAGTTTATCCTCTCGTTGTCCCAGGTACAAACTTTTGGCCACACTTAAGCCGCAAAAGCCCGATGAGGGACTAACAGGCAGTGCTCCGACATGAACCGCCGTCACACGGGTGTGATCATCCCATGCTTTCGTTGTTGCCAGAACAACACCCTTCACGGTCAGGCCACGTTGCCTCGGCAGGCACTGGCAATTCCTCTCTATCGGTGCCGGCCCCGGCCTGCCCGGAGTCTCCTGATGTTGATTGTCATCGTGTGAGATCCTCGTGTCTGGCACATCAGGCACATCACCCTTATGCTAGAGTCACCTCCGAAGCTGAGATTATGACTCGTCACCATTCAGAAAGTAAATACACTCACATTAACTGTCGCAACCTATTGGGATATGTACATGGTACAACTTAGAAGTGGTACGGGAGTAGTGTGTTTGAGGCTTTATTTTCAGGGAGCTGTTTTTTCTAGGCAAATATTTCTGCCGTGGACTTGAGCACGTGATTCTCTAGAGGTAATTTAATTCATTTGCTCTGGGACATCGAATCATACAGTTACATATTGAGTAAGAGCTTGAGGACAACCTGTTTTGGCTTTTCAAGCTCCAAGTATCGATTTACAATGCCTGTTGGGACTGCTACAAGGGAAAAACCTTTACATACCTAGTTGAATTGATCAGTGAGGTATGATATCCGCTTAAATTGTCCGCAAAATAAGTTGTCCCAATTGAGATCCCAGCCACCGGGGAATCCAGCACGAGTGTCGATCAATCCCTAGTTTAGAACCGAATTCAGTCTGAATATGTGCGCTTGAGCTGAGGGTATGCTGGGCTTGGTCACCTGCCTATATGTACAGCACAATCGCCTGAGGTGTGGCGATACCCGCTTGAAAATGACTGATTCTGGCGTAGAACATAGATGGCGATCACCGTGAGGGACATCTCGGAAATCCTACGAGATGTCCCGGCGATGCTCCCCGACAAAACACACGCAGCAACATGGTAATTGAAGTGATCGTGAGTAACCGTGGCGGCTAAAATTAGGGTGTCTAACCCACGATGAACCCCTTGCTTTATGGTTTGGGAGCTTCTGTCTGTGCTTATAAGAAGGCTTGGAAGCGGTTGAAACGATGCACGCCAACCGTGAGAAAAAGCACTGACAACAGACACAGATATCTGCTTTCCCACACCAGAAACAAGCGTCGTGTACAACCATCGAGGGCAGCTACTTATAGAGCCATGCATATTTTCTCGCAAAGCTTCGCATCCAAATTGTATAGGCCATAGATTGCTCCAGCGTGGCCATGTATACAATGCCGCGATAAGGTACGCGGTTGGGAAATCGATTCATTCTAAGAAGCCGCCCGTGACTGCCCAAGACGAAGGGAGGGGCTTCCTTTATCCCAATACAAATGTTGGGGTGAGGGAACCAGCAGTAGAGGCCAGCATTAAGATATCTTTGCTCTGTAGGGGAACAGCACACTTCTTGCCGGTAGCCTTCTCAAGATGGCCATGTCTCCACTCGAAAACCTTTATGGGGGCTACCTCGTAGGCAGATTCTCAGCTCCGTGTACGTTCTGTCTTACATGGATCCAGCGACAAGAAAACTGATATTTTCGAGGCACGCGTCTAAACCGTGCATTCGTCTTGTACTTCGTTTGACAGTCTCCTCGGGATCATCTCTGTCCAGGCGTTCCTATACTACCAACGGTTCCCCCATGATCACATTGTCGTTAAAAGCATCGTCGCAGTATTATGGTGGGCTTCGACCTTTAATCATCCTCGTACAAAGCTCTTACGTTGCACAGGGTTCTCCAGATGTTCCACCTGTAAGCCATTCGAAAAAAAGCTTCAGCTTTCACCTGCTTATTTCGCATTGTTTTTCGTCAGTGTTGTTTCCGCGTATAGCGAGTGGAGTGGATTGATTGTGTTGTTCGGGAGGCCCTTGACTTCCACTAAATGGCACGTCCTTCCTTGTCTCCAAAAAACGGAACACCAACCTTTGGGCTAGGATCAACACAGTCTACCAGTTACTTACGGTTAGCTTCTTCTATGCCTCCTGGTTTCTGGGCACGGGCACCTCATTTACCCCCACACGCGTAGGTCATATGCTCGGTCATTGTCCAATTCTTCTTCGCTTATCGGCTGCGTCAAAGTGAGTCACCATTTCTCTAACGCCTATGAATCGCTTGCGGCGTAAGAAGTGACGAGTCCACCCTTTTCGACTGCAGTCGCAAAGTCGTCGTGGTTACCTTCAGTGGTGGTGTGTGCTCTCTTCTGCTTGCAATATCTCATGCATATCGTACTAGTAACCGTGTTTACTAAGATCGTCATGACGATCGCGCAACTCAGTGAGTGTAATATTTTCAAATTGATTGGTTGATAACCATGTTTCACCCAATCAGGCACAGGCCTCGGTAAAGCATTCGCAGATCGTGACGGGAAAATTGCGATATTAATCTTAGACTTCATCCTTCATCCTTCTTACCAGTAATTTGGATTAGAGCGTGGGCTCAACTTCCTCATTGCCTAGTGTTGTTGCCGTCGAAATAACCGTCATCGTCCTCAGGAATATCTCGCATGGGATCGGAAGTATTGTACATTCAACCCGGCCACTCATCATCGCGTGGCTCACGATAGAGGTATGTGTTTACAATGATTTACAGTGGTAAATTTGACGAATGCATATACCAACGCAATAATAGGCAGCCTCGGACCTTCTCATTGCTGCCTCGATGTCACTGTACCTTAGGAGGATGCGGACAGGATTTCCTCGGTGGGTGAAGCTGCCCCCGCGCCTCCCTGTTAGACTCTAATGTTTCAATTCTTTAATTGGTGGATTTACTGCAGTACGGACTCGGTCGTACGATTTTTAACGATATATGCCGTTAACACGGGTTTATTAACTAGGTACGTGCTGGTACGAGATTGCGGTAGTTAGTGAAGCAGCTGAGCCTCCATGCCGTTTTCGCCCCATTTAGCCTGGCAGCTATGGCAATCATGTTTGCTGTCCGTGGGCTGGCATCTCATATGAACGGACCCGAGAGCTGACACGTTGTGTTTGTTTACGCAGTTCGCTTTTTACGGTTTCCATTTTGTTCACGAGTGTTTTATCTTGGTATGCGATTTCCTTTTCGTTCATCTAGTGGTTTTGGCTTCTGGAGTAAACTGAAGCATTTTACTGCTGCATTTCAGCCACTCGGGGGTCTTTACACTGCGTCTCTATTAGCCAAGTAAGCACGCATCCATACCACCGTAGAACATAACCCCGCTGCTATACTTCCCGTCTTCTGGCTTACAATCCCTATTTATAGCCTACATTCACGCTCGACGATACGAGAGCGGCTCCACAGAGGGAATTCTGTGGGCGAGTCAATTCATTTGTCTCGTCTTCCGGACAAGGTGAGCAATGCCATGATTTGTTGCGACGAAACCCCTTCTCCGAGCTGGAATGTGTGCTAAAAAAAATCCTCTCCCTTCCCAAGGTACGGGAGGATATATCGCGAGTCGTACAAGGGACGAGAGGTGGGATTTCAAACCCAGAGTCAAATCAGACAGCATCGACACACCCGCGTGTTTGATTAACACGCACTTGCTATTCTACCTTGAATGAGAATTTTATGACCTAAGATCGATGCAACGTCGATCTGCTACTCAATGCTGTTTACCTCTCCTGCTTACTCTTTGAACATTTGCTCTAAACATTTTTTCTTTCGTCTCCACTGGATTCACTCGCATTTGTTCATACTGTTCTGACGCATCCAAATGTATTGGACACTCCCTGTGTATCATTACATCACGTCGATCTTGCGGCAGCGCATACACACATTAGCTTTCCAGGAGAGCCATCATGCCTGCTCAATTCTACAAGAACCCCTCACGCATTCCCTTCCAATATACCTTTGAAGAATATAGACCATTTTCACCAAGGTTGCCTACGTAAACGGCCGCCCAATGACGACTTCCTGGTCGAATGCATGTCTTGCAACAGCGTCGAAACATGGCGGAGCGAAAGTAGAGGATACGGGCCTCAGGTGCAACGCGTTGCTACCGAAGAACTGTCGTAACAAGTTCAGTTCTCCAGCAAAGTGCACCATAAATAAGGACTGAGGGAAACGCAGAAAACGATAACGAAATGATCCATCCATAACATCGTCAGGGAGGGGCATCAGTTGTCCGGTGTTTCACCGACTTAGCGTGCGTGCACAAGATCATTATGGTATATTTGGTTTGTTGATAAGTCATGCGTTGCTGTTTCACAACAAGAGCGGGGTGCGAAACTGCTCCTGGAATTTTCCATCGGGTAAGCTTGGGGCATAGGCAAGTTTCTTTCTTGACACCTCGTGAGAAATCAGTTGGGTGTCCTTGGCCCTAACCACGTGACTGACACGTCTGTAATCTTGTGGTCCTTACTAATACTCGTCATTTGCGCCGCGAACTTGCTCTGATATGCTCGCCCAGGCTTTAGCGCTCTCTCTGGTCCTTCCAGTTCTTGTGTCTGCTGGTATTTTCCCTCCTGGAGGGCCAGTAAAGATGCTTCAGGACACTGTATTTCGTAAGACACTGAAAGATGAAGTTCGTGTCAACGTCACCTACAGACCGCGTGAACGCGATTTTCCTGACTGTAGTCTCTCCAAATTAGAAGACTTCTGTGGTAGCGTTTGTCGCTCCATGGTGTGGAGTAAGCTTTAGATTTTCCCCATCCAATGCGCCATCGGATGGTTGACGCGATGTGGAATTCCGATCTGTTCTCTCAGCATTGTAAAAATTTGAGTCCAGAATACTCCAAAGCAGCCCAGTCACTCTCTCCGTTAATCGACTTTTATGCCGTCGACTGCGACGCGGACGAGAATAAACGTTTATGCGCTGAACAAGGTGTCAAGGGTTTCCCAACGGTCAAGGTACGAATTGATTCATCTATGATCGGGGGTTCTGTTTTAATGTATAATTTCAGTCTTTTCCAAGGGGGTTGAAGGGCGCGTCTCACGATTATCATGGCGAGCGAACGGCAGCGAGCATCGCCAGCTGGGCTGGTAGTGAAGTGCCTGCACGCGTTACGACGCTGAAATCCATTGACGCGGTTAACAAGTGGTCCGATAAGGTAATGCCTTCTGCTCCCCATCCTTTTTTTTTCATCCTTTTTTTGGTTAATCCTCTTTTACATACTCAGGACATTACTGAACCCCGTGCGCTCCTCCTGACAACCCAATCCAAGATTCCAGTCCTATGGAAGGTCCTCGGTTCACGTTTCTACAAGGACATCTCATTTGGTGCCACCAAAGACGAGTCTGGGTCCATAACGAAATCCCTAGGACTAGGCGAGTGGGAGTTAGACATCAAATCGAAGGTTGCAATCTGGAAGAAAGGTGCAAAGAAACCCACGCTTTATGATGGTAAGTCCTTGTTATGAGCAACTCTTCACCCTTAAATGTGAACTGACACCCGTTTGCCTTTCTCCATCCTGCACGTTCGGTAGGGAAATTGAAATTCGAGCCCCTCTCCCAGTTCTTCAAGGGACTACAAGGTCCGGAAGACACTAAGGATGAATTATAGTCTCAATTCCTTGATGGATCATACCCTATTACCACATGCATGTATCAGTTACATTTATCATCAAATCTCAAATGGCAACGTCCACATTGCATCGAGGGACGAGAATGCCCAAAACAACCTTGATGGGAAGAATCTGCACTATTATGACAAAACCGAACAGAGTTGCAAAGGCAACACTTGGATTGAACGGAGCCAGCATCGCCTGAATGGCCCCACTAGAGCACCATTGTTCCAGGACCGCCTGACGAAGTGCAACAATGGTACATGAAGTTATAGAGTAACGTAAAACGGAGAATGAGAACAGGTACTAGGAGATGGAGAGAAATCAAATACGGCCGCAAACAATTACAAAAGGCGTGCGGGCATAGGAAACATTACTGTGGGTAAATCAGAATGAAGGAGAGACGGACATTACACAAACCGCAAGTTAGAAGGAAAATTTAAGGGTGGGTAACTGAATGATACCCCCCACTTCGGCATTGCAGCACCCCAGATAGAAAGGAACATCGAGTCGCACGTAAGAGCGTTCAACGAATAAATAGCACAGTCATAAAGGAACGGAAATGTTGTGTTACAGACAGATCGGACCTGACGTAAATGTGAAGAGAGAACCGAGCAGAGCAAGTCCCGCGGCTCATAACGGCGATTGGAAAACAGAGGAGACAGCGCAGCAAATTCATCACAATACCCATCATGACCGTGGTGTGAAACGGGGTGTTCTAAGCAGCATGCATGTTGCCGCCATTGTGGCCCTGCCCTGGAGTGAAGTACTGTTGAGGATTCGGATCAACCGGCGTGCCGGTTCGTGTGGGCTGGGCGTACTGCGCCATGAAAAACCTGTCCTGTGTATTTCCATTTTGGCCGCCAGAGTTGGACCTCTTGGGTGCATAAGTAGATTCAACAGGATCAGAGAACGGACTACCAGTGTTCGCTGCGTGGACAGGAGGAGGGCTCGAAAGAGCATGACTTAAGTCCGCATACTGATGCTGCATCTGGGGAGGGTTCGTGGTTAACTCCCGTGATACGATGGGGGGACCATTGGCATCATAGGCATATGGATGCTGGAATTGAACATGCGCCACCTCGGGTTGCACCGCCGTGTTATAATAATCAGGATAAGCTTCTCCATGGGTGGAACCATACTGATCTTGCTCAGTGGTCTGAGGATTATCGGTATAAGGCCTGTTCTCATTTTGCTCCGTCACTTGGATGGCGGGTGGGGGGGTGGAAATCCCATTATGGCCCATGTTAGCCCGGGCAAGCGCCAACGCATTACGAGTGCCCATAACAAGAGCGGGCTCATCCGGAATGTGAACAGATTGACGGGCAAGACGGTCCCTATGGCGCATTTGACGACGGTGCGCGCGTCTAATTCTACGACGCTACATAAGATAAGCACAAGTGTGTTGGCAGCGGTTACGACAATAGAAAGCGCGAGAAACTCACGATGCAGGCATTGAGAAAGAAGGCGGCTGCAATTCCAATAAGAACAGCCATTATGATACCGAAGATGGCACCGGCGGATAAACTTTGCTTCTTAGAGCTAAGACCTGAGGCCTTGGTGGGAGTTGCACCGCCTTCGTATGTAATCGTAGATATTTCGGACACAGAAAAGCTGGAGGGTCCCAGAGAAAATGTGGTCAATGACCCGACGTAGTTCGTCATTGTCGTTGGCCGGGAGTTGCTAGTGGCCAGGCTCGTTGACGACGAAGTGTTCGCAGACGAATCAGAGTTCGTTGACGACGAAGTCGGGGTAGCACTAGAGCCGGATGGCGACGAGGATTGAGACTGCGAATCCCGACTCGTGAAAGAAGACGGAGTCGAAGTACCAGAACTAGCGGTAGTCGCAGTGGAGGTGGGAGGAGATTTGGTCGTTGTCTCCTTTGCTGATGTGGTGGGAGAGGAAGTCGTCCTAGGTGGAGTAGATGTAGGCCTCGTCGTAGAGGGGTTAGCAGGGCCTAGAGGAAGGTGCGTGTGCATGAATACGAGAGGACACTGAGGTGGTATCGGTTCAGACACTCACTGGGACTTGAGCTGGGAGGTGGGGACGAAACAGAGGAATCTGTCGCATTGGTACCGCGACGAAGGCGCTGCATACGTTGCCTGTGACCCTGCTGAGACATCTTGGATGCTGCGATGAAAGAGCGTAGGTTGACGTTTGCGTCAAAGAAAACGAGTGGGGATGTTTTTGAGGAGCAACAGGAAGAAAGAAGCACAAGGGCAATTCCCGCGAACGCGTGATCCAAGCGGGTGTCCACATAAAGTACTTTGATTAACTGTCCGCTAATATTCGTTAATATCAGGGTGGCTTCGCTTTTCCGACAGCACTACGCCGAACCCTCAAAATGCACGAAACGGGCGAAAATCTAATGTTTTCAGGGCTCGTAGGCTGGTTCTCAAGCGCCTCAGTGGGCTATCAGAAGATATGGACGCTGAACGGCGGTGCGGTGTGGCAACACCGAGCATCTCAACAACTGAGGGTTACTCACTTCTTTTGCGATGGCCCCGGGGATTCGGCCGCGTACAGGTATATCCTGTGCGGGATGTCACGGAACCGCTTATTGTTCTCTGTTGCCAGGATTTTCCGTGAACGGCCTCTTATAGTCGTAAGTTATTACGAACTAATATACGGGCGCATGGATGGCGTGTACGCCCTTTAGATTTTTGATGCCCGATGGGTGAAGTCATCTGTTCAGTTTGGGCGCCATCGTCCCTTGCACAAATTCGTCCTCGACAGTGACAGATGTCACTTTCCATCTGCAAGACCCATCTGCTGTTCTGCGAGGTCCATATTTCATCGTCTCTATCACTTTATTTGCGGGCTTCCTCCGATATCCATGCCGCCCCTGATGCAACAACCTGCGCCTTTAACCATCGGTTCTCCAGCTCTTTCAGACATGGAAGTGAAGTGTGACGATGCAGAAGGAATCACTCTAGTTGCCTTAACTCCTGATAGGAAAGACGGGATATGCACAGGTGCTTCAGCTGCGTCCGGTTTAATGGAAGACAACGACGATCTTGCGATGGCATCTAATGATGCGGAAGAGACCCAGGCCGATGAATATCTTGAAGGCGACGGGCTTGAAAGGTCTTCCTTTGATGAGATAAAACAAGATGATGCCCCTGATCCATTCCATCGGCGCTATTCGCAGTCAGTAGCCTCTTAACGCACCCCAGTTCAACTGACATGCGCCCCAGCAGACTCCCCTTCTTTGAGTGGTCTTCGTTTGCCTTATCACCCCCTCCTGAAAGCGATATTGCCGATCAAAAATTTTACACGGCTGGGAAAATCTTGGAATGGATTCCGAAAGACGTAATGGGAGAGGTTCTCTGTCCAGATGATGACCTCGCCTACGAGGGTGTGTGGCCGTACTCGGGTAAAACGCCGCAACTACGTAGTTTCAGTCGAAAGAGGCCGTGGATGGAGCGTGATGGGCGTTGTGGTGGGCTCGAAGAAAGTCTACCAACACCGACGTCGAATGAGAAACTATACAGGAGAAGACAGAGGCTATTCCCCGATCGAGCTGGCTCGCCTGGACTCTGCCGTCGTGCCCGCCTGAATGGGAAAAGATCTCAGGCTTAACATTTTCACCAAGCTCTGACTGTTGATCCGTTTGCTCAAGTCTTGGGTCAAGCAAATTGAAACGGAATGATATGGGATGCTTTTGCCTGTGTGCCTTCCACCTTTGTGTCTTGTAGAAGCAATTGTGCGTTTTGTGCGAGAACTTTAGATTCATTCTGTATTCTATGCAAGTTCGTACGCCTCGAATAATAGTTGTGATTATTTAGCCATTCCCAGGAATCGCACAGACAATGGAAGACAACTCCTTGCCCACGGGTCAGTTGTGGCACGTGCCCTTCGGATGCAGATCCATTGATATCCAGGTTGCTTCTACCTCTCTCCTCTGACCCAAATAGTTCCAGGGAACTTGCAGCGTCTGTGCGCCAATGGCAACACCCGCGGAGGTAAAGAAGACAACTCACTCTCCAAGTATGCGCACTCATTTCGTTTTGCAGGAGTTTGAATCATTACTCAAAGAGGTCGTGTTGAGCAAAAGGCTCTCGGCATCCAAGATGGCGAAATTGTCTGAATTCTCTGCGAGCCATATGGATGTACGTTCATGGCGACGGTTCTTTCATGAAAAATCTTAGTGCTCATCGCCCGTCCCAAACTGGTCAGATCGATGCCCAGATGGTTTCTGCAATGTATCGAACGCATAAAACTCTTCAGTCGTGGCAAAAACTCTCTAGTCTCTATGTCTTTGATGCTCTAGCTCGTACAGCCAAGACGCTGGTTACTAAAGGGAAACTTTCTCCCCCGTCTCAGCAGGGGAAACCCAATGCCGCTTCATTCCTACTGAAATTAGAAGGCGTCTTAGAAGGGCTTTTTAGAGACCTGATCAGTATCACTGATTTCCCTGAAATGAAGGTGGGTACTCGTATCAAAGCACCGCGTCGTCGACATGCTGGGTTCCTGTGTCAGCGAGGCGCGGGGCTGCGGTCTTTGTTTTGTCTTCGTCCCCCACGCGCTCGTTTGAATCTCATTGTTGTTTTCAAATTCTTAACCTACAGGATAAGATGAAGAAAGTCCTAGACATATGGATCAAAGCGGGGACGTTTCCAACAAGAACACTGGATCTACTATCGCAGATTACACTGGGGACTCCTATGGATCAAGGTGCTTATCTTTTGCCTTTTGTTTTCCCAAGTACATTCCCTATCAATGCAATATGCATTCCTCGAGACTCCTAGTAACCATTCACAAGATGTGCAAGAGACTGAGAGTGTTTTTGTTGCGGTAGTTCCAGATCGTACCTCTGCAGTCTCAGATCCGAGACGTTCTGCAATGCCGCCCGCTATGAATGAAGCAGTGAAATCAGTAACGCCACCGGCAGCGCCAACACCGGCATCGAACCAGTCTGGTGTTTTACCACCAGCGTTACTGGCACTGTTAGGAGCGGCGGCTCAAGGGACGCCAAATCCTGCTCCGTATGTAATCCTGATCTTCAAGGACGTAATCTCGTAACGCTCATTCGATTTTTTGATATTCCGCTCAGATCACCAACTTCGGCAACATCCGATTCCTCTTTCGCGACCCAACTTGCTCTACTTCAGCAATTGGCAACTGGTGGCAGCATCAATCCTGGTATAGGTCAACCTTCGACGAATGCGTCGAGCTCTCTCGCTCGCGCATCGTCTTTATCGTCTACGTCTCTTGCACATCACACGGCTGTTGAGGGTGTAAATAATTTCCCCACCAACGGGCAACAGAATGATTTTCCCAAAAAACAATCGCGGTTCTCGTCCCAGACCGATAGTCACTTGAATCGAGATGATCCTCCCTTAACCAGCCGTGATGATTATTACGGATCAGAACAACGAGGCGAATATGGTAATAGACCCCATCGCGACCCACGTAGAGGGCGAGGTGGTGGCGTCGCCTCTGGTTACGGTCAAGGGAGAAATGAGCGTTCGCCACGTTCAAGTAGCCGTTCTCGCAGTCCCAGACCGAATAGGCGTGAGGATACGAGAGGAGGCCGTCTACGTGGGCCGGGGGCATACAGTCCACCTCGCAGGAATATAAATGAGGATGGATACCGCAGCCGTAGTTCTAATTCGTATGGAGGGTCGGGTCAAACAAGCAGTCATATGGATGACTATTCTCAGCGGGCTGAAGGGGATGGAGATCGCGGGTATCGATCGCAGCCGGGTTCCGGTCGCCGGGGCCGCCGGGGAGGAGGCCCACAACAACAACAAAGTCGGCCCATTCCAACTTTCGAATCAAATGCGGAGTCACCCGCACCTGCTCCCATACCAACATCATTCGACGCCTCCCTTCCTTCCCCGAACTCATTCCCAAGTTCGGATGCTCAACAGTTAAATCCGCGAGTGTTGAGTGTGCCAAACTTGAACGAGTTTGATTTCAGCACTTGTGACTTCTCTAGGCCTGATTCGTGGGAATCTTTAGCTGCATCGTTCGAAAAGACTCATGGATATATTCCAGGTCAAGAGGAGTTGATGCAACTGGTAATGATGGTGGCGGTGAACTCAATGCCGGTAGATCCGGCGTCCAATGGGACGTTCGACACCGCTAGTGCGGAGAATCCTCAGTCCGGGGATAGTAACCAACCTGCATCTCAAGAGCCGGTATTGGATGTTGATGGGGCGAGGCTGGACACTCACAGAGCCACACAGGAGCCTGATCCGGTCAAGGCGGAAGCTGAATATTTAGGTTCGAGATTGGATACCCACAAACCTCTGGATGACCAGGTTGCGACTGAGGAGATGGTTGATCGGACGGAAGCTGCTTCTGAGGCGGGTTACTCTAGATCATCCTCGATGCAGATGAGTGAATCGCCAGATCCCAATGACTGATTTTGGGCACGGGAATGGAGGTTGGAAGCTTGGTTATGTAGCAGATGGACTGCAAGAATCCTTTTTCTGTGTGTATATTGTTGGGCATCATGTTGACTTGATCTGCGCACACCTATGTAATACCCTTTGCAATGTTGGACTTGAATCACGAGTTCTCACGAGGTTACTGTGTCCAAAGTCCCTCAAAAGTCCCTCGTTGAATGGGTATACCAATGATTTGGACAGTGCGTTTCCTTCAAGAAGTTTGATCAGATGGATAGATGTCGTTCGAGCCAGTGGGTTAGCCGCCTTGGTTGGGATCGTGATAGGAAACATGATCTCTCATGGTAGCCGTGTCATCCCGCACGGAAGGCGTAGAGGTAGCGGGCTGGATCGATGACTGTTTGTTCTATGTTCGTTCGCAACTTGGATGATGTTCTTCCCAAAAATTGTCACCTGGTAACGATCTCGGACACAAGAAAGCAGATAAATAATAAAACAGGCAGCTGCCTGAAATGGCTGGAGGTGGATCAATGCTGTGCAACTCCAGGGTCGTTTTAAAACTGTTTATGTAGGAAGGTTGTAACATTCTGACAAAGGCATTCTGTTTACAGTTGTAGATGCCGAAGTAGGCAATTTTGGCAACAACATTTCGTTGGAGCACCGCTTGAGGGAGCTCCGCCCGGACTGCTACTAATATATTCCGCCATGGCGGAGGCTCTTGTTGACCAAGAAGGCCCCCTGCGCGACTACTTTCAAGGTGTGTTAGTATTATACCCTTCTCAACTTCCATTTCGTGACGCGTACTCTAGCAGTTGGCGACTCCCTAGGGAGAACAATACCAGGAGGGCTTGACGTCGTCCCGGAACCTAATGAGACTGAGGCCCTCGACCAGACGACACTATTGCACCTTGTAGTCATATTCCTAATGGTAGGAATCCCCTGTGATGTCCTTGTGGCCCCTCGACTGATGCGTTACGATCAGGCCGGACGTTCTTTGATAATGTCTTCCAGCGCCTCTAACAAGGAATTCGCAGAACGCTTCAAATATATAATTATCTCATCATCCATCCTGTCCGATACAGTTGCGTCTGCGGAACATCCAACGGAAGGAGATTTAGATGTCAAACCCAAAGAAAGTGAACTAAAGGAGACCCGTCAGCATGAGAATGAACCACCAAACTCCAGCTCGTGGGCTGCGCCGGCTTTACTTGCGGCTGCATTTGCTCTCCAAAGTCCCATTGCCGTTCTCGCAGCTGCTTCGTGGATATTGCAAACATTTTACCAACCTAGCGTCGATATGGGCCATGAGGTTCCATCTGTTTTCGACAAGGTGAGTACATTTTATATTGTTTCAAGTGCCTCAGGCCACTGAGTCTAGATCCGTACTGCTAGGTTTTAAGCGCCGTCACTGCGCTGGTCAATACAAGTGAGAAATTCGATGCGATTGCTGCTCAAGCATTACGGTCGATAGAAGAGGATGAGCTCAGGTATATTTCCTGGGCTATGGTCTAGGGAAGCATCATTATTAACAAATCTGCCTCCAGGTTGGTTCACCATCCGGCCGTAGACAAACTTCGAGAATCCTTGCTTGCAACTTGTGACACAACGAAATCCCAAATTGACAACATACGGCGTCTTTTCGGGCCTCTGACATCTGAACTCGAACTGAAGATGCTTTCGGAGATGTACTCGCCCATTCCCAGCACCCCGATTCCGTATCATCGTCGGCATGCGTCTTCTGTGCACCAGGGTCGGATTGAATCTTCCTCCAAACGTGCATCATGGGGCGGATCGAAACGTACCCTCCAAACTCCGTTACGGAGGCAATTTGCTTCTGAAGGGGATGCATCCTTTGATTCGGAAGAGTCTCCACTCAGCGCCTCTTCTGTAACAAGGGATGCAGAGGAAAACTATGATGGTGAATCATTCGGGACGTCTGCTCTGAGCATTCAACGGCAGCGAAAGGGAAATCCTGCGATGGGGAGGGTATTGCAACCTTCCATCACCCCTCGCAGTGTCGGTATTCCAGCTCTGCCGTTCGATGGCATGTCGCCATCGCATCGCATCTCGCCCTTCACCGCCCCTTCTTCCTCGATGCGCCGATCAGGTTCGAGCAGAGATCAGTCTGAACGAAGGCATGGCTCGGTGGACTCCTTAAGAATCAATGTTCAAAGCTGTCTTGCTAGTCGAAGATATGCAGCCTCGCACTTGCTAGCCTTGCGGTTCAACGAACTTCCGGATGATACCTACTGGGAGGACACTGTTGAGGTCATCACTCTACTCACTAGCGCTTTGGGGGAGGCTTCAAGCCTCATATCCTCGTCAATAGAGGAGACAAACATAATGATCCTTGCGGACCAGGTTCCCACTCCGGCTATTAGACCGACAATTCCTGGCGGCATAAGACGAATCAGTGACATCTTTCCCTTGCCGTCGAATCAGCTCGAGTCATTTGCACCCATGCCCGACAATCTCGCTATGTTTGCTGCCCATATGGATGCCATGTCGGCTGCCATCGACAAGGCCAAAAACCACCTGCGTGCATGCGTAGGCACCCTTCAAAGTCCCCCTACGTCTCCTGATGGCGTTGAACTCGGTCAGGGTGAAATTGAGCGGCTCCGGCGGAAGGTTGTTACGGAGTACTCGGAGATTCGTCGGCACCTAGGCCATGCAATTAAGGAATGTGAACGGGGACGCACTCCGTTGGTGTCGGCATTAAGTGCAGGCGATGATGAGGACGACTTGACGTCAGACCTTTCGCGGCTTCCCGATCCTCTTCCACCTTCCCAAGAAGACTCACCTTACAATCCTCGTAGTTCGCACGAAGAAGGGGGAACACATTCATCTCCTCGATCCTCGATCGTTTTCACCCTGACTCTGCGGCAGCAGAGTCCAGCGCTCGTATCGTAGACGTCTTCGATGAAGATAAGTCGCATTTCTACATGCCGGGTGATCCTTTCCACCTTCCGCCAAACCAGCCTGAGCAAGTGTATGAAGGTGAGAGCGAGGTACCTTTGTTTGCCCGTGAACGAAGCAAGCTTTCGAGGGAGGAACGAGTCGCATTGGCAAAAAAGTATCGTGCTTCGGGGCGGAGAGGTGTTCCGCTTTCCCTCGTTACGAAGGATGATTCTGAGTTCGATTCTGGCGGAGAGAAAAGTTGGGGGCCTGGGGGTGACGTTGTACGAGAATTGAAAGATGTCATTTACTTGGTGGGCGAGAAACGGAGAGGGAAATCTCTCACCCTACCCCTCAGCCTGAGGTCTCTGATCTTGGCCGTTTGGATTCACCTACAAGTCGATCCCCAATACCTTCACGCGCACCACCTTCACTACTCCCTGCTCTCTTGTCGCCCACACCAACCGGTGCCACCTCGCCATTATCCACTTCCAGTGACGGATCCAGGTCACCTTCACCTATTCCTTCGCCTGTTTCTCAGGTACCGTCAGGTATATCTTTTAAACCTCTTCCGCCGATTCCCAAAAGGCCCTCAAGGCCAACACGCCCTGTACCCTCTTTGCCGCAGATATCCAGTGTTGTTCCACTGGAGGCTGAAATTCACAGTCCTCGGAGCTCATGATATAGTCTTAATGATGGCAGAATATTTACCTTTACGTCACTTAACGACTCTCTTCTTCGTGCATTCATTACTTTTAAGGATTCTTTGTTCACCCCTCGTCGTCTTGCAAGTCTGTCTAATCTTCATTATCTACAAATAACGAGTATCCTAGGTTTATGGATAATGTACAAATGACCCCAAAAAAGTATTGTCCGTTTGTGAATCCTAAGGGCCTATGGTACTGATTATCATCCCATCGACATCTGGTCCTTCATCGTCTACGCTGATAGCGTCCACGTCCACGTCCACGTCATCCAATCTCCGTAATTCGTGATCATCCAAATCGTCATCCCGTACACTTTTGAGCCCTTCACGCATTTCTCTCTGGACACAAAGGTATTCCGCGAAAATGATTACGAAAAGAGCTCCGATACCCATGATGAACCAGAAGAAGAGAGAGGTGGGGAAGGATGAGGAGTAGTAGGATGTAAGGATGAAATGGTTGAGGACGAGGGTGAGGGCAAAGTCGAGGATGTATCTTGGTCGGCGAACGATGTGGTAGAGGTACCATGTACTGTATAGGGATCAAGATCAAGGATGGAGTGAGGACAGAATGCGTAAATGTCATATCCTAGGGGGGTGGTATGGTTACTCACTCGGCAGCGCAGGCGAGTAGCCATGCAAATGCGATGATCCAACCTCGTGTCGGATCACTAGAGCCAGGAATCAAGATGGAGTTGGATGAAGGAGCAAGCGTCCCATCATCTGTCGAAGGACGCAGGAGTAACAATGGGTCTGACGATAAAGATGTCGAAGCAGATGAGACGGATTTTAAAAAACTGTTTTTCCAGCCTCCCAGTCCAGATTCACCGGCGGCAGCTTCAGATTGAGAGACGCGAACAACTCCCTTCCATGCACTCTCGAAAGGATCCCAACCTCCACCACTTACGCCCCTACCGACGGTGGGCCGACTGGCCATTTCTCTCCAATCCATGATCATTCCGACGGTCGTTGCGCCGCCATTGTAGTACCGAAGGGATAACGAAGTGGTGAAGAGGTAGAGTAATGGCGGGAGAATGACACAGAGGGTTAGGTAATGTAGTGATTGCAGTGATATTATCTTGGGTAAAGTTCATGTTGAGCCTTATGAACGACTTCAACGCAGTATAAGCGCCTCACCTGGGCGATGAGCAATACTGGATCCCACATCCAAAAGTTATCAATGTTGGATAGCACAGCCACAATGTGGTCAGGAACGTGACGGCCGCACCAACGGTTCGACGCAAACGAGCGTTTTTTTCCATCCCCGACCCTTAGCCATTGCGTAACTCCGACATGTCTTCACAACAAGAAGAACCCATTCAGCCAAGTGGTGCTGCACCGGCTGAAGTCTTACCGCCGACGACACGTCGTGAGGATGAGGCTGCCCGGAAAGATCGCACCTTGGCGGAGTTTATGCTTATGTTGGATGAGTATGAGCCCCTGGTAAGTTTTGATCTGTGGTCGTGATCCCTCTCCGAGTGATGGGTAAGCTGAAGTTCTGATAACTGAATACATCGATTTGGCAGATCCCGAACGAGGTCACGGATTACTACCTTCAACGGGTCGGATTCGAGACTGAGGACGTTCGATTGTACGCTAGTTCTTTCGTTTCCCCTTTTACAGCGTTTACAAGATAAAATTTCCATATAATCGGCAGAAAACGGCTACTCTCACTTGCTGCTCAAAAATTTATATCCGACATTGCCTCCGATGCATTCCAGCACGCTCGTGTGCGAACGAATGCGACGCCATCAGGTAGACAGAAAGCTCCAGAGAAGTCACAGAGTGGTGCATCTGGTGCAGGTGGAGCTTCGGGTTCGTCGAGTTTAGCAAAGGTCCGTTACACCACATCGTGTTTGATTTTTCCAAACAATAATGCGTATATAGTATGGGTGTTCTTCTTGTAAATGTAGGACAAGTCCAGAACGGTACTTACTATGGACGATCTGGGCTCCGCTTTGGCAGAGTATGGGATCAATGCCCGCAAGCCGGAGTTCTTCCTATAACTCGATGGTCCCTTTAACTTATTCTCATCGCAACTATGCATGCATCGTTATTCGTACATCGTATGTATCCCTTCGCCTGGCCTTATATGCTTATGTGGGAAATATGTATTGCTTGCCGCACATCATCGCTATATATCATTTGGTATTACTGGACGAAGACGGCCCCGCACGTACCCAAATGAAGGATACATGCCCTCGATCCGAAGTCCTCTGAATACAATTTCTAGTGTCAAAACACGAACCAACAAACTGTCACCCACAGACTCAAATGTGCGCCACCGTCCGAGTATTGGCCAAGGATCCTTGAGTTCCCAAGGAGATAGAAACAGGCCACCGTTCGACGTCGAAACACTCAGGGTGACTGATACCTCCTATCGATCGATCGGTGTTAGGTACATTTACTCATTAGTCATCTCTATGTTGCTTTGTGTAGTAAGAGGCTCTCCCCTTTGGGGAGTGGGGAAGGAACCTAACCCTGCAACTACGTTTTCGAGCATCGAGTGTGTTACTTTCTTGGCGATGACTGTAACCCGTTGTACGCTCCATACGCCCCAACGGCCCGAACCGGCCCTCGTTTTCATGGCCACCCGCACATGTTATCGCAATGGTCAAGCACTTATCATGTAAAATCGTCAACCTGCTGAGATGTATTCGACATTTGTTCAAAGTGAATGACGCCGGTGCTTAATTTCCGAGAAGCGTCGTAGGCCAAATGTAATTTGAAATCCAAAGTCGCGTATCTTATAAAGCGCTTGAACATGGGGTCGATATGCCTATGCCCTGCCTGGCCAGTCCACAGTTATAAAGCATATGCTAAACCTGCATTTGGTGTGCTCGTACCTGCACTCGACCGGATCCGACAATGGCAACCGCTCTTATCAGCGTCCTTCTCGCCCACAATGTTTATTCAGCACCCATCCCCCCTCCCAATGTGACTTATTTCCTGAAAAATGTATCTGATGATTGCAGCGATCTCCGGAATTGCCGAACGATGTGGGGCATCGTGCATAGCTGTCTCCTTACCATATTTGCTTGCATTTGCACCCAAATATACCACCAGAGTCCTACGATGGTATCAGGTCGATTATACTGCGCGTTGGCCTGATGATGGCTTCACTGGTTTCACCGGAGGCCATTCTGACGTTTGCATGGTACCAATTCTTGTTGTCTCGGAGAATATCCGAAGAATGCCAGATGGTCAAAGGTGTGTCCTGAACTTGAGAGGAAGTTAGGAAGGGACGAGGCACTGACTTGGACCTGTCACAAAGGATGGACCTTGACGCATCATTGTCGTCATGGTGGCTTCTTCGACCCATCAAAAGGAAAGGAAGTAGACCCGAACGACTTGCAGCGATACAACGACATAATAGAGAACACCGGGATACTAGAAAGGCCGCAATACCAAAGAAAAAAATCCTTGATAGAAGCAAAGGCGATGGGTTTTCGAAATTTCTCGTTGTCCTTCAACTACTATGGTTTATCGCTCAATATGTCGGACGATGGAAAAGCCATTTGCACAGATCGCAACTCGAGACAATGACACTGGCGTATGCGGCATTAAGCCTCCTTGTTTACGTGTTGTGGTGGCATAAACCCGTTAACATTCGACTCCCAATCCATGTGACACAACAGTCCCGTTCCGTTCCTCTGACTTCCGAGGCAAACGTCGATCGACCAACACTAAAGAGACTCATGCAAATCCGATGTTCCTCATGCGGGTGGATGAGCCTGAGGGGTTGGAACTCATTTCCATTTTGGCAGCCACTGGGATGATCTTTGGGGGAATCCATTGCCTTGCATGGTCGTTTCCCTTTCCGACATACAGGGAGATGATTCTGTGGCGGGTTTCAGCAATATATATCACGGTGGCTCCTGTCTTTCCAATTTTCACCGAATGGTTTGAGGAACGTATCAATGACAAAATTGGTGGCGTTACAACAGCGCTTGTTGCACTTGTTTACGCTGCTGCGCGGATCATACTCCTTGTCCTCACATTCAGCTCTTTAGCTTCACCTCCGCCTGATCTATACCAGACTCCGTCTTGGTCATCATTCCTCCCGCATTTTGGATAGCTGTGTATTTAAAATCCAGGTTGTTGCGTAGATGAGTCTCTTGCTTGACGTGCCTGCTGTGGGAGACACAAATATGTGCGAGAGTGTGTCAATCGACAATCGGATGGAGGAGTACACGGGTCGCTCAGTTAATTTGGTTTAAATTGCTGCCATTTCGAGTTATCACCTGCAGCCCCAAATCGCCGCTTTTTCGCTTTTTCGAACCACCCATGCCATATGTAGAAGCAGAAACAATTCTGCCAGAGAAAAACTCGAGCAGCAGCGGCCTGTTCAATTCAATTTACGAATCCCATCGGGCACTGGAAGGCAGATTGAAACGAGGGAGTAAAATCAGATAGTAGGAAACCGTCACAGAGTACTTGTAGGATGTGCAAAATCCAGGATAACTACCGGCATTGGCTACAATGAATAAGTAACAAAACGATATGAACCTCACCTCAGCGATGAAGGGGCCAGGTGCATCGATCATGGACTGAGTTCGGACTGCGCCGGAGACTCGATTTTTGAGAATGCGTTTGCGACGCCGCTCGCAGAGTGATCAAGGCGATGATGTGTGTGTCGCATGATGGACAAATGCACTTCCGTAAGTTATCGGAAAAGAATTCACGGTGGTCGACGGGGGGGTGCAGGCGTTGAAAGCTTTTGTCCGTCCAGATCCTTGATCATGGGTGAAGGCGCAATTGCTAGCTGTGCTCGCTTCACTTTGTGCTTCCAGAGGGATGGAAGGCTTAAAAATCACCCAGGGTGAGTAAGAATGATTGGCTAAGCGAAAGTGACGATGGTGACGATGGCCGCACCACTAGTTCGTCTTTCTCCTTCCATTTGTCCTCCGACGCACCCGATGGAGTCTCCGGAGTTCGTGTGTGAAGAAGCAGTGTCATTATCTTCTGTCCAACTTGAATAGCAAGTTGGCGAAGAGAACCCGCCTCTGCCAATTGTCTGCCTACTTATGTGGGAATATGTATTGCTCGCCGTGCATGCATCATCGCTATATATCATTCAGCATTTGGTATTAAGCAGGCTCGTTTCTGACCATCGCACTTTGCTTCCTGTCCCGCATTCGCCCCGCCGTCTGATCGAGTTGAAAGTGGCCCGGTTTTCTTTTTTAGCGGCCTCACCCAAACAAGGGATACATACCTCTGAACACAGTTTCTGGTATCAAAACACGAACCAACAGATGGTCACCCACAGACTCAAGCCTGCACCACCATCCGAGTATTCGCCAAGGATCCTTGAGTCCCTAAGGAGACAGCCTGAGGTTATAAGCAGGTCGCCGGTAGTACTGCTTTGGGCGTCGAAACCGCCAGCAGGGTGACTGTCAACTGATACTTCCTAACGATCGATCGGTATCTCAGGTTCATTCACCCTTCATGTAGTGTCAAAGAAAGAGGTACGTCCGTGATAATGACTGAACTAACAGTACTGCTCGGGGCGCTAGATAGTACCCTAACGGCCCGAACCGGCCTCGTTATCATGACCGCGCGCCATTAGAAAGGAACAGCTGGTAAATGAAGCGCGGTGCTTACATAATTTCTGAGAAGCGGCATTGAATGCAATTTGAAACCCCTGGAATTGCCTCATGGTTGATAAAGCGCTGAACATCGGCAGTACCCCATTCCACATTATGTATAAAGCTTATACTCGATCTGTGCTTGTACCTCCATCTAATGGCAACCGCTCTGATCAACGTCCTGTTGGAATATCAACGCTCATCGACAACAGCCGAGCTGCAGCGTGGATTGGGGAGTCTTTATTTTAACTTAATATCGTCGTGACTAACAACGACTATACCTTTTTGTTTCAGAGTCGCGGTACCACGCGCTCCCAATTTACTTTGTCTTATATCGCTAGTTGTCACAGACAATCGCTTTAAGCGATATTGGCTCCAGTCGTATAAGTTACGCTGGACGCCGTAATTTTTCTCCCTCCCTCAGTTCTCTATTTCGAGACTGAGGTGATACCATTTCTTTCCTATCTGTGTTTGCGCATAACTCATTGTATTTTCATGTTATAGTTACGTGCGATAGGTAAACATCTTAATACTAGTTCTCTATTTCGAGACTGAGTTACACGCGATAGCTCCTATTTCATTAGGTTGTGATCCCAGCCATGGCCACCTCAAACGATAGTTCTAAGAATATTTACAACATCGAGAAATTAAAGAACGATGGTCGTAACTATCGAATGTGGTCTATTCGCTGCCGCATGATTCTCGTCGACAGAGCACTCTGGGAATTTGTCGATCCCAGTTCCAAAACCTCCGACAAACCTTCCTCACCTTCCTCTTCCTCACCTTCCTCTTCCTCATCTTCCTCCTCATCGTCCTCTAGCTCTTCTGGCAAAGCGGCTGCTACTTCCCCTGATCCTGCTGTTGTCGAATGGGATAAGAAAAACAGCAACGCCCTTACCCAGATTGCACTCACCATTGAAGACACCCCTCTATCTATGATTGAAGGGAAAGACTCCGCTAAAGAAGCCTGGGTTGCCCTGTCGAAACGTTACAATGGAGTTGGTGCACAAGATGCAGCTAGAGTGATGACTCAACTTCATCATTACCAACTAGACGATTCCAAACCTCTTGAGCCTCAGCTGATCGAGATGCGGGGACTTCGCGACCGACTGACTAGTCTTGGCGATACTTATACTGACGCCAAGTTTGCTATGATAGTGTCCGAAGCACTACCAGAGTCGTATGATACCCTTAAAACGATAACGTTGGCGGATCTCGACGACGCATCCACGATTGCCTGTGACAAACTCATCGCTCAGATTCTCCGAGAAGAGAAACGGAAATCCAAACCTAGGTCGTCTACCGCTCTAATTGCCAAATCTGGAAAGGTTGCTAGCAAAGAGTCAGATAAGTCGGACGGGAAGAAATCTAAAAAGACTAAAGATCGCCCACGTTGTACAAACACTAACTGTAAATGGAGGTTGGGACACACCTTCGAACAGTGTTGGGCGGAAGGTGGTGGATCTGAAGGCCAACGGCCGGCAAAGTCGAGTGATAAACAAGCCGTGAAGGATAAGAAGAAGGACGCCAAGATCGACCTTTTTCTGGTAGAAGAACAGGTGGCGGTTGCAGGGAGCGATCGTGCACGGATGACTGAATGGGTTATAGACTCTGGGGCGTCATCACATATCTGCGCTAATCGCAATTGGTTCTCTTCATACTCACCTTTACATCCTCCTCGTCCTGTCTACCTCGGCGACAAACGTGCCCTTTTTGCCACTGGTCAGGGCCAGATCGAAGTCATCCTCCACAATGGGACCGAAGATCGTTGCGTCATCATCACTAACGTTCTCTATTGTCCGAAAATCGGTACTAACCTTCTCTCCGTGGCACGCTTGACCTCAGTTGGGATACAAGTTCATTTCTCCGTCCACAGTTGCCGGATCCTCAATCCAAACGACGAAGTACTCGGCATTGCCAAGACTTCTGGTGGCCTTTATAGGCTACCTTGTATCGTAACCGGTTTAGATTGTGCGTACATCAGTAGAGATGTCGAGGACGGGAATGTCGAAGCCGCGCTGGTTGCTCGAACAACCACAGCGACAGCGTCTCTTGATGTTTGGCATGCCCGACTCGGACACATCTCGACGCAGTCGATTCTGAAGATGGTCCGGAGTGGAATGGCCAGGGGAATGGAAGTGATCGGGGATGGGAAGGGAAGTTCTACCTACTGTGAAGAGTGTGAAGCGTCAGGCCATACACGTTCCCCCATTCCAAAGTCGACACTTACCCGTTCTGACGAAGTTCTTGGACGCGTTTTTTCAGACGTATGTGAGGTACAGACCGTGACACGTGAAGGGTATCGATACTTCATCACGTTCGTTGACGACCACTCGCGATATCTCACTGTCTACCCTATCAAGAAGAAGAGCGACGCCCTCGAGAAGTTCAAGGAGTTCCTGGCTCAAGCTGAACGTCAATGCGGGAAAAAGCTGAAAATCTTACGTACCGATGGTGGTGGTGAGTACTTCTCTAACGACTTCACCCAATACCTCAAAGACATCGGCATCGTCCACGAGAAAACCAATCCCCACACCCCCCAAGAGAATGGCGTAGCCGAGCGTGTTAACCGGACTCTCGTTACGATGGTGATTGCGATGCTTGAAAGCGTCAAATCCCTTGTTGGACGGACCGCTTGGCCATACGCACTCAGGCACGCTGCACTCGTCAAAAACGTCGTTCCCCATTCCGCCCTTCCTGATGATGTTTCTCCCTTCGAGCTATGGACAGGCAACAAACCATCAGTATCCACGATACGCACCTTTGGATGCAAGGCTACTCTTGCTGTTCCTGAAGGTCAACGGGATAAACTTGCTGCCCGGTCCATTACGGGAATCCATCTAGGTCTCGCCGTCGGCAAAAAGGCCTTTGTAATATACGACCCCGACGCTCGAAAAATCCACGAGTCTCGCGACGTCCACTTCTTCGAGGGTTCACCTGATTCTGAACGTGTTACGATTGAATCTCCTGTGGTGGATTCTCTCTCGCATGTGGTTGACAGGGGGAGTATGGTTGGATCTGGTAACGGGGAGGTAGAAAGGGACAATGATGATGATGGACAAGTGGATGGATTGAATAGTGTGATCGGTGGAGATGTCGGGGAAGAATCCGTACCGGAGGGACCGCGACGATCGAGACGTGAACGACGCGCGCGCACGAGAGATGATGACGATCGATATTTCGTGAGTTCCTATAGCCGATCCAATCAGCCCCATTCCACAGACACCCAACCAGTGGGCGAATCCCACACCTACGTCGCCCAATCCGATATTCCACTCACCTACAAAAGCGCCATGAACCGCCCCGACTCTGACGCCTGGCTCGAAGCTTGCCAAGACGAACTATTGTCCTTGAAGGAAACCCGGACCTATGTTCCGGTTAGTACTGACGAAGTTGATGTTCGAAATGTCGTCGGTTGTCGTTGGGTATTCGCCTTGAAGAAGGGAGCGGACGGCTCCGTTGAACGTTACAAGGCAAGGATTGTTGCTAAAGGTTTTGGTCAAATCTTTCAAGTTGACTATGATGAAACTTTCGCACCTGTGGTCAAATGGGTCTCTATCCGGATCCTACTCGCCATCGCCGCGCGACTCGATCTCGAGGTCCACCAAATGGATGTGAAGACCGCCTTTTTGAATGGCGATCTCCAACATACTATCTACATGGATCCACCAGCGGGGAGCGCGGACTATGGGAAGGAGAATGTGGTATGGAAGTTAGAGAGGAGCCTGTACGGTTTGAAGCAGGCCTCGCAGGAATGGTACAAAAAGGCTAAGAAAGAATTCGCGAAACTCGGCTTCCTCCGGTGTGATTCGGATCATGCCGTGTTCATTCATCGTGGGAAGGGACATGTCTTCTGCATTATCGCGCTATATGTCGATGATCTGATGATCTTATCCAACGATGTCAAGGTTCTTAACGCCAAGAAGTCTCAACTCATGATGGCCTTCAAGATGAAGGATCTCGGGGACATTCATTGGTTTTTAGGACTTGAGATCACACGCGATCGATCCCGGCGCCTAATCTCAATATCCCAGACCCGCTATGTAAAAGACATTCTCTCACGTTTTGGTTTTGCTGACTCTCGTCCGATTTCCACTCCCATCGCATCCAACTTCAAACTACCCCGTCTCGATGCCCCTGAAGTCAATGTACGCGATTATCAATCCCGAATCGGTAGCATCATGTACGCGATGCTCGGTACACGTCCTGATATTGCGTATTCAGTGGGCGCGCTGAGCCAATACTCCGCCAATCCTGGGAAGGAACATCTCGCCGCCGTTAATCGTGTATTCAGATACTTGAATTATTCACGGAACTACAAGCTAGTCTATAACGGTAAAGTTCCCGATGATGATTTTACAGGCTATTCCGACTCCGATTGGGCGGGTGACTCGCGCGATCATCGATCCATTTCCGGCTTTGTGTTCAAGATTGCCGGCGCTGCCGTCTCTTGGAGTTCAAAGAAACAATCGTCAATGGCTCTTTCCAGCACAGAAGGTGAATACATGGCATTGACTCACGCGTCTAAGGAAGCCATTTGGATTCAGCAATTTCTTGGCGACATCCTCAAACCCCCTTCTATTCCTCACACCATCCTCGGCGACAATCAGGGTGCTCTTGCCCTTGCCGCTAATCCCACCTTCCATGCGCGGACTAAACACATTCGCGTCAGACAACATTTCATTCGAGAATGCGTCGACAATGGAGACGTAGAGCTCGATTACGTCCCGACGGCCGATCAGGTGGCCGACGTTCTTACTAAAGGACTTGCGCTGGCTAAACACGACAAGTTCACCAGAGGTATGGGAATTATCGATGGTCATGATCGTTGAGTGGGCGTGTTGGAATATCAACGCTCATCGACAACAGCCGAGCTGCAGCGTGGATTGGGGAGTCTTTATTTTAACTTAATATCGTCGTGACTAACAACGACTATACCTTTTTGTTTCAGAGTCGCGGTACCACGCGCTCCCAATTTACTTTGTCTTATATCGCTAGTTGTCACAGACAATCGCTTTAAGCGATATTGGCTCCAGTCATATAAGTTACGCTGGACGCCGTAATTTTTCTCCCTCCCTCAGTTCTCTATTTCGAGACTGAGGTGATACCATTTCTTTCCTATCTGTGTTTGCGCATAACTCATTGTATTTTCATGTTATAGTTACGCGCGATAGGTAAACATCTTAATACTAGTTCTCTATTTCGAGACTGAGTTACGCGCGATAGCTCCTATTTCATTACGTCCTTCTTGCCTCCAATGTTTATTCGGCGCCCATCCCCTCTCACAATATGACTTGTTTCCTGCAAAATGTACCTGTTGATTGCAACGATCCCCGGAATTACCGAACGATGTGGGGCATCGTCTATAGCTGTCTCCTTACTGTGTTTGCTTGCATTTGGACGGCAGTGCACCCAGATGTACCACATTCCGATGGTGATGCCGAGTTCATAGGATCGCGCGGTGGCTCGGTGATCCTTTCACTGGTTGTACCGGAATGGACTCTGGTGCCTGCATGGGAAGAATTCGTGATGTCTCGGAGAATATCAGAGAAATACGAGATGGTCGAAGGTGTGCCCATAAATTTGAGGGGAAATGCACAAGTTAGGAAGGGACGGGGGCACTGACTTGTACTTGCCACAAGGGTGGACCTCGACGCATTCATATTTTGTTGCTATGAGTGGTTTCTTCGACCCGTCAACGGGAAGGGGTGTGAACACGAATGAGTTGCAGCAATACCCTGGCATAATCGAGAACACTGGGAATACTAGAAAGGTTGCAATAACACAGAAGCAAATTCTCGACAGAAGCAAAGGCGATGCGTTTTCCAAATTTCTCACTGTCCTCCAACTACTATGGTTTATCACTCAATATGTCGGGCGATGGGCAAGCCATTTGCACATATCGCAACTGGAGACAATGGCGCTGGCGTATGCAGCATTGAGTCTCGTTCTTTACGTGTTGTGGTGGGATAAACCCGTCAACGTTCAATTCCCAATCCATGTGACAAAAGAGTCCCCTTCCGAGACAAATGCCGATCAACAAACACCTAAAACGGAGACTGATGCAGATGCAGATCCGACGTCCCGCGTAGAGGCGTCTGAGCCCAAGGGGTTGGAACTCCTCTATATATCGGGAGTCGCTGGGATGGTCTTTGGGGGAATTCATTGCTTTGCATGGTCATTTCCCTTCCTGACACACACCGAGATGGTCCTATGGCGGGTTTCAGCGGTGTATATCACAGTGGCTCCTGCCTTTGTATTGTGGATTGCACGGGCTAGGAGTAATCGTGCCAGTAACGGTATTACTGTGTTTATAACTGCAACACTTGTTCTTCTTTACGCTACTGCGCGGGTCACCTTGGTCGTTCTCACCTTCACTTCTTTGTGTTCACCTCCGCCTGATTTATACCAGACCCCATCTTGGTCATCATTCTTCCCACATTTTGGATAGCTGTGTATGTACTGTGCCTCAGGTTAAATTTTTTTTTTACAGGACAGCCTGATGTTGACGAAAATCGCTGCATGTTTACAATCGAACATGACCTGAGATTCAAATCCATGAGATCACAAGTTACACATAAATAAACACAAATGGGTCTTGCATTCCGTTTGCTCCTTACCTCTCCCTACATCAGTCGTCGTTCCTTTCCCCACCTCACCCCACATCACTGTACTGCATGCGAACTAGAAACCCGGCTAGAGGTTCTCTGGATATTGTGTCAGGTTATCAAACCCAGGCGGGATCTCGAGCGAGCGCAAGCGGTTGTTGACCATACAGTAAGTGATGACCCAGTGCTTAGAGCCGCTCAACCAGCAATCCCTGAAATTCCACACCATAAGAAGGATCAAGGTCCAGGCCCTCAAGACATTGAAACGTCGTCATCTCATGAGAAGCCATCCAACAAGCATAAAGGGGCCAAAGGGGATCGACCAGCTGTCGATGTATATCTTCCATTTGGGAAAGCGCGCGACAGAACAAACCTCCGAAAGGCGATACGTCTTTTTAAATTCTGATTGACATGCTTATCCCTTTGTTAAGCCCCTTTCCCATCCCTGCGGTGCAGCTCGAAAAGCTGAAATTGCCAGAATAGAAGCCGATATCCGAAATTTACCGCGAGAGAACATGTGAGTGACTCCATAATCAGCGAGAGAGAGGTCATCCGTAAACGATAAGGGTGCTGGTTCAGATGGTTTGGAAATCGGGTTTGAGTAAAGTGATTACTCTGTGGCCGAACCACTCGGCCTGCTGGTGTCGATGGTTGAGTTGGCTTGTCGGAGCAGGTGCATCTGACGTGGCTGTCGTCACGGAAGAGATGGAAGGATGCGAGAAAGTGGTAGATGGAGCACTGGAGGCTTTCTAAAATCCATCTAGATTCTTCATGAATGAAAGCGTAATGGCTGTGCTCGTTTCACTTTGTGCCACTTCCAGAGGGAAGGAAGGTTTAAAAGGCGAGTAAGAGTGGTTGGCTAAACGAAAGCGACGATGACGCACCTGATGGAGCCTCCAGAGTCCCTCGTGTGTGAGGAGGCAGCGTCATTATCTTCTGCCCAATAGCAAGAAGAGAACCTGCCTTTGCCAATCGTCTTACCAACCCTCGGCGCCCCAGTATTGCAGCTTGCGCAGGGGAGTCAGTGTAAAGTCCTTGAGGGGCTCGAGGATTCGGATCATTAACTAGCACTGGGTCTTCTAGAGTGATGGTTGTAAGACCGATTGTTGGTGCTGGGGAGGCTGGGGCAGGGATGGCCTTGTTGGGGCAGGGAGGGGTTTTTCTGGTTTGGAGGTTGATTTTGTGGGTGTGCTGAGGGCGATGCGTTGGCGCCCACTCCTAGAGTCGGAGCAGCAATCTATAGCATCCGGCGCCCGAGTAATCGTCGTGAACTGAAACTAGTACGAGCACGGGAACGTATTCTCTGACATCGTCCTAGTTGGAATGAGTAGTTGCTTCCCGGACACGGCAGTCCATGAGCTCGACCCGGTAGACATCGTATGTATCCCTTGGTAGAGGATGTTGTTGTTGTTGTTGTACTCTATTTTGTTACCCCGCGGCCGCGTTTGTACGTGGCAGTGCGGCTAGCCCGACTAATAATTACATCTGAATGTACATGAGGGGCTCGTCAATACAAGGTAGGGTTGTCTGGTTGGTGTGGTCGGGGTGACGGGGTCCTCTGGGTTGTGATGTCTGGGTTTAAGTCTTATCTGGGTATTAAAGTTGCACCACTCAGTGCGGCGGCTCGGTTGGGATGGCAGTAGACTCTAAAGATATATTTGTCGGTGTAAATACATGTAAATACACATCGAGACAAGTATGGAAAGTGCACAACACCCGTTATGACTTGCTCCTCCAACACTCCCCCTCAAGTCATGATCCAAAAATATTCAATGAATGTGGAATCAAGTAACAACTTGATAGGAGAGGTTGATAGAAAATTGTCCATAGGACAAAAATGAATGTAGAAATCATTACCATATTCAATATGATGAGCAACAAAGGTGTTGGCTGTCATAAAGACTATGCCAATAAAGAAATGTTTGATGGCCTTATGATTCCTCCATTTGCTGTGCCCTTAAATCGATGACCTCCCCCTCAGCGTCCTTCTTGGTCGCATTATACCACCCACTCCTTATTATCAATGCCCTTAGTTAGGCAGCTCCCCCTCCTTCTATGACAGCTGATTGAAGCATAGCGACTATTCTCCCCCTCAGGTGTTAGGGAAAGGGGCATGTGTGATGGTGGTTCGGATTGGTCACAGGGCGATTGTTGGAAAGGAATTGGATTGTGCACGAAAATGATCGTAAAATGGGCAAATGGGACATGAATGGTAGTTTTGCATGAGTTTTTTGCTCACATATGTCTTCGCTTCAAAAGATCCTTGTCCTCAAAAGGGAATCTTAGTCCCCCCCCCTGCATGCATTGAAAAGCGGGTCGCGCTCCATAGCTATTTGCATCGGAGTCGCTGATTATAAGCTGACTCATAGGACGCTGCCGCATTTGTAGATGTTGCAGTATGTGATTGTTGATTTATTGAGGTGGATTAAGGCCGGAGCCAATTGGTGTGATAGCGAGGACGAAAACGGGAGGTGGAAGTGGAAATATTGCGCATTTTTATAAAGCATGGTCCGGAGCCAAGCTGAACCCGGTCCTGTTGAATTTGCATCATGCCCCCAGCCCAAGGGGTGTGGAGTCAACAGTAAAATTGCTTGAGGCGATGTTAAGGGAGTATATTGCATGCATAAAAGCCGCAAGAATCGCGCGCGCATGTCCAAATCAGTTCCTAGTCCTCCTCTCATTCATGTGGAATATATCAGTCCCAAAGAATAAAGATCCAAAGGATCAGCCCAAGAGATCTCCAAGTCCCTCCTGAGAGCATTCCATGCTTCAGAGGGTTGTGGTTCGCAGCGCAAAGACCGTGGGAATTTTATGACGTGGCACGACGGAAAATAGAGAAGGAGTGGTAGTCTGTGCCGCATTCCCAGTGTGAGGGCTTCATCCAAGGGGCTTGCAATCAGCCTCAAATAGGGCTTTCCAAGATTGTATCTCAGCCTTGGGTTTTCCAAAGATGCGTGCCTTTTCAAGGACTTATCGCAGACAAACTTGAAGTCTTCCTCATAAGCCACTTGAACCTGGCCAGGGTGCCACGAGAGTCATGTGGACTTATACTTGAACCGACCCAGGTGAGCCGCTCTGGGCTCATAACCTAAAGTTGCACCACTCAGTGCGGCGGCTCGGTTGGGATGGCAGTAGACTCTAAAGATATATTTGTCGGTGTAAATACATGTAAATACACATCGAGACAAGTATGGAAAGTGCACAACACCCGTTATGACTTGCTCCTCCAACAGGTATGCGTGGGGGTGTAGTGATGTCTATGTCACTCCTCTCTCCCTATGGGGGGTTACTGGTTGGGTACTCCTGTTTCCTGTTCCCCCGTTCGGAGTCATTCTCTGTCCGTTCTTTTTGTCGATGGCCCGCGACTTCTTGATGAAGTCTGCTAGTCTAAGAATGCCTTTGGGCTTCCCCATGAGGGTCGAAAACCTGTTCTGACGGCCCCGGCCCAGTACGTGTCTATGTTTCTTAAACTGTGGGCATACCTGAAGGATGTGCTCTCTCGTCTGGTTAGCTGCTCCACATGTGCACTCTCTACTCTCTGTGTGAATACCGAACCGGTGGTAGTATTCGCCCAGGTGTGCGTGGCCGGTGCGGAACTGGACCAGCCTGCTGAAGGTTTTTCGGTCCAGCGATTTGAACCTGGTGGTGGGTTTGATCGATGGGGGGATCTGGTTTGCTGTGTGGAATCCTGATCGGATCGGGGTGGGCGTGCTTGCCCAGCGTTCCTTCCAATCTTCTTCCATCTCCTGTTTATGCAAGCTTTCTACAAAGGATAATGAGTGGTAGCGGGGTCTGTCCGGGCTGAGGCGAGCTCCCTCTTTGGCCAGCTCGTCTGCGCGTTCGTTGCCCTTGATACCACTGTGGCCGGGGCACCAGCTTATCGCGACATTGAGGTCGTCTCTGTCGTCCAAGAGCCTGCACACTGTCTTCCTAAAGGTCCGGGTGTGCTCTTGGGCTTTTCCGGGTTTCCCTTGGAAGATGCGGCCGATCGCGCTCGTGTTGTCTGAGTAAAATACTATGTTTGACGGCTTGTGGGTGTTCAGGTTTGGTAGAGGATGGACCCCGCATGCATCAAGCTAGGGTAAACATCGAACTCTTATTTGATGAGCTGCATTAAGCATGCTCGTTCTGACCATCACACCTTCTTTCAACCTTCCCGGAATATAACACGGTTTCTAAGTATCAAAATGCGAACCAACAGATGGTCACCCCACAGACTCAAACGTGCACCACGTAATATTGCTTTGGGCGTCGAAACGGCCAGGGTGACTCCTATCGATCGATCGGTGTCTCAAGTTCATTCACCCTTTATGTGGTTTCTAAGAAAGAGGCACATCCCCTTCGGGGAGTGGGGAGGGGACCTAATTTGCGGGGAATGCATTTTCTCACATCGAGTGTGAGAAGACCGTGGCAATGACTGAGCTAACACTTCTCAGGGCGCTATATAGTGCCCCAGCGGCCCGAACCGGCCCTCGTTTTCATGACCCGCGCGCCATTGAAAGGAACAGAGACTGGTAAATGAAAGTACGGTGCTTACATAATGATACATAATGAGGAGCGCTCACAAATGCAATTTGAAACCCCTGGAATTGCCTCATGGCTGATAAAGCGCTGAACATCGGCAGTACCCCAGTCCACATTATGTATAAAGCTTATACTCGACCTGTGCTTGTACCTCCATTCGACCGGATCTGATGGCAACCGCTCTGATCAACGTCCTTCTTGCCTCCAATGTTTATTCAGCGCCCACCAACCCTCACAATATGACTTGTTTCCTACCTGCTGATTGCAACGATCCCCGGAATTACCGAATGATGTGGGGCATCGTCTATAGCTGTCTCCTTACTATGTTTGCTTGCATTTGGACGGCAGTGCACCCAGATCTATCACAATCCTATGGTACCTCGGTGTTTAAATCGCACGTTAGCTTGATGATCATTTCACTGGTTGTACCGGAGTGGACTCTGGCGTTTGCATGGGGTCAATTCATGATATCTCAGAGAATATCAGAAAAATGCGAAATGGTTGAAGGTGTGCATAGAATTTGAGGGGAAATGCACAAGTCAGGAAGGGACGGGGCACTGACTTGTACTTTCCACAAGGGTGGACTTTGACGCATTCATACTTTGTTGTCATGAATGGTTTCTTCGACCCGTCAGAAGGAAGCGTTGTGGGCCCCAATGACTTGCAGGAATACCCCGGCATAATTGAGAACACCGGGGATACTAGAAAGGTCGCAATAACAAAGAAGGAAATTCTCGACAGGAGCAAAAGCGATGCGTTTTCGAAATCCCTCATTGTCCTTCAACTACTATGGTTTATCACTCAATATGTCGGACGATGGGCGGGCCATTTGCACATATCGCAACTCGAGACAATGACGCTTGCGTATGCGGCATTATGTCTCGTTCTTTACGTGTTGTGGTGGGATAAACCCGTTAACATTCAATTCCCAATCCATGTGACGCAACAGTCCTCTCCGATGAATGTCAATCAACCACCTAAGAGGACTGATACAGATCCAATAGTGTTTGACTCCAACGAGTTGGACGCCCCCATATTGGCAGCCACTGGGGTGATCTTTGGGGGAATCCATTGCTTGGCATGGTCATTTCCCTTCCCGACACACACAGAGATGATTCTATGGCGGGTTTCAGTGATATCTATCACAGTGGCTCCTACCTTTCTATTATTGATTGTATGGTTTGCTAGTCACAATATCAGTGGAAGTATACTAGCACTTGGTCCAGTTGTTTACACTGCTGCGCGGGCCATCCTGGTTGTTCTCACCTTCACTTCTTTGCGTTCACCTCCGCCCAGTCTATACCAGACCCCATCTTGGTCATCATTCTTCCCGCATTTTGGATAGCTGTGTATGTACTGTGCCTCAGGTTAAATTTTTTTTTACAGGACAGCCTGATGTTGATGAAGATCGCTGCATGTTTACAATCGAACATGACCTGAGATTCAAATTTATGAGATCACAAGTTACGCATAAACAAACACAAATGGATCTAGCATTCCGTTTGCTCTTTACCTCACCCTACATCAGTCGTCATTCCTTTCCCCACCTCACCCTACATCGTTGTACTGCATGCGAACTAGAAACTCGGCTTAGAGGTCTTCTGAATGTTATCAAACCCAGGCGGGATCTCGAGCGAGCGCAGCAGTTGTTGACCATACAGTAAGTGATGCCCCAGTGCTTAGAGCAGCAACCGCTCAACCAACAATTCCTGAAGTTCAAGAGGGACCAAGGACTAGGCCCTCAAGACATCGAAGCGTCATCTCATGAGTGAAATTTGTAATTTGTTCGAAGTGAATGACGCGCGGTACTTAATCTCTGAGAAGCGACATTGTTTTTCGTAGCTTTAAATGCAATTTGAAAACCCCTGGAATTGCCTCGAGGCTGATAAAGCGCTGAGTGCCCCGGTTCACATTATGTATAAAGCTTATACTTGACCTGCATTTGGTGCGCTTGTACCCCCATTCGACCCGGATCTGATGGCAACCGCTCTGATCAACGTCCTTCTTGCCTCCAATGTTTATTCGGCGCCCATCCCCCTCACAATATGACTTGTTTCCTGCAAAATGTATCTGTTGAGTGCAACGATCCCCGGAATTATCGAACGATGTGGGGCATCGTCTATAGCTGTCTCCTTACCGTCTTTGCTTGCATTTGGACGGCAGTCCACCCAAATCTACCACGAACCGATGATGATGCCTCGGTATTTAAATCGCGCGTTCTCTTGATGGTCCTTTCACTGGTTTCACCGGAGTGGACTCTGGCGCGTGCATGGGCCGAATTCGTGATATCTCGGAAAACATCAGAAAAATGCGAGATGGTCGAAGGTGTGCCCAGAATTTGAGGGAAAATTCGCAAGCTAGGAAGGGAACGGGGCACTGACTTGTACTTGCCACAAGGGTGGACCTTGACGCATTCATACTTTGTTGCCATGAATGGTTTCTTTGACCCATCAAAAGGAAGCTCTGTGGACCCGAATGAGTTGCAACAATACCCCGAGATAATCGAGAACACCGGGAATACTAGATGGGCCGCAATAACAAAGGAGGAAATACTTGACAAAAGCAAAGGCGATTCGTTTTCCAAATTTATCATTATCCTTCAACTACTATGGTTTATTACTCAGTATGTCGGACGATGGGCAAGCCATTTGCACACATCGCAACTCGAGACAATGACACTGGCGTATGCAGCATTATGTCTCCTTCTTTACGTGTTGTGGTGGCATAAGCCCGTTAACGTTCAATTGCCAATCTATGTGACACGAAAGTCCCGTTCCATTCCTCCGACTTTCGAGACAAATGTCGATCAACCACCACCTAAAACGGAGACTGTTGCAGATCCGATGTCCCTCGTGCATGTGTCTGGGCTCAAGGCCATGGAAGCCTTCATCATGTCGGGAGTTTCTGGAATGATCTTTGGGGGATTCATTGCTTGGCATGGTCATTTCCCTTCCCGACACATACGGAGACGATTATATGGCGGGTTTCAGCAATATCTATCACAGTGGCTCCTGCCTTTCTAATTTTGATCGCATGGGTTGTTGATGATATTGCGGGTATAGGAGCACTTACTGTACTTGTTTACATTTCTGCGCGGATCATCCTGCTTGTTCTGACCTTCAGTTCTTTTCGTTCACCTCCACCTGATCTATACCAGACCCATCTTGGTCATCATTCCTCCGCATTTTGGATAGCTATGTATGTACCGTGCTTCAGGTTAAAATTGTGTTTTATTACAGGACAGCCTGATGTTGACGAAGATCAGTTCCGTTATGTAATTGAGATTCAAATTCATGAGATCACAAAATTCCGTTTGCTCTTTACCTCTCTCTACATCAGTTGTCATTCCTTTCCCCACCTCACCACACTAGAAACTCGGCTAGGAGGTCCTTTGAATATTATCAAACCAGCCAGGATCTCAACGGATTCGGAAGGTCAATTCGCTGCATGCTGTTTATCCATGTCTCCTGCTACATCTCCAAGGCTAATACGATGCCATTGTCTCCACAGAGTAGTTCCTGGATTACTGGAGACAAACGGGGACGGGAGGCGGAGGAGAATCGTTTGGTTCGAGGACGAAATACATCCTAGATTGCGCTTTGCCCACCGTGGACTGCTCGGTATCAACAACGGTCAGAAGAATTCAAATGATAGCTAGTTCTTCATTCCTTTAGGAAAGACAAAGACCTAACATCCTGTTTGGTTGCAATTTATCTTAGATCGTGCGGATGAACTCCAAGGAAAACCACACATTATCGGAAGAGTTGTCGGAAACATGGCGGTCTTCAGTATGTGGAAGGCGTTTCCTTCGAAGCGGCGCTGCTGATTGAAAATAATTTATCTCATCAAGGCATTCTCAAAATCGGGGAGTGCGGTGAGTGTTCATACTCACGATGGATCCAACCCCAGCGCTTGGGCAAGCGAAGAGTTTGACAAGATTGAGCGACCAGTAATATATCCACCCAAGATAAAATCCATTCGGATTGTTGATAATTCATTTGATGACATTGTGCCCCACATAACGGCAGTGGGGAAGCGAGCGCAGCGGTTGTTGACCGTACAGTAAGTGATGACCCAGTGCTTAGAGCAGCAACTGCTCAACCAACAATTCCTGAAGTTCCACACCGGAAGAAGGATCAAGTCCAGGCCCTCAAAACATCGAAGCATCGTCATCTCATGAGAAGCCATCCAACAAGCGCAGAGCCAAAGGAGACCGATCAGATGTCGATATCCATTCGAGAGAAACTGCGCCACAGAACAAACCTCCGAGAGGTGATGCATCTTTTAAATTCTGATTGACATGCTTATCCCTCCGTCAAGCCTCTTCCCGTCCCTGGGGTGCAGCTCGAAAGCTGAAATTGCCAAAATAGAAGCTGATATCCGAAATTTATCCCGAAGAACATGGGAGTGACTCCGTAATCAGCGAGGGAGAAGTCATCCGTAAACGATAAGGGTGCCGGTCCAGATGATTTGGAAATCGGGTAAAGTGATCACTCTGTGGCCGAACCACTCGGCCTGCTGGTGTCGATGGTTGAGTTGGTTTGTCGGAGCAGGTGCATCTGACGTGGCTGTCGTCACGGAAGAGATGGAAGGATGCGAGAAAGTGGTCGATGGAGGTGCAGGCACTGGAGGCTTTTGTCCATCCAGATTCTTGATCACGGATGAAGGCGCAATGGCTGTGCTCCGCTTCACTTTGTGCCACTTCCAGAGGGATGGAAGGTTTAAAAATCACCCAAGGGCGAATAAAAGATGGTTGGCTAAACGAAAGCGACGATGACGCCCCGATAGAGCCTCCAGAGTCCCGAGTGTGTGAGGAGGCAGCGCCGTTATCTTCTGCTCAATAGCAAAAAGAGAACCCGCCTTTGCCAGTCGTCTCGCCAATCCTCGGCGCCCCAGTCAACGGGGTCCCCAGCATTGTAGGGGAATCAGTGTAAAGTCTTTGAGGCGCTCGAGGATTCAGGTCATTAGCTAGCATTGGGTCTTCTAGAGTGACGGTTGTACGACTGATTATTGCTGCTGGGGAAGCTGGGGCAGGGAATGGCCTTGTTGGGGCGGGGAGGAGTTTTGCTGGTTTGGAGGTTCGGAGGTTGGGTGTGCTAAGGGCGATGCATTGGGGCTCACTCCTAGAGTCGGAGCAGACGAGATTTGTTCTGCAGGATTCCGTCGAGAAGAAATGGCCTTGACCCTTACTCATCGGCATGTCTCGACACCGGGTGTGTGTGATGGGTGCCATGCCGGAGGGTACAGTAGGAGCAGTGTTGACCTGACGATTGTCTCCGACTCAGGAGATATCCTCCTCGGAAAGGATTTCCATTTCGTTGTACAGCGCTTGCACTGAATCTCCGAAGCCAAGCTTATGACAATAGTCATGTAAATATGCAATCTATAGCATCCGGTGCCAGAGTAATTGTCGTGAACCGAAACAAGTACGAGCATGGAACGTATTCTCTGTCATCGTCCTAGTTGGAATGAGTGAGAGGGAACAGTTGCTTCCCGGACACAGCAGTCCGCGAGCTCGACCCGGTGGTCGTTGTGGTGGCGAAAGCTGAGCCATGTCGTATGAAGGAGCGATAGATGGCCAGTGTCAAAGGAAGGTTGTCGATGGCGTTGCCGATGTAAAGAAGCACCGCCAAGGTGATAGTATACGAAGTTATTCAGTACAACTAAGACATGCTCATTAGCACGGTGTGGAATTCCAGTACAGCTTGGAGTGGCCAGCGTCCTATAAGTCAGTGGATAAAAAGATGATTTGAAGGATGTGCCAGACGCAAACAAGACTGGGGTTCATTCACCCTTTATGTAGTTCTGGGAAAGAGGCCTATCCCTTCGGGGAGTGGGGAAGGGACCCAACTCTACAATTTGCGGGGAATGCGTCTCGATCGAGTGTGAGGAGACCGTGGCAATGACTGAGCTGAGCTAACACTTCTCAGGCGGCTATATATCTAGTCTCCAAGTGCCCGAACCGGCCCTGGTTTTCGAGACCTTGCGCCAATGAAAGGAACAACTATATGTCAAGCACTTAAAAGCGTCAACCTGATCCATTGTGGTGACTCAATCTAGAGTGAAATTTGCAATTTGTTCGAAGTGAATGACGCGCGGTACTTAATTTCCGAGAAGCAACATCGTTTTTCGTAGCTTCAATGCTTAGAAACCCCTGGAATCGCCTCGAGGCTGATAAAGCGCTGAACCAGTTCACATTATAAAGCTTACACTCGACCTGGTGCGCTTGTACGTCCCATTCGACCTGGATCTGATGGCAACTGCTCTGATCAACGTCCTTCTTGCCTCCAATGTTTATTCGGCGCCCATCAACCCTCACAATATGACTTCTTTCCTGCAAAGTGTATCTGATGATCGCAACGAATCCCAGAATCACCGAACGATGTGGGGCATCGTCTATAGCTGTCTCCTTACTATGTTTGCTTGCATTTGGACGGCAGTGCACCCAGATCTACCACAATCCTATGGTGATGTCTCGGTGTTTAAATTGCGCGTTGGCATGATGGTCCTTTCACTGGTTATACCGGAGTGGATTCTCGCGTTTGCCTGGAACCAATTCATGACATCTCGGAGAATATCAGAAAAATGCGAGATGGTCGAAGGTGTGCCCAGAATTTGAGGGGAAATACACAAGTTTGGAAGGGACGGGGGCACTGACTTGTACTTGCCACAAGGGTGGACCTTGACGCATTCATACTTTGTTGCCATGAATGGTTTCTTCGACCCGTCAAAACGAAGCGCTGTGGGCCCGAACGATTTGCAGCAATACCCCGGAATAATCGAGAACACCGGGGATACTAGAAAGGCTGCAGTAACAAAGCAGGAAATACTTGACAGAAGCAAAGGCGATGGGTTTTCCAAATTTCTCATTATCCTTCAACTACTATGGTTTATCACTCAGTATGTCGGACGATTGGCAAGCCATTTGCACATATCGCAACTTGAAACAATGGCGCTGGCGTATGTGGCATTATGCCTCCCCCCTTACGTGTTGTGGTGGGGTAAACCTGTCAACATTCAATTCCCAATCCATGTGACGAGAGAGTCCCCTTCTGTTCCTCCGACTTCCGAGACAAATATCGATCAACCAACACCTAAATCCGAGACTGATGCAGATCCGATGTCCCTCGTGCAGGTGCCTGAACCCGATATCGAGGGTTGGGAAACCATCACCATACTTATAGCCACTGGAATGATCTTTGGGGGAATTCATTGCCTTGGATGGTCGTTTCCCTTTCCGACACGCACGGAGATGATTCTATGGCGGGTTTCAGCAATATCTCTTACAGTCGCTCCTATCTTTATAACGTTGGTTGTGGGTCAGATGAACCTTGGCGACGTTAGGGGACTGCTCGTGTTATTCAGTGTACTTGTTTATTCCGCTGCGCGGATTATCCTCCTTGTTCTCACCTTCGGTTCTTTGCGTTCACCTCCGCTCGATCTATACCAGACCTTATCTTGGTCATCATTCCTCCCGCATTTCGGATAGCTGTGTATGTACCTGGTGCTTCTGGCTAAAATCGTGTTTTATTACAGGACAACCTGATGTTGACGAAGATTCAAATTCATGAGATCATGGCAAGTTACGCATAAACATATACAAATACGCCTTTGCTCCCCCTCATTCCCCCCCCCCCCCCTTCTGCTCCCCCTATAATATTGCGGGAATGCGTTTTCTCGCATCGAGTGTGGGAGACCGTGGCAATGATGAGCTAACACTTCTCGGGGGCTATATAATCATATCTAGTGACCCAAGGGCCTGAATCGGCCCTGGTTTTCATGGCCGTGCACCATTGAAAGGGAAAGGAACAATTGGTATGTTATCGCAATAGTCAAGCGCTTAAAATCGTCAACCTGATCTATTGCGGTGACTGAGTCAAATTTTCGAAGTGAATAACGCGCGGAAACATAATTTCACATCGTTTTTCGTACATAGCTTCAAATGCAATTTGAAATGCCGCATGGCTGATAACGCGCTGAACATCGGCAGTACCCCAGTTCACATTAGTATACTCGACCTGTATTTGGTGCGCTTGCATATACCCCCATCTGATGGCAACTGCTCTGATCAACGTCCTTCTGGCCTCCAATGTTTATTCGGCGCCCATCGACCCTCAGAATATGACTTGTTTCCTGCAAAATGTATCTGTTGATTGCAACGAACTCCGGAATTATCGAACGATGTGGGGCATCGTCTATAGCTGTCTCCTTACTGTGTTTGCTTGCATTTGGACAGCAGCGCACCCAAATCTACCACATTCCGATGGTGATGCCTCGGTGTTTGAATCGCGCGTTAGCTTGATGATCATTTCACTGGTTTCACCGGAGTTGACTCTGATGAACGCATGGGACCAATTTGTGGCATCTCGGATAATATCAAAAAAATGCAAGATGGTCGAAGGTGTGCCCAGAGTTTGAGGGAAATGCACAAGGGACAGGGCACTGACTTGTACTTGCCACAAGGGTGGACCTTGACGCATTCATACTTTATTGTCATGAATGGTTTCTTCGACCCGTCAACACGAAGCGCTGTGGGCCTGGATGACTTGCAGCAATACCCCAAAATAATTGAGAAGACCGGGGATACTAGAAAGGCCGCAACAGCAAGGAAGGAAATTCTCGATAGAAGCAAAGGCGATGCGTTTTCCAAAATTATCATTGTCCTTCAACTACTATGGTTTATTACTCAATATGTCGGACGATGGGCAAGCCATTTGCACAGATCGCAACTCGAGACAATGACGCTCGCGTATGCGGCATTAAGTCTCGTTCTTTATGTGTTGTGGTGGCATAAACCCGTTAACATTCAATTCCCAATCCATGTGACCAAAGAGTCCCCTTCTGTTCCTCCGACCTCCGAGACAAATGTCGATCAACCAACACCTAAAATGGAGACTGATGCAGATCCGATGTCCCTCGTGCAGGTGTCTGAGCCCAAGTTTAACGACTCCTTGTTCATATTCACAGCCACTGGGATGATCTTTGGGGGAATCCATTGCCTTGCATGGTCGTTTCCCTTTCCGACACGCACGGAGATGATTCTATGGCGGGTTTCAGCGATATATGTCACAGTGGCTCCCGCCTTTCTATTTTTGGCCGTGTTGGCTGAGCATCATAGTCATCTTGATGAAGCTATTTATGTGATTATAGCAGTGCTTATTCCACTTTACGCTGCTGTGCGGGTCATCCTCCTTGTTCTGACCTTCAGTTCTTTGCGTTCACCTCCACCTAGTCTATACCAGACCCCATCTTGGTCATCATTCCTCCCGCATTTTGGATAGCTGTGTATGTACACGGTGCTCCAGGTCAAATTTGTGTTTTATTACCGGCTTGATGTTGACGAAGATGTTATCAAACCGGGTGCGCGCTGGGAGTATCACTTTGGAGATTATTGATAAGTCAATCAAAGGGTATGTGCACACCCTGATGTCCGCAGCCCCAGGGTGGAGCCCATTACGAGATTGTCTGCCCCCAATCCGGAAAAATCGTTGCTATTGGAGGGGCAAAGATATATATGAGTCCCGAAGCTCCACATCGGAATGGTCCCCCTTAGGCAACACTTAAGTTCCGACCCGGGTTACACGCAACAGAGGCAACCACCGCATCCTATCGCCGATATTGATGCCCATTCCGGATGCATCTCAGGATGTGGCGCCCATACTTCTCCACGAACTAACCAAGGTAGATCCACGCAACCTTATCGACTCAATTAGCGTCGATCTCGATCCCAACTGCAGGAGGGGCTGTGGGACCACTCTCTCGAGGAACGATAGCGCCTCGATCCTAATATGTCACTTTCAGGACGTCTGTGTGAAGGTGCTGAGAGAAGTGCCTGTCATCGGTACAGGCTGGCTTAGTGTCTCTTCCCTGTTCTTGGGCAAGTTACCTTTTTTCCCGTCCGTTCCACGCGTCGGCTTCTGGGCCTTCTTCGCGTCCGCTGTGTGCATTGGCCGCTGTGCCTTTACCTACTCTGTCAATCTTGCCTGGCGTCCACCGCACGCCTCGGCTCGCGTGCCTATGCATCTGTCTTTGAAGTATCTTCGCGTTCTACTTATTACCAGCTTAATGTCTTTCGCTGGTTTTGACATGGTACCGATTGCAGGTATTTAGTCTTGCTGAGGGTGAAGGTGTTGTGGCCTTTTGCGGGTGGCGCTAGGTTTTTCGCTTATGTCCTTCAAACCTGTCTGTTGGTTCTTCGGCTCTTTCCTGTTTTTTCATAACCTCACTTCGTACTTCTGCTTGCATCATGCTAATGCCTGTCATTTCAGAGTCACCCACCGCCATCCCCCAAACTCCACCTTAATCTTTGAGTGTGCTTTTACCACGTCGCTCTCAATTTAAGAGGCTTTAGCGGTTGCCCGAACCGGCGCTCGTTTTCATGATCGTGTGAGAGCAAAGCGGAAACGCAATGACAGCCTATGTGCAGACAACCCAAAGTCTGGAGTTGCCCACGCAAGTGACCTGTAGCCCTGCCGTTGCCAATATGCGACTTATCAGTCCAACTCACAGCAAACGCGAAGGCAGTAGGCGCTGAGGGAGTGACAGTGAGAGGGCAGCTTTCATCCCAGTCACGTTGCATTGTGGGAAATATTTTTCGGTGAATGACCAGGATTACTTTGGTAATTGACCATTTTACCGTCATTTCGATGGTTTTTGAAGTCTGGTATTTCACCAAATCGAAATTGCGAGTCAAGGAACCGACTTTTCATGGCAAGTATTTTACTACACTAGGCGGCATATTCTAGACCACCATGCAGACCATTAAATGTGTTGTCGTTGGTGATGGTGCTGTCGGAAAGGTGTGCTTTGACCTCGTCGCCAAGCATAGCCCAGGCGGTCAACATTTATGAGACCTCATCTGACATGCCTCCTCATCTCGTATACCACCAACAAATTCCCAAGCGAATTTCTTCCTACGGTAAGTGCATTACGGACGCATTGAAGTGCCTCATTTTGATCTTGTCTGCCAGGTGTTTGACAACTACCCTGTGACCGTTATGATCGGCGACGATCCCTATACTCTGGGTTTATTTGATACTGCAGGTAATGTCCTACGATTTCGCGGCCTACTTTATCACTGGAACCGTGATTCTCATTCGCTGCTCCGCTTAGGTCAGGAGGATTATGATCGTCTTCGACCCTTGTCGTATCCCCAGACGGATGTTTTCCTTGTTTGCGTTAGCGTCCTATCACCCGTTTCTTTTGAGAACGTAAAGGAAAAATGGTTTCCTGAGGTTCATCACCACTACCCAGGGGTACCTTGCCTTATTGTTGGGACGCAAGTCGATCTGCGAGACGACCCTCGAGTTCCAGAAAAGCTTGCGAGGTAGAAGCAGGGGCCCGTCCAGCCGGAGCAGGGTGAGCGTTTGGCAAGAGAGTTGGGTGCTGTCAAGTACGTCGAGTGCTCCGCCTTGACACAAAAAAGGTCTTTGATGAGGTACGCTCATTGTTTTGATCTATTCACTCTCGTTGATGGTGTTCGTCGCAGGCAATCGTTGCGGCTTTAGAGTGAGGACTAGGAACAAATGCATCGTTGTTTAAGTACTCCTTTCTTTCACGATTTGGAATGATCTGCTCTTTCCATCAATTACCTATACATTATGACAATGATAACACTTATTTCCGCTCACTCAATTCCATTGGACTCAAAGGTGCCCTGCATGATCGTAGCAGACCAGCTATGATCTCTCATTAGGAATTCCCAGTCTGGACTCTTGAACTCTCTTCAAACCCTGTTGAGCCTTCGTAGCGCTTGCATCCAGGCTTTGTATGTCTGTGGACCGGTCTGGTGGTTGAAATTGCGGTAGACAATGCGGGTGTTGCGGTTTCGGGGATTCCCCAAGGCAGTTCCACCACCTCTGTTCAATTTATTCTGCAAGGGATCGAAGTGAATGATATGTGCTGCTTAATTTCTGAGAAGCAGCATCGTTTTCGTAGCTTCGCCAGGCCAAATGTAATTTGGGATCAGGAAGTCGCATGGTTGCTCATACCTGTACCCACACTCGATCGATCTGATGGCGACTGTTCTTATCAACGTCCTTCTTGCTCACAATGTTTATTCAGCGCCCATCTCCCCCCACAATACGACTTGTTTCGTGCAAAATGTATCCGATGTTGCCGGAATTGCCGAACGATGTGGGGCATCGTCTATGGCTGTCTCCTAACCGTGTTTGCTTGCATTTGGACGGTGATACACCAAAGCACTCTGATCAAATCAATACCGGGATGCCCAAATCACGCATTGCCTTGATGATAGTTTCACTGGTTTCACCGGAGATCATTCTGGCGCTTGCATGGCACCAATTCTTGTTATCTCGGAGAATATCAAGATAGTTGAAGGTGTGTCCTGAATTTGAGAGGAAATGCACACGTTAGGAGCGGACGAGGTGCTGACTTGTACTTGTCACAAGGGTGGACCTTGACGCATTCATACTTTGTCGTTACGGATGGTTTCATCGACACTCGTCAACAGAAAGAGTGGTGGACCTGAGCGATACCCACAGTGGAAAATATTTACCATTTTTCGTCCACCGTTCTTCGAGAGAGCAAACCCACGGAACTATGATATTCACCCGAATACACATCACCAAAGCCCCCAGCCCCTCCTACAGAGATTAAGATCAACATGACCAAGCTCCTAAGATTGTGTGGATCTATGGCAGTTCGAGTTAGCCGACTGATTTCACTTTATTTATTCCGAGGACTGCCCCTGGCGCTTCCGCTGCTTTGGTGATTCAGTAGGGATTCCCTTGGCGGCCGTACCTGAGGATTTGAATGATGGGTGGCGGTGTTGATTTCCCGTTTAAGTAAGCACATTCATACCCCATCACACGACCCCATCAAACGGCACAATCCCGGCTGAGCCAAAGAACCTATCTATCCTGATATAGATATATGACAGAAAGTCCGACATTCCCCGAACTGCATTTGTCTTCAGGCACACTGAACATGTATTTCACACCCCAATGTCCGAGTCCGTTCTTCGGCTCCAGACTGCTTCGCCATCAGATCTCTGGAATGCCAAGAAATCGTCGACCAACTTGATCGCGTGGCTGATAAGTAAAAGCGTTGAACATAGGGACCTGCCCCCAGTCCACAGTGCACTTGACCGGATCCAATGCACAGAGGGAATTAGTGATGCGTAAAAGATCATCTTAACCATTGTATAATACACTCATTTTTAACATGATTGAAACTGTGTTTTACAATGTGGTCCATTGCATTTTACCAGGATTCCTTTACCACGTTAAAGGAGGTAGATGACCTGTTTTTTAATGATTCTCCACCACGATAATGATTGTAAACGGTCAATTTACAAGGGTGCATTTTGTAATTTACCAGTCGGATTTCATCATTTACAATATTGTTAATTTGGTGAAAAACGTGGTTATTTATCGTCATTTACAACTACATTTATGGCGATATACAGCGGAGACTCTAGGTTACGTTGCGGTGGATAGCAGTCATTGCAAGTGAGGAAATGAACCGAGTTGAGGTGAACAAAAGACAGAAAGGTCAATTCGAGGAGTGACGAAGAAGAGCCGATCCGGAAAGCATAACGCAGGATTGAAGCCTTGGGCTCACAAGAAAAGTACGGAGTTGAGTGCAAGCAAGAGACGGGTAGCATAAAAGTCGAGCATCGATTCGATTTTGATGAGGTTGATTTGACAGAGCATAACCTAATGAAAGTGGAGGAAGTCTCGGGCTGTGAATAAGACGGTAGAAGATACCATAAGTGAACTTCAACCCTTGCGCACAGCTTCGCGAGGCGGTCTTTCCTTCTGAGTGGGCCAGGTTAATCAATTCAGACTTTCTTCTGTTGTGGGGCCATCATAGTGACGGCCACGGGGGTTCTTTTTTGGCGGTACTGGTAGAGGTGGTTGTCATCGGGCCTTGGTCATTATCATCGCTTTCGAATTCCAGTCGCGTTTTTTGGTTACTAGCACAGGGGGAAATTTAGCAAGCCAGCAGTGGGAGAAGAGGTAGTTGGGAGATAAACTAATGAGCGCACATGGGGCCAAACTACGCCCTAAGCAGATGCACGGGCTTTTCTACCACAGGTGTGACCCTTGGGTAACATAGATTCCTGTTTGCTGTGAGAGGCTTGACGATTTTCTAAAATAAATAAATGCTATTTCTCATTCACCAATGAGTTAAAGACGCGTAAAGACGCGTTGAAACACGTCCAGATGGAAGCCATTCATGGCATCGCTGTCAGTGAGGCAGCATGCCGAGTGTCCATATTCATAAGTACTTGCCACTTCTGAGAAGAGTAGCTAGTTGCATAGCGAAAGGATAGTCAAATTGGGAGGGAATGAGCAGGTTGCAGAACGTGTATGGTATGGTAGAGAGGATAAGGCACTGAGTGGAATGGAAACTGCCGAGAACAACTTAGTCCGATTTCAGTCTAAGCGCCACAGTCTCTGCCCACCTACCCTTACATCTTTAAGTGCCAGCTTCCATACTTGGGGCTCCTCGCGACAAGAAACATTCCTGACAATTCCACCCATCGCAAAGTCGTGATCTAGTTTACTAATGTCTACAACAAGCCGTACCAACATATAATCGAGCTCTTGGTTATGCCTCGCTAGGGAAATCACGCATTGTCGGGGGAGGTGACAAAGTTTCCACAATGTGGGCCCAAAAACGACGAATTGAATTTAGGAACTTATCCTTCGTCTGGGTAGGAGTGTTTGAATTTCATGGCTCTCACTATTGAGCTGAAGTAGCTGTGGACTCAAATCCCCGAGCACGTCACAAAATGTCGCTTGTGAGAACATGCGTCACCTCGTTGACCTTGTCTCAGATAGCGGTGCTTACATGGATGCTGCCTTGGCACCGACCTCTTTTACTACACTCAAATTATCGCTCTTGCTTCGGTCTCTTCAGTATGTGGCCGATTTCCCTATGGTACGTACGCATTCCCATCGTTGGGCCATCATCGATCGCAGTTGCGAGCTCGCAAGGTCAATCGACGACGATGACTAACCGAACTCCGGCCGTCCATACCTCTGACCTTTGTACAATACATCGCAGCTCGAATACCATGAATTGAGTGGTAATTTACGCAGGGAAGAGTCTGGTATTTAGCATCGTGAAACGTATATTGTAATTTACAATGAAAAAAATATCACGAAAACAATGGTAAATGGTCAAAAACCAGACCAAAAAAGGTTTTTTACGGCCCTTTACTTCCCACAGTGAATGGCAACCGCTCTTCTCAACGTCCTTCTTGCCCACAGTGCTTATTCAGCGCCTATCTCCCCTCACAATACAACTGGTTTCGTGAAAAATGTATCTGATGATTGCAACGATCTCCGGAGTTGCCGAACGATGTGGGGCATCATCTATAGCTGCCTCCTTACCATCTTTGCTTGCATTTGGACGGTGGTGCACCCAGATCTACCAAGGCGCGGTGGTGGTAGCTGATCACGCATTGGCTTGATGATGATTTCACTAGTTTCACCGGAGGCCATTCTGGCGTTTGCATGTCATCAATCCTTGTTGTCCTGGAGAATATCCAAAAAATGCAAGGTGGTCGAAGGTGTGCCCTGGATTCGAGGGAAAATGTACAAGTTAAGGTTAAGGGCACTGACTTGTACCTGCTTGTCACAAGGGTGGACCTCGACACATTCATACTTTGTCGTCATGGATGGTTTCTTCGACTCGTCAAAAGGAAGAGCAGTGGACCTGAACGACTTGCAGAAATACCCCGGGATAATCGAGAAGATGGAGAATGGTAGAAAGGACGCAATAACAAAGAAGGAAATTCTTGACAGAAGCAAGGGCGACGGGTTTTGCAAATTTCTCATTGTCCTTCAACTGCTATGGTTCATCACTCAATATGTTGGACGATGGGCAAGCCATTTGCACCGATCACAACTCGAGACAATGACACTGGCATATGCAGCATTAAATGTCTTTGTCTATGCGTTGTGGTGGCATAAACCCGTTAACATTCAATTCCCAATCCACGTAACGCAAGAGTCCGTTCCTCCGACCTCCGAGACAAATGTCGGCCAGCCAACACCCAAAACCGAGACTGATGCAGATCCGATGTCCCTCGTGCAGGTGTCTAAGCCCGAGTTTATGGAACTCTTGTTTATATTTGCAGCCACTGGGACGATCTTTGGGGGAATCCATTGCCTTGGATGGTCGTTTCCCTTTCCGACACGCAGGGAGATGATCCTATGGCGGGTTTCAGCGATATCTATCACAGTGGCTCCAATCTTTCTATTTTTGTTCGTGTGGTTTGCGAATCATGTTAACGAGCAGATTGGTAGCGGTATAGTAGCATTTACTCCATTTGTTTACGCTGCTGCACGGGTCATCCTGGTTGTTCTCACCTTCAGTTCTTTGCGTTCACCTCCGCCTGATCTATACCAGACCCCGTCTTGGTCGTCATTCCTCCCGCATTTTGGATAGCTAGCTATGTATGTACTATCGTGCTTCAGGTTTAAATTGTGGTTTATTACAGGACAGCCTGATACTGACGAAGATATGTAATCGAACATGACCCAGTCCCATTATCACAAGTTACGCATGAACAAACGCCATTCTTCGCCTTGGCACTAGAAACTCGGCGAGTAGTAGGGGGATTTCTGAATTTTGTCAAATCGGGCGTGCAACCACCTTGTTCTCGACGGATCCGGAAGGTGCATATCATACACCTTTGCACCCTTTCATTTTTGAGGTCTTTTCGGGTACAAGTAAAAGGACTTCAACGACTTCGACACCTTTGGTACTAGCCAAGTTCTATCACCGATGACCAAAGGTCGCGTCATTCTTAAGGCCTCTGTTGGAGAGATAGAGGTGAGTGGAGACGGGAGGTCAGTTGATGCAACTTTTCTTTAGATAGATCGAATTCTGGTCAAAAGTTTGCCCATCCCGTTCTGGTCCACACCCCCACTGAAACTTTGGGCAATGTATTAGGAGACTCCTAAGGCGTGCGGGGAGCAACCGGTAATATATCCACCGAAGATAAAATCCATTCGGATTGTTGATAATCCATTTGATGACATTGTGCCCCGCATAGAGGCAGCGGAGAAACGAGTGCAGCAGCTGGCCAGAGAGGAGGCGCCAAAGAAGCGGGAGGAGGCTGCAAGGCGGAAGAGCGCAAAAGGTCGATCTACTCTGTACTCTGAATGAGCTCATTTGATCATCATTCTTGCAATATAGAGGCGCAAACTTTCATTTGGAGACGCAGTTGAAGAGGAAGAATCGACGCCAAAAAAGAAGAGGTCCACCAGTCGTCCGGATCGTGCGTCATTAGTCCCTCGGATCTACACACGTTCCCACTCTTATATTTTTTGTTCACCATATAGTAATTGATGACCCAGAGCTTCGCAGCAACTGCTCAACCAACAATACCTGAAGTTCCACACCAGAAGAAGGATCGAGGATCAGGCCCTCAAGTCATCGAAGCGTTGTCATCTCATGATCCACACCCAAGTATTCACCCAATACCGGTAAAGTCCATATAATCAGCGAGGCGAGATCTAGAGGTCATCCATAAACGATAAGCAGACTCATGGTTGGGAAATCGGGTTCGAGTAAGGTGGGTGCAGGCGTTGAAAGCTTTTGTCCATCCAGATTCTTGATCATGGGTGAAGGCGCAATGACCGTGCTCGCTCCACTTTGTGCTTCACCCAGGGTGAGTAAGAATGATTAGCTAAACGAAAGCGACGACGGCGTACCATTAGTTCGTCTTTCTCCTTCCCTTTGTCCTTCAACGCACTCCGGAGTCCCTTGCAGTGTGTGAGGAGGCAGCGTCATTATCTTCTGCCCAACAGCAGACGTTGACAAAGAGAACTCGCCTCTGCCAAGCGCCTCGCCAACCCTCGGCTCCCCAGTCCACGGACTCCCCAGCGTTGCAGCTTGCGCAGGGGTAGTCAGTGTCAAGCCTTTGAGGCGCTTGACGATTCGCTAGCAGTGGGTCTTCTAGAGTGGACCGATTGTTGCTGCTGCAGTACTTGTGGATGGCCTTGTTGGAGCTAGGAGGGATTTCGCTGGTTTGGAAGTTGATTTTGTGGGTGTGCTGAGGGCGATGCGTTAGCGCTCACTCGTGGAGTCGGAGCAGACAAGGTTATTCTGCAGGATTCGCCGTGACCCGATCCTCCCGTACCCATCGACATGTTGTCGCGACGCCGGGCGTGTGGGGTGGATGCCGTGCCGTAGGGTGCAGTATAGTTAGAGTATCGTGGAGCATGTTGACCCGACGATTGTCTGCCCGGGGAATGTCCAGAGCGCTGTCCAGGTGAATTCACACATCACGGACTGACCCGAAGAACTGTCCCTCGAGAAGGATTCCCATTTCGTTGTACAACGCTTGAACCGAATCTCCGAAGCCGCGCTTACGACAATAGCCAATCGTGTGGATATGCAATCTATAGCATCCGGTGCCAGAGTAATTTCCATGAACCGAAACTAGTACGAGCATGGAAACGTTCTCTCTGTCACCGTCCTAGTGGGAGGGAATTGTGGTGACTCCAGAAGGGGGCGGACACGGCAATCCACAAACTCGACCTGATAGTCGTTGTGATGGCAAAAGTAAACAGCGAGGATTGAAGCTGAGCCATGTTGTATGAAGGAGCAATAGATGGCCAGAGTCGAAGGAAAGGTTGTCGATGGCATTGCCGATGTAAAGATATATATAGAAGTACGGCCAAGATGATGGTATACGAAGCTATTTAGAACAACTAGGATTGGCGCGGTGTGGAACTCCCAGTACAGCCCAGAGTGGCCGGGGTTCTGAAAGTCGGTGGATAAAAACATGATATGAAGGATGTTGTTGTTGTTGTTGTACTCTATTTTGTTACCCCGCGTTTGTACGTGGCAGTGCGGCTGGCCCGACTAATAATTACATTTGAATGTACATGAGGGGCTCGTCAATACAAGGTAGGGTTGTCTGGTTGGTGTGGTCGGGGTGACGGGGTCCTCTGGGTTGTGATGTCTGGGTTTAAGTCTTATCTGGATATGCGTGGGGGTGTAGTGATGTCTATGTCACTCCTCTCTCCCTACGGGGGGTTACTGGTTGGGTACTCCTGTTTCCTGTTCCCCCGTTCGGCGTTGTTCTCTGTCCGTTCTTTTTGTCGATGGCCCGCGACTTCTTGATGAAGTCGATATGAAGGATGTGTCAGACGCCGACAGGACTGCACTGCAATTTGGAGGCTGTGTTAGCACCTACTGAACCAAATGTAGTGAATGGAAATGCACACGTTCATTAATTTCCAAGAACAAGGACCTTGCACGGCTGATAAAGCGCTGAACATGGGAATGTGCCCCAGTCCAGAGTATAAAGCTCATACTCGACCTGTATTTGGTGTGCTTGCACCTGCGTTCGACTGGATCCGATGGCAACTGCTCTAGTTATCAACTTGCTTCTCGCCCCCAATGTTCATTCAGTGCCCATCCCCCTTCCCAATGTGACTTATTTTGTGCAAAATGTATCTGATGGTTGCAATGATCTGCGGAATTGCTGAACGATCTGGGGCATGAGAATCGTGAAATTAGGCCCGTGCGCAGGTTTAGATGTCCCGGAAAGTGTCTGTGAGAGTCCCTGTGTCAATTGGATCTTCATACACATCCTTTGTGATTTTTCTGAGCACTCCAGAGTGCATTTTGGTTGTTTGTTTACTTCGGTACAGCTTGTGATTTCCATTTTGGGCCAAAAACCAGTTTCGCAATCTCCCAAAGTACGGATCTTGGCTCCACCGCACGGGACTTTCGACACCACCACCCTCACATGCCTTTTGACATTGTGCGGAACCTCACGGTAAGATGAGAAATCGTCACTACCATTGTTCCACAATGGCTGGGTCGATTGGGATGGAATTCAGGGAATCCATATTTATGATTTTTCTCTATTTTCTGAGCCCTTGATCATCTCTTGGCGCCCAATAGCGCCAAGCGTAGTTTTTGGGCTGGACCAATTTAGTACCAGTGCATTATGTGCAATTGTACTCCGTAATAAAATGAAATAAAATGTTTTTATGCACCATTGGCATTGGTAGGTGATCATCGCATATGGGAAATCCTTAAGGAATGTAAAACCGCAAAAATACTGGCGATGTAGGATCTCCCATCCGAAATGCTCGCCCAACTTCAGACCGTCGTGACCTCTGTTACAGGAATGGGTTCCGGGGAACCCAACCTGAGCTGTTCGGCTCACTAATGGAGGTGGCTGCGTAGCCATCGGAGGGAGAGCGGAATAGGATGAGTGTACAGAAGTACAACCTGTGTGTCGGCCAACGGTAACTTGGCGCTCCTGGGAGCGTACCGGTAGCGAGTATGATGTGGGCTCCTTGAGGGAGCCACCTGGCTGTCTGCTAACAGGGACTTGGCGCTCCTGGGAGCGTGCCGGTAGCGGGTGTGCTGGGAGTGTTTGGCTAGCGGCGACTTGGCGCTCAATGGAGCATACCGGTAGTGAGGGATACTGGGACTCCCAAAGGGAGTCACCCAGTTGGTGGCTATTGGTGACTTGGCGCTCATGGGAGCGTACCGGTAGCGGGAGTTGTTGGGGAAAGCGGGCTGGTGGACCAGTGCACGGTAGTGGGTGACCGTGGGAAGTGGGACCCGTGGGTGTGTGGCCAGGCATCCTGGAGCTGCCTGGACCGTATCCTTCTCCTGAGGAGGTGGGATAGGCTACAGTTCCTGATAGGGAACTTCTGGTTGGATGGGAGTAACCACTCAACCACCCGGTGGACTGGTGGGAGTGGGCAGCAGGAGGTTGGGCGTGGGAATGCCCTCCTCGCTGCGGTTTTGTCATGGAAAGGAGGAATAGGGAGGTGGACATGGTTCCAGGGTTACAGGTTGAGTTTACAGTGGTGACACGTGGGTTATGTATTCGATAATGAGAACAGTTCCGGCATCTGCCTTATACATCATATGACTTCTAACTATCTAATATAAAAATCATAATGGTCAAAGGAAGTCCCTTGAAACTCAACAAATCCCCCAGCCAGCACCAAAACCCAGTGGGAAAGCTTGGCATGGGGTTTGACAAAGAAATAAAGTTGAAGGGGCTAAGGTTTGATTGTCTATAGTCACGGACCATAAGATTCTAGGTCCATTCCCATAACAACCATTCCGCACCCGACTCCGGCCCAACTCCGAGTCCAGTGCCGCTATGATACCATCGCCACTATTGTGGCCCACGTTCCTTCCTTTATTTATCTGTTATTGTTTGTTTTGACCCTCGGTCATTGCTGGCCGCTGTGCGGCCAACCCCGCTCCTTATTCATGTTTGCTTCCGGACCCTTCGGCCTTCGGCCCGGGTCCGCTCCCATTCATTCTTTCCCCCTATATATATCCTGTATACTACATTATAGTACTTTAGCTCTAATATCGATTTGACCATGACCTCTCAAGTCCTGACCCCAGCAAGGCAACCCCAGTAAGTCTGAAATGAGGGCCAAGAGACAGCTAGGGGGCACAGCGCTCCTTTAGAGTTGCTGAGGCCAAATGCCCTACCCTTGGGCCTTGTTTGCAGCATCACGGCCATCGCGGCCTACAGTGGCCCGCAACGGTGACCTTCGGTGCCGACCCTGGACCAGTGTCTAACAGGAACCCACACACCAATTTATCTTTGGGTTATGTTTCTGGAGCCAGTCGACATCTAGCAACAGATCCCAAGGCATCTTGACAATGCCAAAAGTCTTGAATTCAGAATGGTCCCCAATTTTCACATTGAGGATGACGGCATGAGAAACTGAGCCTTTGGATAAGGGACTTCCATCTAGACCTCAAATCAGAATTGAAGGCCTAAGCGGGACCCGGTTTAGTTGATGTTTCAAGACAAATTCTTTGGACACTAGAGAGGATTGTGATCCGCTGTCGATCATAGTACGTGCAAGAAACGAGTTTCTATTCAGTACTCATGCAGTAGCTTTACATATCAAATACTTCACTACCAACAGTCCACAACTGAATTCCAATCCCCTAGGTGCTTCTGAACTATCTGATGCTCGACTAGGAACTGGGCTGTCCCATATATTTACCTCCGATGTATGGCTACCTACATCAGAGGCTCGACTTTTCCCACATCCAAGGTTTCAGTCTCGGTTGTCATAGGAGCTGCTGTGGTGGAGGGACCCCTCTTGTTTGGGCTGACATTAGAAGATTTCTTGAGGCAATTCACGGCCATGTGGTTAGGCAGACTGCAGTATAGACACAGATTTTCTCGGTGACGGCACTCTTTCTCATCCTGCATGAGTCGGGCACGAGGCGTTCCCTGGCTGACTTTCGTGGGAGAACTCGGTGGCATCCAGGCCCGGGTCCTAAGTGCATCCACCTCCATTGGAACTGGACCGATCCCACTGGATTCCATGGTATTGGCAGTGACATGGTCCAAGAGGTTCAGGTCAACCATATTCGGAGCCCCCTTCTTCCTGGCAATCATCTTAGATAATCGCATGTCGACTTCAATAGACTTAGCCACCAGTGCATCCAGTGTGTTAGGAGTGTCCACCACCAAATAACTTTGGATCAAAGTATTCAATCCATTGAAATAGATCGACCTGGTGTCATAATCGGAGTGCTGACAATCAACTAGAATATGCTTGAACTCAGCCACATAATCAGCTGCCTTCCCAATGTCTGTCTGTCTGAGATTGCGGAGTTTTTGGTGTGCTGTCTCAACATAGTCGACATCTCCAAAGTGGTTCTCAAACAACAATTTGAGGTTAGCATAAGACTGCAAGAGTGCAGGGTCAGAGCGGGTGACACCCATGAACCATTTTGAAGCGGTCTCATTCTTGAGCCAGGCACCAAAGAACATCGATTTCGCGAACTCGTTATTAAACTGATTTGGGAAGAGGGTGAAACATGATTCAATCTTGGCGATATAAGCTTGAACACCCGATGGCTTGCCAGTGAACGCAGTAGGATCTGGAAACTTAGCTGTGGGAGTAGGCATGGCTGAGACAACTGGAACATGAGCTGTTACTGGGGCAGGCACAGTGGCGGTATTCTGCAAATGGATTTGAAAGGTCTCCATCAACATTTGCTGATCTTGTTGCTGGGCCTGGATTGTGTACTGTTGGGCCTGGATCACAGCCATCAGGTCCTGGTGTTGGACCATCTGCTGCTGCAAGAGATTCATCAGGGCATCTGGATTGAATGTGGTGGAGCCCTCAGCAGGACCAGGGGTGGAACCCATCGGGGAGTCTGAGAATGACATGCCATCGTTGCCATTATGGTTAGAGCTGATCAAACTGTTACAGGCCTCACGGGGCTAAGGTGCAAGAGATGTGGACAAGGTTGGAAGCAAGGGCTCAGATCATGAGGGAACAAGACAAGAGAGACAAGGGCTAGACATTGAGGCGAGTAACCTGTGTTGATCAGCTGAGGGTAACCTTAGCTGATCAACAGTCTATATATACATCGAGAGTTACAGTTTGGACTAGGCTGAATGCAAAGTGTATCAGCTTTGAACAAGTCTGACATGTGAGTCCGTTAAGTCCATCAGTGTTATGCTAACCATAACACTGGCCAGATACTTCACATATGAGAGAAAATAGGATTCTTGGCTACATGTCTCCAACTCCATGCAAGTTTCTGGACCAGACAAAAAATCCTGTGGAGGCAGCAACACAGTCACTTGCATTTCAGGTGGACTGCCATTGCAGTTGACCTCAGGGACATCAGGCAGAGTAAGTGTGTTGTAGGCGGGATAACCTACTATACCCTACACCACCAGTATTTTTGCGGTTTTACATTCCTTAAGGATTTCCCATATGTGATGATTACCTACCAATGCCAATGGTGCATAAGAACATTTTATTTCATTTAATACAGGGTACAATTGCGCATAATGCACTGGTACTGAATTGGTTCAGCCCAAAAACTATGCTTGGCGCTACTGGCCGCCAGAAGACGATCAAGGGCTCAGAAAATAGAGAAAAATCATAACTATGGATTCCCCGAATTTCGTCCAGATCGACCCAGCCGTTGTGGAACAATGGTGGTGACGATTTCTCATCTTACCACGAGGTTCCGCATGATGTCGAAAGGCACGTGAGGGTGGCAGTGTCGAAAGTCCCATGCGGCGGAGCCGAGATCCGTACTTCGGGAGATCACGAAACTGGTTTTCAGCCCAATATGGAAATCACAAGCCATACCGAAGCAAACAAACAGCCAAAATGCACTCCAGAGTGCTCATAAAAACTCAGAAAAATCACAAAGGATGCGTATGAAGATCCAATTGACACAGGGACTCTCGCAAACACTTTTCGGGACATCTAACCCTGTGCACGGGCCAATTTTACGATTCTCACGCCCACCACTCGGTCAAATCTCAACCATTTGGGACAAATTTAGTATCAAGAGAAAGCTGCGAACCCAGGGAATCAAATGGAGAGGTCAGGAAAGGATGCTACGGGTAGGAAGAGATGGATGAGTGTAGTGTGATGGTGGAAATTGGTGGAGAATGGCAATTATTAGTGGATATGGCCCGCTGTTTCTTTTTATTGAACTTCTACGTCGGCCGTTGGACTTATCAGCCATACTTAACGGTCCACATGGTGCCCGTAACAACAATCCTTTGTTTTATATTTTTCCTTTCATTTGTTTTTCCACATTATTGCCGTTCCATGTGTTTAAAAGCTTGTACACATAGGAATGGAAAGGAGACCTCCCTTTTTGACTACAAGAGACTGTAGCGCTGAGAGATCCAAGAAAAAGAGAGAAATTCTAAGCTTGACTCTTTGAGTATTACAAGGAAATCCCTGATGATTGTCCAAGACGGACCAGGGGTACGTAATTCTCAGCGAGTTTTGTGATTGTTTTTGTTTTGTTAGGACCCGGACCAAACCTAGGACGAGCTTAGGATAATCCCAGACTTCCTCCCCATGAATTTGCTCGCATTTAGGGGGTTAGATCTCTAGTCCGCTTGCAGTGTCCAAGAATTGAGAGAGAGTGTGTAAGGAGTGGTAACCTGTCAA